ATATATATATATATTTAATAGGTCCAATTTGAATAAGTTCAGATCTTAAATAGTGATCCAACTCCAATTTTGTTCATTTTGCCTTAATGTATGGTGAAAGCATTTTCTTTTTCTGGTTTGCGGTGCTCTTGGTTTGGCAGCAGAAAAAAAAAAAAAGAAGAAAACTAGAGGTTAAAAATGAGATACAATGATGTGTATGAAGAAGAAAATGTGGCTAACTTCATTTTTCAATGAGCTTATGGACCATTTCTAAAATAAGATTTTTAGTTGCTGTTACATAAGTTAATCTCTTTATGTATCATTTACACATAAAGCAACAAGTTTGACTTGTTATCCCTACTAACCTACTTTTGCTTTTCTTTCATTTTCTTTCATTCGAAGAGATTTTTTTTTTCATTGATAGATATTTCGCTCTCTGTCTTTTTCTACTTTGTGCCACATAAGTATTTCCACATGAACTTAACATGATTACATTACTACTGTATGAAAATTTACAAGTTAGGATATTGTTTACATCATCATTGAAAAAACAAAAATTATTACTAATAAATTGTATGTATTATTTATTTGTAATTTTTTTTTTTGATAAAAAGTTTTTTCATGATTTATTGTCATATTGAATATAAGGAAGCTTTGTTTTTATAACTGTGTTGCCACTCCACAGGGAAAACCTGGAAAATACAGGGAATTTAAAAATCAACTAAAGTAACAGGGAAAATGCAGGGAATTTAAAAATCAACTAAAGTAACAGGGAAAATACAGGGAATTTAAAAATCAACTAAAGTAACAGGGAAAATACAGGGAATTTAAAAATCAACTAAAGTAACAGGGAAAATACAGGNTAATTCATGGTTGCCACTCCACAGGGAAAACCTGGAACATACAGGGAATTTAAAAATCAGCTAAAGTAACAGGGAAAATGCAGGGAATTTAAAAATCAACTAAAGTAACAGGGAAAATGCAGGGAACTTTGATTTTTTCTTTACGAACTGGGAAAATACAGAGAATTTTGTTTCTTATTTTTCTCTTTTAAAAATGGTGACCACTCAAAGTGTAATCTATGGGATATTTAACCAAGATATTTCAGCTATACTAAACTATTTCATCTACTATAACATTATTTAAGTATGTTCAGCTGTTTTTCCAGCAATTAAAACGAATAAATATAGTTAGTCCAATATAGCTCACACAAGTTAACAGTAATTTCTGTTTCCTCTTACTATTTTGTGTTTAATATGTACAATGAAAACACAGGTAATTTTTTTTTCAGATTTGAGTGGCAACCCTGTTTAAATGTAATTTTCTAAAAATTTTTTTCTTTTTATTAAGGTCCGATTTCAAGTGCACCCTTCATTGAATGCTAAAGACGATGCACTACGATACGTCGAAACGCTGATTTTTCGCCTCCTGGGAATGCTTTGTGCTGCTCAACCTCACACCGTACAAGATGTTGAGGAACGAGTTCAAAAGACTTTTCCCCACCCTATCGATAAATGGGCAATTGGAGATGCTCAAAGTGCAATCGAGAAAGGGAAAAAGAAATCCCCCCTTGTTTTACCTGTTGAAAAAATTCACCCTCTCATTCAAAAGGTAATATATTACTTTTCTTATTTATATATCGTATTTTAATGCATATTTGCAATAAACAATTTTGGATAAATTGAATTTGATACTATGAAAAAAAAACTTTGACCTACCTCATGTAAGTTTTAGTTTCTTACTATAGGGCAAATCCACCATTTACAAATCTCATATTCTCAGACTTAAAAAGCATAGAACTTTGTTAAAATAACTCTTTAGTATCATTTACAATTGCTTACATTTTTGTAACTTTCATTAGCTTAAAAAAATTTTTAAAAATTTAAATCTAGATATTACGTTTCTAACACAATGTTGCACCGGTATTTTTTTTATTTTTTTTTTCTTTCTTAATTTTTAAAACTTAATAAAAGTTGGGGTAAGTATAAATGACATCAATAATTATTTTGGCAAATATTATAAGGTTTACTTGATTTTTTTTTAAGTGAGTTATATACTTTTAAAATCTGTGAATATGATATTTGTAAATGGGAGAATTACCCATTTATGACAGTTGTCTTTTTAACAGCTGGTTTATGTTCTTAAGGATATTTTCTTTTTCGCATGTGATTAAAAGAGAATTTAGAGAAATATTCCATATTTCAATGATCTATCTTTCTTTCTTATGATGGGATTTTTATATATATTATTAGTAAAATTAATTTTAATTCCAAATGGAAAATTCTTAATTTTAGTTTTGACTACAGTCAATTTTTATCAACAAACTTGTAACTACAAATGCATGCACTGCTTATCCAAACCTTTGGGGATTTGAACTGAAAATGTTACATTTGAATGCTCTCATCTATCTTAAATTCTTTCATTTTCATATACTATAGCAGTTTTTAATAGCACTTAAGGCAAGAAATTATTACTTTCTTTCTTGTGGTTATTTCTATTTTTTTTCTCCATTTATTAAAGATCAAGTCATCTTTAAAATAAAATAAGAGTTGACGTAACTTAGAAGCAAGTAATGAAGAATATTTATCATAAAATTAAAAAAAAAGGTTCTTGATCTCATTCAGAAATCAAATTATAGTAATATTCAAATTATATTGAGACTTGTTGCATTATATTGAGGCTGTATTAGATTTTTTTAATGTTTGCCATATCAGTGTGACAGGTAACGTAATAATTGTACGCTACGTTATATTGAGACTGTATTAGATTTTTTTAATGATTACCATATCAGTGTGACCGGAGTTTTACATTAACTCTGAGATTTGATTAATTTCTCACTTTGTTTTCTTCCAATTTTATATAAAAATTTTAATTTGATATTTAATCATGACATTTTATTTGATAATTTATTCAAAATTTTTTAAAATTATTTATCATATTCTACCCCTTGTTAAATTTATGTTACTGACTGAAATTCTTGAAAACTGAGTTAAAAAATGTAAATTAAATTTTTTTTTTTTTGTCATGTAATATTGTACGTGTTTCTTGATATATATGCATTTTAATTGAAATTTCATTTTTTATTTTTAAAAAAAAATAATAATATTGAGATGCATGGCAAGTTAGCAATATTTTTACTATGCAGATTTTAAAAATATTAATTATCATGTACTAAAATATTTTTAAAAATTAGCGATAAAATTTAACAAATTTAAATGAAATATATGTACCTAAATATGTATTGTAAAGTGAATTTTTTAAAAAAAATTTAGCATATTTAAGACGTTGACTGCTGTATGACCCGTATTGGGGTGATGCTTATTTGACTAATTGAGTAGGATATTTGTATGTATTTCAAAAGATATTTCACAGGAAGTAACAAAACTGTTGAATTGTTGTAAAAGGCATACAAAATTATTAGGAGACTCGTAAATGCTTTCTTTTTCATTGCTATTTGACTAACTCAGGTATAAGTTGTCCATTTTTCTTTTCGAAATTTCAACGAATTAGGGTAAAGATTTTAAATTATACTCCTCTTTACTCAGCAGTGATCGTGTAAAGTGGTGAGATAAGAAACAGATGCACAAATAAACAGACATCATACCATGTAAACAAACGGAGCAAGATATTATTCTTGTGACCACCAGAGAAAATATTGGTGGAAGTACTTAGTAGAATATGCTTTGTACAGCTGCATTTGTAGCCTGAAGGAGATTTCACTTTAAACGTGTGTAGCAGTCAATCTGTTAAACCAAGGGTTTAAAAAATGTCTATCTCAAATAAAATTGCCTATCTGTGAAAATTACTAGTATACCTTTAAAGAAAAAAACACCAAAATTTTGTATTTATTAGTAAATTGCGTTGCGCTTTAATTGGAATCTATCTGCAACTTATTTTGCATTTCAATTTTTTATCAGTTAGCTACTTGGTTGTAATTTTTTATTTTGTTAAATTTAAACATTGACATTTTTATTTTAGGAGATATTGGGCTATAAAGTAGACTTACAAGTAACACAATATATTGTTGCTGTTCTGGAATACATTTCAGCTGATATTTTAAAAGTATGTATTTTTTGTTGTTGTTGTAAATCTTTTTTTTTTCCTTTCTTTTTTTTGTAATAAAAATCTTGCATTATTTAGTTTTGTTTTAGAAGCAGGACATTAGTTATTCTATGTATGTTTTTATTCTCAATACTTGTACCTTATTGAATAAATTGACTTTTATACCAGATTGATGCTTCAGTTCTGTAACAAAGAGTAAAATTTATTATAAATTTAAGTCCATTGCCTTTGATAGAATTTTTCAATTTGAATTGATATTCATGTGTATTGAACAGTTTTTTTTTATCTTGTTAATGTAATTTTAAAATATCAATTTATCTAACTGTGTTTTAATATAATACATACCCATAAAAATACTGTTTATAAGGTATGTAAGTTGAAGTAAAAATAATTTAACTGCTCAGATATCAGAGATAATTTTATGTATGTAAAGGATATAGATTTTAGCTCAGGAAATTTTAAAGTATGTAATGCCCCTAAACATTTCACTCTTTCCAATTGAATTTTCTGAACTACTTTGAAATTAGGATTTTGATAATAAAGAATTTATATGACTTTTTTAGGTAAAATAGTTAGTTTTATTTTTACTTTGTTAATTTTTTTATATTATTTCTTTGTTGATGCCCATAAGGAAAAATTTCCATGAAAAGCTGACCATTTTCCCTTTAACTTAACAAATTCTTGGTTAATGCATGCAAATAGATAGATTTTAAAATAAAAAGTAGAAAGATTTTGAAACTTTTTTTTCATGCATCAATAATATGTTATTCTTTTTATTAGTTGGCTGGAAATTATGTGAAAAATATACGTCATGTGGAAATAACATGCCAAGATATAAAAGTGGCCATGTGTGCAGATAAAGTAAGTTAAAACACATTTACCATTTCAAAAATATACTTTTCTCACTTATTTATGATCTTGTAAAATAAAATATTTTTTAAGCCAATTCAGTGTTATCAATATTATAAGTTAACTATCTGTTTTTGCCACTTCACTTATGCTAAAGTTTAAAAGTTGTTGCATAAATTCTTCTTATAATTAACTAACTGAATTCCAGCTTATGAAAATTGTAATAAATTTAATTTAACTTCTGTAGCAGGTTTTGTTCAAATTATTATTACTGTTAACTGCAGTTATGCACAATGTACAAAAAAAAATATATCAAGTTACAAAATTAGAAACGAAAGCATAATTTCTCTGAATAATAATTTCTGACCATCAAAATATACTCGGTAACAAAAATCTAGAAAATTGGTTTAAATAGTCAACTCAGGGAAGCAGTTGAAAGTTTTTGCCCCTTAATGTTAATGTCAGCTTTTGTATCTTTCATAATTTTTTGGAAAAAATTTTAATGGAACAAAACATTTTTGGACACTATTGTATTATTTGCTTAGATAAATTTAATTCAATGAAAAAAAATAATTGTTAATAATTATTTATTTTTCATCATTTTATTTAATAGTAGTCGAAAATTTTTTGAACTGTAAGGTGTCAAAGTCTTTACACCATGTAAATCTTTTGGATAAGAATTTATGAAATTAAAAAAGTGATGTGTTTTTAAAATTTGATTTCCTAAAAACTGTGCGAATGGTTTTGTTAATTTTTTTTATTAAGATTGATTCTTAGTTCGTGAAAATAAGATTATAAGAACAAACGTTATTCAGGGTAATATCTTCTTTTTAGCGCTATTCATAACTATCAAAATCACAATGATATACAATTACATGCTCTCCATTTAAAATTTTAACTCTACAGTTATAGATTCTTTCATTTCAGTGTTAGGTAAAATCTTTTTAATATTTTTTTAAAATCTCTTTCTAACCATAGTTTGTTATAATCAAATAATAATTTTTTTTTAAAGTTTACATGTCAAGAATGCATCTGTTAACAAATTAAAAAATTTTTTTTGCTATTTTTTATTGTTACAGAATTTTATCTCCCTTACAATGACAAAGTAGCTTCGTTATTATGAGAAAACATTGCTATAGATTGTCATTTCTGCTTTTACCCAATACTGTTAAGTTCCTTTTAAATATTATTAATATGATAAATATATTGCATTAGGTACTCATGGACATGTTTTATCAAGATGATGATGTTGCTTTAAGTATTGAAGATGAACCTATACAAAGGAAGTCCCTAACTTATGATGAAGTTGTTAAAGATCTTATCCATGAAGAAAAACAATACATCCGATATTTAAATATGATTATTAAAGTTTTCAGAGAACCTTTTGTTAAAATATTGGAAGAAAAAAGCAAAGTGAGTATTATTTAAATTACTTTATGTCCATAACTATTTTTTAATCTTTATTATTACATTTATTTATACACATATTCCTTATTATTATTATTTGGTATTGCAAGGAAAACATTTTCAATAAAAAAAAAGCAATTTTATTATGAAATTTATTTACAGTATTTTTATGTGAAATTGTTGAAGTATAATTGAATGAATTACAAATAAAGTAAGAATTAGTGTCTTAATCTTGTTAAAATATCTTTTCTTCATAATAGTTTTATTGTGTGTACACTAACTGATATTAGGACTAAAACTAGGTCTTTAAAAGTTTACTTATACTTATTAATTCGTTGCTAAGTAGGCATAGTCGAAAAATTTCCTTGCATCTTTTTAAAAAAGCAGCTGAAAAATCAAGAAATAATTTTAAAAAAGTTAAAAAAAAGTTTCTGACAAAATTTTTGTAGATTCTTTCTTTCAATATGTGTATTCAAGAAGCAAACTAATGCTTTGTGAGAACGTGATTTTACAAAATCGTTTTTTTTAAATATTTTATTAATCTATTTTCAGGAACTAGATACAATTTTTACCAATATTTGTGAAATTTACGATTTCTCAGTCACTCTTCTCGGTACATTTGAAGATGCTTTAGAAATGGCTGAAGAAAACTCAAGTCCATCTTTAGGAGCTTGTTATGAGGAACTTGCTGAAGTATGATAATGAACTTAATTTTGTAATAAATTTTTTTCAGAAACTGTCATCTATATTTTTTCCCTCCTTTTAAATGTGTTACTTCTTTCAAATTTATGCAAACTTAATCCAAAATTTAGAATGTTAAAAAATTAATTTTGTCACGCTATCTAGTGACCAATTTATAATCTCTCATATCTTGAGCTTTATTCTGATTGTTTAATGTATTGATTTTATCTATTGTAATTTTATACAAGGTTCTATAAAAAATATAATTTACAGGAATTATTGAATGGATGGTAGCATAACTTTTAATTTTTATATTAAATTTTACTAAAGTGTTGGGCACCAGCCATGATTTTTTATTTTTCGTGAAATGACTACTACTGGGTGCCTGAATTTGAAGACCTTGGTTTTATTCAATTATATTGTTTATATGTATATGTTAGATTTACATATACAGTATAGTCTGTCTAAGCTAAGAACTCCTCCCGCCAGAAAGTCTGAGGCAGTCTGGTGCTATGGAAACAAGAATGGTGCATTTTAGGTCTAGGAAAGAGTCTAGGAAGAGTCTTCAGTCTAGGAAAGAGATTCCCTTTCTCTCGACGACCCCAGTCGAAACCACCCCAAAACAGTGACCCCATCTTGAAATAGTCATACCTCGCTACCATAGTCACCGCCACAGGTCAGGCGAATGTCTGGAGGAGTTCTTATTTAAGACAAACTATAGTCTTTGTTTTATTTGATCACTTTGGGACACAATGATTTAGATAACAATAAACAAATCAAAAAGTTTGATAAATTTACTAATTTAAGCCACGCATAGTGAGTTCTAAAGTAAAATTAAAAAACTGACCTCGTATTTATGTACTTTATTTTTTTTAAAGCATGCAAATTATACATAATTTGAAAAAAAAATCACCACTTGTTGTTTGTCTATGATTTTCTTAACAAGCTCATTGATAAATTGTTTGTAATCTTATTGTTTTTAAAGTCATTTAAGCAGTATTGTACTCAACTTTTCAGCACTTTGATATTTTAAGCATTTATTGTAGGCTCAATATTTTCATTTGACTCAATAGTTCCATCATTCGTCTTTCTTCTCATAATAATCTAACAGACTTAATATAAAAACTCTGTTAATGTAAGAATATAGGGATATTCAAACAATGATAAAGAGAAAGAGACCAACAGGCTCCATCTGAATTCACAGTGATTTTCATAAAATTAAATTAAAACAATGATGATACTAAACAATATATTGATCACAGAAAATGATAATTTTAATATATAAATCAATAGAAAAAGTTTGGACTTATTGTTATCAAAAGATTGATAACAATAAGCGATTGATAACATACACTTCGAGACATTAATTAAAAGTAGAGACTACTGTATGTAAGTTTGGAACTTCAGTTTTAACTTTACTGACTAAATATGCTCCTTTTTTTTAAAAAAAAATTGAGTTCTTGTTTAATATGAAATAAGTTTTTTATGCTTTTTCATCTCTCGATTTGATTTTCTGACAAAGTTTTGTCTTTTTCAGTCCTATGAATTCGATATTTATTATCGATATGCGCATGATATTCTGATGCCAGCTAGTAGGGAAAATTTGATGTCTCTATTACATCAACCACATGTACGGCATGCTTTGCAGGTAAGGATAAAGCTTTCGAATTAGAGTACAATATAATAAAAATGACATAACTTTTGGTGACAATCGAAAAAATCCCAGTTTTCTTATTTTCTTCGCAGCTTACTTTTTCAGTACATTTTTTTTACTAAATGAAACTCTTAAAATTTTTTTTAATTAGTAATTTAATTAGTAGTATAGTAAGTACCGTGAAGTAAAAACTGATATCCTCAACCCAAAAACCAAGTGTTAAGATTTATTTTACTAATAGTTTAGAAGCATTTCTTTTGCTTATTTAATTCCTTTTTCTCAAATATGGAATATGGTCATCTTTATGTGTTGCTGTTACTAGGTTTGACACCTAGAATTTACATCTTAGTCTGCAATAAACTACAACAGCAATCAGGTTAAATCCTGCTATTTATTTTTTGATGTCTATTATTTCCTTTTTAATTATTTCTTATATGCTTGTATTCTTTTACTATGTATACCCCCTGTGGCAGAATTTTTTCTGACTTTCTGCGACGAACCTAATTAGAACCAATATCTATCTGCAAGACTTTTTTATCGTTATAAAATGTATGTGTAATGAATTTATAATAATAGATGAAATTCGTGTTTATAAAATAAGTCTACATGCATAGAATAAAACTGTGTAGATTTTTTTTCTTAATTTCATAATTTAAGTAAGTTGAAATTGTTTAAGTATAAATTTGCATAATCTTCGATAATAACGAAAAGTTATGAATGTATAGATCTGCAGACAAAAATGCTTACTAGAGCATAAATAAAGATTACCCAGAACCTGTAATAAGATAGAACTTATAGAAATAGCTAAGAGTGGACAAAAAGATTAAATTTATAAAACAAGATAACTGAATTTGAAGTATCAGTTTAAAACAGTATGATTTAATGTATCATTATAGTAGTTATATCAGGTACAGAAACAAATCAGGTGAAAAAATTAATATTGAAGTTGAGTAATCAAAATAATAAAATAGTATTGACTATAACCGAATTCTAAAAGCAAAAAAATTAAAGCAATGTTTGTTTCAATTTTTTCTACATCTAATTAATTAGATTCGATTAATATTGTACTGATTTATAGAAAGATTTCTTTTTAAAAAAAAGGAGGTAAATAAAACTTTTTTCGTGATCAGATTAAGTTCAGAACGAAAAAAATACACAGAGCTTGTGATTTCTCACTGTATTGTGTAAATATATAGCACTGATTCCACACGAAGTATGCAGAAGCAGTTTCCGACTCAATATGCTCAAGTCTATTCAACATCTCGAAACGAATTAGTCTTTATCAGTACTGAAACATCGGTATTAGAGCCATACTCATTGGATGCGATTTTTTTCGCATGCGTATGGAAACCTGTTTGAAAGTGTTTCACCAGTAAATATTTTCCACCAATCTGGTTTTCATTCGCATGCCAAAAAATCGTAGATAGTGAGATATCTTAGGCTTTATTTCATTTATCGTTATATTGCAAGTGTTTTTTTTATATCGACGGCTTAATTCAAAAGATATAGGCATTTTATCATCCGTTTCATCCTTGCTATCAACATCGCTACTAGTAAGAATATTTGGTTTGAATCTAGAACGTTTTTTTTTTCTTCAATATTAGTAGCGTGGAAAGCTTCTTTCCTCTTTTCCTGTCGCTTTCTAGGAAAAAAAATCTCTGACATCGCTAGATGTTGTCGACTTCCATCTTATTTCTTCTTCGGAATGCCGCCTTGAAAAATCAGTTTTCAAATTTGTTTTAATTATTGTGGCTTCACAATTGCAACAAATAACCTTTTCGCTAGACATGATTTTTTTAAAAAAAGAATCTTTTTACGCATGAAATTTTCCACATAAGTGCAAAAAATATAAAATGCTCTGTTCTCATAAGAAAACACAAAGCAAATTACTGCGCCAGCGATAGAGGCCGAAGTTGGCAAATTTCCAAAAATAGCTTAATAAAGGGGAAAAAAATTCTCCCCTTTTTATCCAGTAACTGTTTGTGTTGGAGATTAACGGAGAATTACGAGCGCTTTCTCCTTCCGCGGTACGCTAGAAAAAAAATATATTTAAAACAATTCTGTAAGAAAAAAATTTTGCAGAACCATTATTGCTTCTGCAGAAATTTTTTGTTTTTGTAGAAAAAGTTTTTTTTCGGTAAAACAGCTTCTGTTTCTGCAGAATTTTTTTTGAGAACTTTTGTTTGTGGCAAACCAAAAATTTTTATTTCCCAAATAAAAAAAATCTTTCTGCAAGAACTCAGTCGCTTTCTGCGACAATGTCGCTGAGTCGCCGTGTTTCTACCACGGGGTGTATACCTGGTTATATAATATATAATTTGGTTTTGCTAATTTGTTATTTGAATAGCAAAATTAATAATTTTTATTAGAAATCATATAAATTCCATTTGAACCTAAACCAATGAATTCCATATTTTTATTGGTTTAGGCTCAAAATATTTTTTATTCATTGTAGAGAATATGTGAATGATCATGAACAAACTAGTTAAAAAATTGTTTAAGTATCACAATTTTGCATTTGTAAAAATTACTAATCTTGCAGGTTTGCCATAAAACACTGAAATAATCAGTGCATCATGTAAATCATGTTGAGAAACATTATACTAGCGGATTGTTACATCCAAATTACAAATTGTGATCCCATAATTTTTTATTTCATTAATATCTTTACCTTGACCCCCAAAGTACATTTATAATGAAAATATTTTGTGCATGACATAGCATTGTTTATTTAGATATATGTTTATAATTCTGTTATTTTTTGCAGAGTGCTGGACATGGTTTTATCCAAGCAGTAAAGTATGTCTTGCCAAAACTTCTGTTGGGGCCAGTATTTCATTGTTTTCAGTACTTTGATTATTTAAAAGTAAATATACTTAGTAATTTTTCTGTTAAAATTACATTATTTGATACTATGTTGTTACAAAATCTTAAAATAATTTAATAAAATGAATATTCTACATATATGTTTAAAATATTATTCATAAATTATGCATTTAATTAATAAGCAATTGCTTTATTTACTTTTTAAACAGTGCTTGATTTTCTAATTTAAAAGTTTTTTTTTTGTATATATATTAAATTTGGTCTTTCAACAATAAGAACTTTGCATACGCTAATAACTGAATTTATTAGTGGTTTCAATTTAGAAATTCTTACTTGTTTGAGAAATCCATTCCAGTTTTTATAATTACACTTTGTGTTTTAAACTTAATTTTTTTTTTTTATTGTTCAATAGCGGTGTAAATATTTCTCTGTTAATTTTCTATTATTTATTAATTTGTTCACATTTTTTGTATGTTTTATATTAGTATTTTTTATTCATTATATTTCGTAAAAAAAAGTAGTTTACTAATTATATAAATTAATTTTCTAATGATGGGAGAAATCATATTTTGATACAGTTTCAAATAAAATAATTATTTTTAAAGTCCTATTTTATGTGATGCTATTTTTAATTTTAAATAACCCATTTCTTTTTGTTTTTCAACAACAAAGTGCTCGTGGATAAAATAATTGATTTTAAATTCTAATGTAAAATTCTAATTATGATGTAACAATAATAGTTTGTCTTAATGTCTTTAAGCAAGTTGTTTAAATATGAACTAAATTATTGTAAATTCTAGGTTTTAAAAAAGCTGAGCCCATCTAGTGAAGATCAAGAAAGTTTGCAGCAAGCTGAAGGAGTTTTTACACGATTGAGAGCTCAATTAGAAGAATTATGCAGTCCCATTTTACCTAAAAGAAAGCAGGGGTAATGTTCTTTTATTTTATGATTGTTTTGCTTACTTTTTTTTCCTTCCTGCAAATATGATGTCTATGGAATGAATATCATTATTTAAATTCCATTATAAAATGTTACTGAAGTGCTTGTCGGTATTTTTTACTTCATCAAAGTGCCTGCAAATCAATAAAAAAATAATCCTGCTCATTGTTTCATATAAAAATGGTTAATTTATATTCTATTTTTTAAAATAAAAATTAGTTTTAAAATTTTACTTTAAAAATAGCTTTTTTTTAACTTCCTCAGTTTTAAAAAATTTTATGTGTTGAAATAGTAAATTTCAAAAAATTCTGGGCAAAAACTTTAAGAACTAATGCTGTATGCTGGAGATGAGTTTGAGTTTCAACTCTGCTAACATCTAAGGTGCACCTGTTGTTTCTATGGAATACAGACTAATTTTACGGAGTTACTGTAAGCTTTAGAAACAATATGGAGTTTGCCTTTTTCATTGTCAGAATGTCTAAACAGTTTTAGTTTTTGAGCAATATTCTCAGAAAATCACTTTTTCCTATACATGATGTAAAGGACCCTATTTTTAGTATCGAAAACTCTTAAGATATGCTATCGAGAGTTCTTGTCTTATGTTATCAGTTCTGGAGAATAAAGTCTGAAGATTAGCAATCTAGACTTGCATAATTTTCTTTTGAGTAAGAGATCGTTCAATTTATATAGTTATTGTCGTTACAAAAATACTAGTTCATGGTTAATTATTATTCAATAACTATACGAAGTTTTTATTATTTAAGAAGGCAATTGAGGGGAACCTCATTCAGTTTAAAAGTTAGAGAGCCGAAATTATCTTGTATGTATCATGATAAACTTACAAAGAGTTACAAACTGGCGAAGAGTTGCCATTGAAAAATATTAAAATGTCCCAAAAGATTTTTTTATTTGTTAAAAAGGTTAATTTTATTATTTTTATTCTATTTAGTTCTGTTTTAGTTCTAATTTTTTCTATTTTTGTGTGCAGGGAAGCATTTTCCAGAATGTACTGTAAAAATAATCGCCAAGCTTCTATACAAAAGATGAATGACCTCCAAAAAAGTATTGATGGCTGGGAAGGCAAAGACATTGGACAGTGTTGCAATGAATTTGTAATGGGTAAGAAAATTTCAAGTAATCCTTAGAAATACTAATTTTTATGTTTGTGTTAAGAATAAAGATTAATTTTATCAATTTTGTCAGTCATTTAAACATTATTTGAAAACTCAAATGTATTTGCATCACTATTTAAGATTTTTTCTTCTTTTAGTTTAAAGTACGATGTTGACTTTTAAGTTTTCTTACTTAAAATAAACATTCCTTTTAAAAAAATATGTTATGGAGACAGGCATTTTTATGAAAATGTATGTTTTCTAATCAGTAGAATATGCTGTTTTATTTAAAGCAGTTTGTTTTTGTGTGACAAAAAGTAATCTGCCAAAATAATTAATATTTCATATTCATAAGTTGTTGTTTTTTAAACAAAATTAAACGTATAATCTCTTTTGAGAAATTATAAATATTTTGTATTTATGACAGACAATTGCTTTTATGATAAATAAATAAGTTATTTATTATATATTATGTTTTGAACTAATTTGCTGATTAAAGTAATTAGTTTTGAACCTTGTGTTATAAATTATAGAAATGCTTCTTTTTTTACATGCTTCATTACTCAATAGAATGACTTGATTTTTGCGTTGCATATTCTTTTTATATCCTTTTTATTTTAAATTTTTTTTCACCCTTTTGTTGTTTTTCAGGGATTTTAAATCAGAGATTTATGAGTTAGTAAATTTTAAGACATATAATTGTCATTATTATATTATATATTTAAAGTTAATGGTTGAACCAAAAGTTTATTTTGTTTTCCTTTTAACTTTTTACTTTTAATTTTATGTCTATAATAGTTTTATTAATTTTAAAATGCAATATAAAATAACTAGCTGTATACAATTTTATTAATAAAGTGGATAGTCTCAATAAACCATTTTCTATAAAATCATTAAAGATAAATTAAACTTAATTTTATATTGATAATTTAAATATCTGTGTATTTTGTTCTTTGACTTGAGAATTGTGTGTGTTTAATTGATCTAATTCAATATATAATTGAGAATTATAATTGAGCTAATAATTGAGAATTGTTTTTCAATATTTATGTGCTAATTATTTTTCTAATCAATCAATAGAGGGCATTCTTGGTAAAGTTGGATCTGGAGGACGTCGTTTAACAGAGAGGCAGGTTTTCCTGTTAGATGGCCTGATGATACTTTGTAAGCCAAACAACAAACGTTCTAGTGTAACAGGTCCGGTAGCTGAATATCGTTTGAAAGAAAAGTATTATTTAAGAAAAATAGAAATTCTCGACAAAGAAGACAGCGATGGTAAATTATTTTTGTTATTTATCTGTATTCATGCTATTAGTTGTTATTGTTAAAACTTTATTGTTAACATATTGCACTTGTAGATTTAGTTAATCCATCCGTATCCATTCTTTTCAACAATTCAAATAATGCATTCTGTTTAGGTTCTTTTTGTATAACTCTTATGCATTTTATTCTATTGTCATCTAAGTGAAATCACACACTCTACATTGATTTTTAATTTTGCCATTACCTTTAGTTTCTTAACTGGCGCCAGTTGATCACATTCGTTCGGTTGAACGAAAACATTGTAGGTGAACAAATACTTTTGTAAAATTTTTTATTTGGGTGACTTTTTCACTAGCACACTTGGGGTAAAGCTATTCAACATTCGGAAATAAAATTTTTGTTGAAACTGAAATCATTATATTTAATTTCTTAAACTTAAATATGGATATTTTTTGTATGCTGTAGAAATCGTTTGGTGGTGTACTTGCTCAGAAAGGTATCACTGTGTTTTTTTACACACCTGGCGTTTGCAGGTTGCAAACTCAAAATAAGGATTCAACAATGACATCTTAGCGAAAATGCATTAACATAAAGTTGTAATAAAGCTTAACAGGTTGTTGAACTGTCAATGTGCACATTATAATTAAACAAAATGGCTAAATAGGTATGTAGTTAACTTAAATGTATTTTTTTCTTTTTGTGTCCTACAGTGTTTAATAATTTTGTGTGTTTATTGATGCAGCTGAAAGTAAAATTCAGGGGGAAAAGTTCATGTTAATTTTATGTGATTACTTACAGAACTGAAGAATGCGTTTGAAATTGCTCCACGAGATCAGTTACATATTATTTTGTTTGCCAAGACAAGTGAAGAAAAGAATAACTGGATGGCTAATTTGATCATGCTAAATACTAGAAGGTAACCTTTATTTCAGTAACCATTAGTAACCGTCAGTAACCGTTAACTAGAAGGTAACCTTTATTCAGTTTCGGTAACCTTTATTTCACTAAACTCAGTGTTTTTATTAAATGACTTGGTATTTTATAAACTAAGTATTAAACCTAATGGAATTGTTTCTATAACAAATTTCTAAATAATAAAAAAATTAAATGCAGTTGAATTTTTATTATGGAGTGTTATATATTTTTTTTTCTTATTCATATAATTATTTTAATAGCTTATTATAATTGCAATGTTATCCTTATCTTAATAAAATTTTTTAGAGATTTTTTAACTTCATTAACTGAAGAATAGAAGCTTCTGATTTATTACAAATTTCGTAATTGATAAAATTCGTGATTGACACTACTGGGCTGCTCGCTTTCATTTATAGATTTATTGTTATCTCTTTGATATTCAACTGTCTTTTAAAGTGCCTTTGAAATAATTAAAAAAAAAAGAAATATTGGTATAAATACACTTTTCATTCAACCTAGTGCTTGAAAGAAAAGTGTATTTATACCAATATTTCTTTTTTTTATTATTATTTCAAATATCAAAAAGATAACAATAAATCTATAAATGAAAGCGAGCAGCGCAGTAGTGTTCTTTTATTGATGTCCGAGGAAAAGCAGGACATCTAAACAGGTGAGCCAAGTCCATCTCCTCAAAGAGATTAGATCACACAAGGTACAAAAAGGATCAGGAACCTCGTCGATGTTACGAAAATGTTTTATGAGGCAATCGTGTCTAGATATCAGATGAAACATGCTGACAGATTTCAATCTAGGCCACTGAGAGACATTGAGAATCTGTTTAAGCCATGGTTTATTAGAATTGCGATTTTTGAGTTCTTCGCAAAAAGAGTCCCTGAAGATGTTCTTTATTAGACATTTGACATTATTGAAAGGAAGTCTGGAATTAGAACTCTAGAGGACGAAGACCCCATTTTTTGTCAGGAATTCGGCCACATGATTTTTTGGGATACCACAGTAGGCCGTAATTGATTGCAGATCTTATTCTTACTGGCAAACCAGTTGAGAAAATTTAAGCAATTATCACTGGTTAAAGTTCTAGAGCGGCTGGGTGTATCAATTGCTTGAAGTGCGACCTTTGAACCAGACAACAATTAACTGAAGTAAATTAATGAACACATAAATTCCATCCTTACATTATTTTTTGCTCTATGATAAGTAAAACATATTTATTTCAAATTTTTTGTATTGTGTATGTAAATTCATTCATAAATTTTTTGTGCTCAGACAAAGATGCCTTATCTGTTTTTAATGTTTTAATTAATTTCATAAAGTTATACTTTATTAGTTTCAGATCCGTTTTTTAATCAATGTGCTAAAATTTACTTTTCAGCATGTTAGAAAGAACACTTGACAGTATTCTATTAGATGAAGAAAAAAAGCATCCACTACGTCTTCCAAATCCAGAAGATTACAGGTAATCAGAAATCAATATTTTTTGCAGTAGTTTTGTAGTACAGTCTATGTGTACAGCGAGCTGTCTGAGGACCCAACAATAAGTCCACTGTAAATAGTTCCACTATATTGAAATTTTTTGAAAAAAAGAATTAAGTTTTAGTAAATGACAATAGTATTATTGAAAATAATTGTTGCTATACTACATAATTTTTGTATAAATAATTTACTGATTAATTAGAATATGAATCAAAAATTAAAAATCAAAATAAGTAATTTTTACATTCTATCTATGAAATTAGTTATTTTCAATTGACTGCAATTGGATTTTAAGCTGAGTTTACAAACTTTTGTATGATGATTAGTAAATAATCCAAAATTTTTTAGTCCTTATTTTCAGTTTGCTCTAGTTTAGAGGTGAAGATAATACAAGAGTAAAATTTGACTCAGTTTTAAAAAAATGCTGCCGTTTTCAATTGCAACTTCCGCAAATTTTAAGTTGGAGAAGTGAAAAAAGGAAGAAAAAAAAACTGAAGAAGCATAATTATTATTCAGTATAAACAATATACCAATTTTTTATTTGTCTACTATAAGTGTATAAAATATTAGTTAAATGGTACCTCAGAAAGGTCCGTTGAAAATACTCACTACAACTGAGTATTGACTATATCCCAGGTACATTGTTGTGGGGTTCAACTGTATTAAAAATCTATTGGTAATTTACTGCTTTGTTCTCTTTTATAGGTTTGCTGTGGAAGATTCTGAATCTAATATAATTTTTGAAGAAAACAAATCGAATGTTAGTGTTCCTATAATTAAAGGAGCCACACTGCTGAAACTTGTGGAACGTTTAACCTATCACATGTATGCTGATCCTATGTTTGTTCGAACTTTCCTCACTACCTACAGGTCTTTCTGCCAGCCACAGGAATTGCTGGATCTTCTAATTGAAAGATATCCTTTTAAAGAAAGTTTTAATTTCTTATTAATTAGAATGTTTGATGGATTTGAAAAATTTAGTGAATGGTCTCATAAAAAACTAGAAATAATAACAGCGCTTAAAGTTCTCCTTAAAAAAGAAGAAAGTGTCCTTAATTACTAAACATTTAAATAAATGTCCTGAAATTTTTGCGATTTTCCTATTTTTTGTTAAAATTAGCAGGAGGAAAATATATTTATCTAACAATTATGTTATATGTCTTGCGAAACAAAATGAATGACAAAGTCTTCATATCTTGTCAAGTACGATATTAATCTACTTTCAATATTAGAAACAATTACTCTTAATTTGATGGCATAAAAGCATTCGATGTGGGAAATATATAAAAAGCTCTTATCTCTCTACTCTATCCTAATCACTATGTTGTACTTTGTTTTTCACGAGAGAATCCTTTACGATTTTCCATGTTTAGACAATTTTCTCCCCTTTTTCGTAAAAAAGAAAAACCGAAACAGAAATTTTTGTGTAACTTTTTAAAAAAAGAATCTGAGTTATTTTTAAAAATATTTCTTTTTTCACTTAAGTGCTGGAACTACTAAAACTATTACTGATTGTATGTCTGCGAATCTATGTTGATATTGCACAAATTGCTCCCATTAAGGAATCAGCATCCTTAAATTGTCTTGGAGATTCAGATTGGAGGCAATTTTGAGCTTAATCTTTTAAAGTTTGGACTTCGAGCCCTGAAACAAAGTATCAATTCTAGCATTTAAAAAGTAATAGCAGTAACTGTATACATTAGAAACTCGACTATCCAGAATGTGCAGAAATCAGCAAATTCTGGATATGCGAAAATTCTTAATACTTGTTCCCAAAATCTCTATTTGCCACACCTCAATTAAATCAAAATGTACACAATTGACATTTTTTAAAAGATAATGTAAAGTGGTTTAAATTAGAATATTTATCCATAAATAAAGAAAATTTAAGATTGTAAAGTGGAGAAAAAAACTTAAAGCAACCTAAAATAAAAAATATCATTTTACATTTCTTGCTTTATTTATAAAACACCGAAAATCACAGATTTTTATCTTATTGTATTTATCCCGAAACTGCCATGCCTCACTAAAAACTATGATTAAAGTATGATTTTTTTCAGAATGCCTGCTGTTAGATTTGTAAATAAATAAAGCTGAAATCGCAAATTGAAAAAAAAAAAAATTCTTCCTTAATTTTTAAAACGGAACTTTAAACTGATTCTTTGCTATACTACTGTATTTTCAGGAAAAAAGTTATAATAAAAGAAAAACATCTATTAGAAGTGCTCTTAAATAATGCTATAAAATAATAACGCCAATAAAAAAAAATTTATTTTAAAAAAGCAAATGAAACAAAATCTGTTTTTTAAAATAAAAAATTTTACTTCGTAGAAAATACGACTAATTTATTATGCATCATCATCACATTTTTGCATGACAGCATAGGGTGGGCCAAGGAGGTCTGTTGAAGATTTTTCCAATATGGTTAATTTTATGACCTGGATTGTCAGAGTATGTACCATATTAATTTTAAAGTACATTTAAATGTAAATATTCTTCAAGAAATTTGAGTTTCGGATGACGTTCACTTGTGAACTTTTTTTTAAGTGGGTAAGTAACAAAAATGATTGAACCCTATGGAACGAAAGTCAGAACTATTTTATATGTTACACACAGTAAAGTAACTCATAACAATCAAAAGTGACTCATAAGCGGTTTACAATGAAAATGAGACATTTCTACTTATTAAATTTTCAAGGTTCTAGAGTCATTGTTCACCCTACAGAAACTATAAAGTCAGTTAAAATTCTTCCTAACACTCTCTGATTGAAGATTAAGAGTTAATTTTAAAATAAATTTATGCACTTATTGTCTTTGGAGGGTAAAAAGTGACAACCCGCAACCACCAGTTATATCCAACAAGAGCTTTTATTTGACTGAAATAAGGTAAGAAATACTGATATAATTTAATAAAAGGCCATACATCTCTGCTGTATCTTTGACAGTAAAGCCTGTAAATCACTTAACTACAAAAATGTGACTTTTTACTCCTGAGATCTTCATTTATTAAACTTATAAATGATTTTGTTGTTATGACACCTTAACTTCAGTGCAAATTTAAAATAGTTGATCCTCCTCCACCTCCTGTTCTTCTTGATACAACTTTGAATGACTCTGTTATTGAGAGCCACAAAAATTCTTACAGTCAAGATATAAAACGCTTCAAAAAAGAGTATTGCCAACCTGTACAATTTAGGTAAGTACAAAATTATCATGTTTACTTTGTGCTTCTCTGTTGAAGCAAGTCTATTTCTTTTTTGAAAATTATACTCAAAGATTTATTAAAGTTATATGTCTGCTGAGGTGCCAACTTTCCAAACTAGTTATTAGTAATCAGACAAACAATAATAAAGGTGTCTATATTACTGAATTTATTGTATGTATGTAATAATAAAATTATGTATAAATTTATTAAAAAAAACTAAACTAACTTATATAAATTAATAAAGTACTAACTTAATTTAATTGATGACTTGGAATGAATGTTCCAGCTTTTGATAAATTAAAATTATCCCTTATTGCCTTTTATCATCCTGCATTTGAACCACTAAAAATGTTTGCTCAAAGCATTTCAGGTTCAAGTTAATGTTTTCTTTCTTTTTTTATAAAGAGATAAGATAAAATTTCACAATTTCTTGTTAGAAGGGAGAAAGATTAATTTTTTTTCTTGTTTCTATCAAATTGTTTTTTGTTTTTTATTCATTTTTTTTATAATTGTTTATGGAACTTTAAAAATTTTATCATGGATTAATTATAAAAAAATATTTCATAACTCTTGGTAGTAATAGGGAAAAAAAATTCATTTTTAACACATAATTATTGAAATTCACAAAAACTGTAATTTTTATTACTCAACCATAAGACCTTAATCTTAACTGGGAAAACATAATTACATATAAAGTCATAGTAGTTTGCACCTTTGTATCTGTAGTAACTTTTTTTTTTGCTTCTGTTGAAAGATATGGAAAAAAGGTGGTTAAAATTTTGATAGATTTTAAATTAATTTGCTAAGTTGAAAACTTAAAAGATACTGAATTAAAATTTATGGACTTAATTTCATTACAAAAATTTATTTATTGTTGCTCTAATATTTAACAGGAAAAAGTACTTGTATGGGAACCTATAATATCGTAATTTTTTTCCTACTTTCAGTTATGTATTTTTTAATATTCAGTTTATGTACTTTACTGTTATAAATGTCTTTCTAATGAATCTTCTTTCTTTATTTTGTTTAGTTTACTTTAAAGATTTGTTTAAGTTTAATGTCCTGGTAATATTGTTTTTTATTTATAACTGAATTTATTTTATTTATTTATTTTTATGCAAGTTTAGGAATAAAACAAAAACCTTAACTCTGTGTTTTAAATAATACTGCAAGTTCAATGCTAAATTTAGAAAAATAATTAAAATGAACCTCAACCCTGTGAGTTTTAAATAATACTCTATGCAAATTCAAAGTAGAATTTTCACTGTAATGCATGTTTTCCATTCACTTTACACAGGAGGATTGATTGCTTCGAACCAAAAAATCCAGGTAAAATTTGAACTAAGGCTCCTACAATTTAATGGGGGAATATCATCTTAGAATGTATTATTTTTTACTAAATATTAAAAATTTCTAAGAAAACAATTTATGAAATTTTATAATAGTGTAATTTATTTTCATGGAATGTGTGTTCTCCCATATTACTATCATTTTCTTAAACAAGCTAAAATCTAAATATGTCTTATCTATTTGTGCTTTTTTTCAAAGGAGTGTAAATATATTTAGGATATAGGTATAGAGTATATTACTATGTCTTCATCAGTAATTTAGTTTAAAATATAACCTGCTATAAAATCTTTTTACAGGGTTCTGAATGTGTTACGTCATTGGGTAGACCATCATTTTTATGATTTTGAAAGGGATCACATACTTCTATCTGCACTCCAGTCTTTTTTAGATAAAGTAGAATATAAATCAATGAGGAAATGGGTAGAATCAATTAAGAAAATCATCAACCGACGAGTAAGTAGTCTTTTTAAGTATAACGTAAGAAGAATTGTTTTATTCACATGGAATTAAGTTTTTTATTGCTAAAAAATGGAAATTATTGTTTGTTATAAGATTAAGTATAATAATTGAAATACAAATTAAAATGTAATTTCTTTCAAAAGTTAAAACAAGCAATAAAATTTTTTTCACAGGCTACAGATACTTGTCGAAAGTGTAGGATGATTTAATATACATTTAAAATTTGGCTTCTGGTGATAGTTTATCCATTAAAATTATGTTTGTCTCAATATAATGGGCACAATCTTTTACAGAGCAAAGTAATCTGGATAAACAATAAGGCTTTTAAAGGCTGCAATGATGGAAAAAAAAAATTTTAGGATGTAACGGATAGTTTATTCGTAACAACAAATGGCGCTACCTCTCTATCCGCAAAAATAATAGCTATAGTCTTCGTTCTGACTCTTACCAGGGGAGATGACGCAAGAAGAGACACCCGAACCTTCCCTGGTTCCTGTTTTACCCAAATCAGTTTGGATAGTTACTTTCTATTTTAGTCAATGTTATGCTGTTACTCATTATTGAAAAAATGGATGTGTGAATGTGTAATTAAAATACTGAGCTCTTTTTGATGGTGTTTCCTTCCATTCTCCTGCTTCCTTACAAATTGGGGCCCTTGGGCGCCAATTAAATTTTTAAGGACGCAAGAGGTAAACAAAAATTACCTATTAAAAATTTATTGAGTGTAAATGACACTTAAGAGTTATTTTCACAAAAATTATGGTGAAATTTTTTTAAATGAGTGATAAGTTTTCATAGTCTGAAAACACAACATTCCTAAATAATGGAATTGCGAGGCACAAGTTAAGAGTATAAAATAACATCCTTGATAAAGACTTGTTGCTAGTAAAATAGCATTAACATTATGAATTTGTTTTGACTGCATCTATGAAAAGACCATGTAATTCACAAGATCATTTAATTAAATTTGAAAAACAATGCAATTTTAATAATTTCTGATTTTATTTTACTCTATAATTTGATCAAATATTAGAGCTAACAATTTATTTCAAAATAGCTATTTTGAAGCTATCTTTTACTATTGCATGTCCTGCAAAAAATATGGTTATTGAATTATATTTTGTAAAAATGACTTTATTTTTACTTCATTTTTAACTAGAACAAAGCAATTTTACCAATTCTTTATATATAATCATAAAAAGAAATATTCTTAATTCATATTTCTTTGTATGATTTGCTAATGTTTTTCTTAATGTCTTGGTATCTAATGATATATAATGTCATCATGCATAACTAGGAAATATTTTTTTTGTATCTGTAAGAAAATTTAAAATTGTCTATGATTTCATTATTAACTAAATAAAGTTGACTTTTATGTAAAAAAAAAAAGTATTCGAATTTTTAAGAAATTTGCAGTTATTTTTATTGTTTTAGTAATAATTTTTTACAATGATATTTATTTTTATCAAAAAGTAAAAAATTGTTTATTGTGAAAAAAAATGTGAAAGGAATGTAAGCTATTATAAAAAAATATGTACAGATATTTTTTTAAAATTCATTTTATGTGCTGTTAAATGCCAATGAATAATGTAAGAAAGTAATGACAAAACTTTTTCAGCTTGAACCTGTTGAAGATTCTCGTGAAATAACTTTTACTTTTGAAAAAACACCTCCTCCAATTGAATGGTTTTTAAGCAACACTTATGAGAAGTTTGATTTAATAACAGTAAGTTTTCTCATTTTCTCTCTTGTTTATGTTTGTTTATGTTTTATAGTAAGTCATGTCCTTTTTATCTTTTCCCAGCTTCATCCTATAGAGCTTGCTAGGCAACTGACTCTGCTTGAATTCGAGCTTTATCGAGGGGTCAAGCCCTCTGAATTGGTTGGAAGCGTGTGGACTAAAAAAGATAAAATGAAAACTTCACCTAACTTGTTGAAAATGATTCATCATTCATCCAATGTAAGTAGTTATTATATTTTTTAAGACTTGAAACATATTATTTGATTTTAAAATATTAGTGGCACATATATTTAACAAAATACCAAGATTCTATGATTGTAATAGTTAGCTATAAGCCCTGTGGCAGAATCGTAGAGACACAGCAATATTGTTGCAAAATGTTACCGAGTTCTTCCAGAAAGATTTTTTCTATAACAAAGATTTAATTTTATAGAAAGATTTAATTTTTCTATAACAGAGGGTCAAGCCCTCTGAATTGGTTGGAAGCGTGTGGACTAAAAAAGATAAAATGAAAACTTCACCTAACTTGTTGAAAATGATTCATCATTCATCCAATGTAAGAATTAAGTAGTTATTATATTTTTTAAGACTTAAAACATATTATTTGATTTTAAAATATTAGTGGCACATATACGTACCTGTCAAGTCTCCTGTTTCTTAACGAAGACTCCTGTATTTTAGGACTATCTCCTGTTTACCTGTATATTCTCAAATTTCTCCATATTTGTTGAAGAAGTTTTTAAAAAAGTTTAAAAAATTGGTGATAAAATATTCGCTTATGGCTAAAATACTTCTCTTATTCCTCAAACGATGATGCTTTTGCCAGTAATGCAGTATGTTGAGTATTTTATTGTTTAAGTTATAAATAATGGTTTAAAAAATCCTCTTTAGATTAAGATTTATATACATATTTTTTATTTCGCTAAATGTAAGTGCTTATATTTTTTCCAATTTTGAATTTCTCTTTTTGACTTACATGATTATACATGATGTATCAAAACTTTACTCTTAGCCCGAAGTATGTAAAATCTCCGTTATTTTATTTCTTCAATGTTGGCAGGGTGCGTATGTTTAACAAAATACCAAGATTCTTTGATTCTAATAGTTAGCTATGAGTAATAAATTAGTAGTTGATTGGGAAGAGTTATTATTAATTTTAAACTTCATAACTATTTATTAAAGAATGTAAGGTTTTATTAAGAGCTACTGTTTTTAATGATTTTTCCCTAGAATTAAGGTATAGTTTAATCTAATTCCTGTAGTTAATATTTCAGGGATGAGATTCTTNTCTTCTTGGATTTCCTCTTTTTTACTTTCTGACTACTCTCATCCCTGATATTTACTGTTGAATTTTTTTAATTGATTTTTCTGAGATAAATAAACAAATATATAAATAAAAATTTGTTTTCTAACGTGTTTATTTTTAGCAGTTGAACACAATTCAAAATAGAATATGTATTTTTTCTATAATGTGGCAGCTTTTAAGTCCTTCAATTGTGAATTAAAAGAATTCTTTCCTTGCATTTAAATCATAATTTGAAAAATCATTTGTCTATAGAATAAAAGTTCTACAATATCAACTATTAAGCTTCAGCATAACAACAAAATATTTGAATTAATAGAAAATTGATGTAACAATAAATTGAGTATATGCTAAGAAACAGTGAGCGTCATAATTGAAATGAAGAAATGTCAATATTTTTTCAAATGTTTGAACACAACTCTCTTTGTCAAGATGGTGACATGATTTTAGGAAGATAAAGAGAGTGAAAAGCGCATGTAGGTTGGAGGAATTGACCAGAGAAATTAGATCATAATAATATACAAATTCCCAATAATATTCAGATTATAACAGATAATATCCATATTAATTGTAAGAGTATGATACTTTAAAATTACACATAGATATCTATTATTCATTCCATAGATTATTATTTTTTTATATTAAAAAAAAATAAAACTTTTTAACGTTTTTATTTATTAATATTTTGTAACAAGTTTCCCAAATGTAAGCATAAGGGTGTGATAAGGGTGTTAATATGTTTAGAGGTTACTTGAAATTTTAAAATTTTAGGAATCCTGTTGATGATTATTCTTTCATTGTGCTGTAGAATTGTAAATGTGATTGTAATTCTCAATATCTTATATCAATTATCTCAATATCTAATTTTCTAAAATGTTTCTTTACAGTTCAGCTTTTGGTTAATGAAATGTATTGTTGAGACAGAGAATTTTGAAGAAAGGTTGGCTGTTGTTTCACGAGTATTGGAGATTATGATGGTTTTACAAGATTTGAATAACTTTACCGGTGTTTTAGAAGTTGTGGGTGCAATGAATTCAGCTTGTGTTCATAGATTAGAACATACCTTAAATGTAAGATATGATCTAATTTTTCATTATTTCTGTCACAAATATGAATTTTTCATACATTTAAACGTATTTTAAACCTAATCATATATGTTTGCTTCTTTCTTAGAATATCAAATACAGTTTGAAAAAATCCCTAGAGGAAGCTCAGGAGCTTAATTCTGACCATTTTAAAAAATACCAAGAGAAATTGAGATCTATTAATCCACCCTGCGTCCCATTCTTTGGTAAATATATTATATTGAGAATTGTGTCTTATTAGTCTCACTATATTGGTATGATGCTATTTAATTATATTTTAATATTGCAAAAGTTAAAGGTATTAAATATTAATATATAACAAGCAATAACAAAATAAGAAAAATTTAAAAATTTTCATGTGAAGTGAAAAGGGAAAAAGATAAGACTGCTCGGGGCTCAAAATTGTTTATTGGTTTGGGAATACTGAAATGTAATTTAGGGTTACTATAAAATGATTATCAGTGGTCTCATAAACTAACAAACTGTAGAAAAATTATATGCTGATTTTAATATTTTGTCTGTGTTTATGTCGCGAAATATATGCTCTATAATAATTGTAAATACTACATATTCAGTGTAATTTTTCATCTAAATTCATTTTTAACAATTTTTATTTTATTTTAAGTATATAATATAAAGCTTTATTTGCATTTTTTTCTAAACTGGTTTAAAAGAAATTCTGTTATTGTTAAATTGTTCTTCTTTAAGTACTGCATAGTTACCAAATATAGCATCATAGTTACTACTATTTGTTTAAACTTTTTTTTAAATATCTGATTAGAGATTTATATATGTGTAAATTTTTTTAGATTTTGTTTTTTCTAAACATTTGTTCTTGCAAAATTTTTCCTTTTGTCTTTCACCTGCCTTTAATGTTTTTTCAATGTATTAAATATTTTGACATAAACACCGAAAACTACTTCTAATTCAATTAATTACTTACTGCTGCAGCTATGGCAACTGCACAAGAAAAAAGATTTTATTGTCTTAGATAAGTTCAATCTAAATTGTGCAAGGAGTTTGGGGAGGGGGAGAAAATTTGTCATTTTGAATTTTTGTTGAAATAAAATCATACTATTTGAAATTAGATGTATATTTTGTACTATTGTGAATCCAAAAAAAAAGTTAAGATTACAATTTTTGTTAAATTAAATATTTGATTGTGAATCCAAAAAACATATTTAATGTTTGATTTAAATTACATTATGAGCATAGATAAAATAAACTGAATATTTGTTCCTATTTTAAATCATCAAACATTTATCAACAGTTAGGTCAGGTTTTCTATTAAAAATATTTGTCAATATATATCAGACATCATAATACTCATCACGAAATTAACCGAGATTGTACCCACTTAATGAAGCAGTTGTGAAAATGCTCATTTTAATTTATATCAAATCTTGGCTATAATTTTTCTTTTGTTAATGTAGGTATGTACTTAACAAATATACTTCATATTGAGGAAGGAAATCCAGATTTTATACCTAATGTTGAAGGATTGATAAACTTCAGCAAAAGGCGTAAAGTGGCAGAAATAACTGCAGAAATACAGCAATATCAAAATCAGCCCTATTGTCTCACCACTCAACCAGATATAAAGGTTTGTTATTTTATTTAGCCATTTGCTACCTATAATAAATAAGTTTTACAGCTAAAGTAATATTTTTTGTTCCAATACATGATCATAAAATGACATTTCAAAAACACTGAAATTTTTATATCAATTCAGATGTAAGTAGTTAAGAATATTAACTTATTCAGCAGTTTTTTGATGTTAATCAAAATCACTTTAAATTTCACTTATGTCGTTTCACACGACTTTTCGATAAAAGAAGTTATATCTATTTTTATTTATTTTTAAAAAAGTCTTTGTTTTGTATGTTTTGTCGTAAGTTATGTCACAATTAAATTTTATCCATTAACTTTTTATCATTTCAGAGATATCTTGAAAACTTAGATCCTCTGGAAGGAAGAACAGAGAAAGCTTTCAATGATTACTTGTACAATAAATCTCTAGAAATAGAGCCTCGCAACTGCAAACAACCTCCCAAATTTGTAAGTAGTATAGCTTAATTTTCAAAAAAGTTAAAATTTTTTAGTTACATGACCTTAATATATGCGTAACATAATTTTTTTAAATTTTTTTTTAGCACTTAAAGGTGCTTCCTTTTGATTTTTGTTTTTTAAAAGCTCTGAAAGGGGCTTTTTTATTGGGTGTTTTTAAAAGGTCGTTAATTTTTCTTTGTTTGAAAATGAGATTTTTTTTCGTTACCATGCCAATTTTCTCAACGTATAATGTAAAAATGTGGTTTTCACATTGTTCTGTTCAACGTTTTCACAATGCATTTTGGCATACCGTTGGTCCGTAGCATATGAAAGTGCCAATCATTTTACATGTTTGATGAAATACTTGCAGGTCGGTATGTGCACATACCAGACTGGATTTGATGAGATTCTTGCACTCTCATGTGCAACTCAGCTGCATTTTTCAAGATATTCTCAATTTCAGGCTTCGTTTTTCACCCTCTGAAATCGAAACGAAAAATCTCTCGATCTATGGTGGTTAATATAATCAAGAAAAGAGTTCTTTGCCAGAAATTAGTTATTTTTATCATGATCATGTAAAGTCTTTGAAAATTATTTTGCATTTTGTTAATGTATATAGTGCTTGAAAAGTACTTAAAAGGTGTTTTTTTTATAATTTTTTTTTAAAGATTTAGCTACATACCCTGATAACAAAAATATATTTAAATAGTTTGCTTTTTTTTTTATAAATGCCTATAACACAACAATCAATCAAACACTTTTAGACAATTTATAGACTTTTTTTTAAAAAATAAATAATTTTATTATTTTTCAGCCTCGAAAATGGCCTGACCTGCCCTTGAAGTCTCCCGGCATCAAGCCAAGGCTTTCCCGATCAGGCCATCATCCAACCAGCTNATCGTGTAAAGTCTTTGAAAATTATTTTGCATTTTGTTAATGTATATAGTACTTAAGAGGTGTTTTTTTTATAATTTTTTTTTTTAAAGATTTAGCTACATACCCTGATAACAAAAATATATTTCAATAGTTTGCTTTTTTTTTTATAAATGCCTATAACACAACAATCAATCAAACACTTTTAGACAATTTATAGACTTTTTTTAAAAAAATAAATAATTGTATTATTTTTCAGCCTCGAAAATGGCCTGACCTTCCCTTGAAGTCTCCCGGCATCAAGCCAAGGCTTTCCCGATCAGGCCATCATCCAACCAGCTTGCCATCTGATTCCCGAGGCTTCAGTATCAGTAGCACTCACATAAATCAAGATGATGAGGATGCCCAGTCATTTGTAATTACTCCACCTAACCCATCTACTCCATTAACCCCTCCTTACTCTGCTAGTGGATTCAATAGTGACCATAGTATATTTGCTCCTGTGATGATCGGTGGAGGTATGCATAAAAACTTTTTTTTTCTGCATACATGCTATATTGTATCAAATATGCCAAAAATCAAAGAGGGTATGTGAAAAATATGTTATGACCAATAAGTCATTATCTGCGTACCTGGAAAGTCATGAATTTTGGTATTGAACAAAATTTGTTATGATTTTAACTAGATTTTTAAAAAATCGTGGAAAGTCATCAATTTCGGTTGCCGAAAAATCTAAAAAGGAATTCACCCCCCACCTCGATTTCATAGTGTTACGAATATCTGAATTAGTAACAAAATCCCCACTCGGAGTCATATTTTATTAAAATATGAAATATTTTTATCATGTTCTTAAAAAATTATGGTGTTTTTTCAAAAAATGAAAGAAAAAATAATCATTATATATTTATTTTTATTTTATCAATTTAAAATTCTAGCTGAAGCCAGCCAGTCATTTGCGAATTTTTTTTATTCATTCTGAAATGAGAACATTAAAATCAGGAGTGTTTCTTTCCTTTCTGATGAACAAGAAAAGTATCTTTAGAATATAATCCTGGTTATTATAATGCTTTTTTAAATTTGTATTTTTGGCGGAAAAAATAGTAGCTTTGTTAAGCCATGAAAAATTCTTGGAATTAGACATGAAAAGTCATGGATTAGGAAATCTAAAATGTAGCAGATACCCTGTATGACACATCTCTTGGGAAATTTTGAAAATTTAAAGAGAACTGAAAATTTAAATTTTCAGTTAGTAGTCAGAGGTCAGTAGACTCTTATAACTTAGTAGTCACCTTTCCTCAAACCTAATGAGTCTGTGATTGATGTTGATAGATTGATTTTCATTTAAAAGCCTCTGTTTGCAAACTTTTTTTCTCTTGGATTAAATTATATTTAAAAAAATTCATATTGTTAATAATCTACAGCTATAAAAAGTTAATGCAGCAATAAAATATAATATAAATAAGTGATAACATTTTATTAAACATACCGGCTTTAAAAAACTTAATTTAAAAATATTTGGGGATGCAAAATATATTTAATGTATACATTACTATTTTGAAATATTTGAATTGATAAGGAACTTTTCTTCTACATGAATCTTTCCGCTACAAATAGATGGAATCTGCAGGATCAAAATTTTGAATTTAGACATCGGACATTTTAATGGAAATTCTGTTTTCCAGAGTCTGTTTCTATATTGATGTATTTTTATCATTAAAGGATTTTTACTTTTTAAAATCAATGGGGAAAAAGGGAGCAGTTGCTTATTTAATTTAAGTCTCCACTTCTTTGTTGACTCTCCATGTTTTGAGCGATTATTTTTATGTCTATCCGGAAGAATTAAAAAAAAATAGTGTTCCTGTGAATTTTTGTATATATATATATATATATATATATATNTATATAATTTTTTTTCCTTCATTATGAATACCTAAAGAAGAAAATTAAAATTATTCTGAGTAGCAAATTAAATAGTTGATTTTTCTTGATGTAGGTGTTCGATCAGTCCACTTATTGAAAGCTTTTGTCAATTTAAATAAAACTCTTCATGATTTGAAATTTGTTGTTCTGTCTATCAATAGCTAAAATAATATTATGAATGTGAATATTAATAGAAGGATATAGGGGTTAAGAATTCACATATTAAATAGGGCCCCAGAATGTGCAAGTCCTGGGTCCTAAGGATCTGTTATTTTCAAAGTCTAATGGAATCACTGATTCAAAAAGAAAAGTTGATACAGTTAAATTATGTTTAAAGTATTGAATAAAAGAAGTTAAAGCATGTTTTTTTAAAATAATTTTTTTATTTTGCCTGTCTTTGTAAAATTTAAAAAATGTATGTAGATGTATGTTAGAAAACAATGAACTTTATCTCTTGTACTATAACTGTATATTTAAAGTAGCATTTTTAATATTAATTTATATTCTAAATTAGTGTCCAAAACAAATTTTTATCAGCTCATATTATTTACTTATATTTTAAGTTTTATTTTCGTGCATAATACTTATTAAATATAAGGTGAAAAATTAATCTTTAGCTTAACTAAAATTTATTTTTAAAAAAATATTGCAAACAATCTATCTAATTAAAGAAGTATCCTCGCCAGTTGTCAAAAGCACTGACAGTGACTAAGGTTACACTATTTCGAGTGGGGGTAGACAGTGTTTAACTTAGTACTGAAAGTTATAGAAGTCTCACTCTTTGAAATGCACTTTTTCTTGTGTCCATTGCTGCAGGCAACCCCAAACTCTGGGGTGGGTAGAATTATTTTTAATTAGACATCCAGTAGCTTTTAAGATTGTTTCACCAAGTTTTAACAATTCAAATTTAAACGATTTAGTTTTTAGAAATGTAAATTTTAATAAATTAGACACAACTTAGACAAATTAACTGTATCCTTTAAGATTATATTGTATAATTTTACTATAATATTTTGAATAGGGCTTGCATTAAGTTTATGCAAAATGAAATAAATAACTACTTCACTATTGTTTCACTGAAGATTTTCATAAAATTTTTCAGATTATTTATCAAATTAGTTTCTACGTGTTTTTAACTTAAATATTTTATTTTAGGTAACATTGCAATACCTGAAACTAGTGGTTGTTATCCCCCCAGTCCTTCATTTTTCAGCAGTAGCCTTCCAGCTTCTCTGCCACCCCCTCTACCCCTACCACCTTCATTGCCACCCCCACCCTTACCGCCAAGACGAAAGAGAGAATCCTCTGTAAGTGAATCTTCCCCTTGTACTAAACAAGCCACGGATGCTCCATTGCTTCCTCCAAGGGAAACTAGTCCTCCACCGCTGCCTCCACGGAGGGATTTAACAAGTGGTTCTGGAACTTTACCACGTATGCACTCAGCAAGCAACTTTCCACCCGTTCATAGGCCATCTAATAGTGCATGGAGTAGCACCGACGTGACTCTGCCTCGGAGGAATTCTGCATTGGATGTTGCCAACTTCCCCCTCAATGCTCCCAGGCGCTTATCCCAATCTTCTCTGAATGATGCTCCACAATCGTCTCCCTCAAGCTCCCATTTTCCTTTATCTTCTATCCCGGTGCCCCATCATACGTCTGTCGGAGTTTTGGACAGTGCTATTGCTTTAATGCCACCTCCTTCCCATACAACGCCACAATTGCCACCTAAAACCCACAGACAAACACTTCTAATGAATAACCATGCTCCCAGGTAGCCCATATTCTTTGCTAGAGACTTAAATTAATTATCTTTATGTAAATATGGAAGAACTTATTTTCCTAGAATCAAAAAAAAATGAGCAAAAAAATAATATCTTGGGAGCATTGCTGTGTGGCATAGTGATGAATTAGTTGTTTTCATCTGTATATATTGCATACCTTGGTGTATATAAGTAAATATTATCAGGCAATTTGCTGATTGAAAAATGTGATTCCTTTTTATTTCAGAAAAAAATATATAAATTTAAGCTGTAGCTTAGAATGATTGCTCAAAGCAAATTTTGATTTTGTACATATTATATATGTAATATATTTTATTTGAATGAATTAGAAAATGTAATGATGTACAGGAGAGACAATTAAATATCAACAAATTATAAAGTAGTTACAAAAAAAATAGCTTGTTTGTTTTTATTTGTACTTATGTTTTTCTGATTTATGTACATAGATAATTACACATAATGATTCAATTAATTCTCATTATTTTTAAGTGATTTAAAATAATTTTAAATGCTTTTATTATGTATAAAGTAATTAGTGTAGATAGTATTCTGATTCTTTAATGCTAAAGGGTGGTCAGTTTCTTCTGCAGTGAGAAAACTACCTCTGAAAAAACATGTTTCTTCCAACCCAAGTGGAAAAAAATGCAAGAAACTCTTTTTAATATAGAAATATTAAGTATTAAATTAAAATTTATAATATTTTGTTACTACAATCTGTTTTAAATGATAGTATTATCTCCAAGTAATTTAATAAATAATTTTTAAAATAAGTGAAAATAAAAAGCAAAAATTTAAAAGAATTAACTTAATGAATCTTTTAAGAAATTAAAGCAACTGTAGTTCATTTCAATGTTTAAGATAAAATATAGAAGAACTTTATAATTATTTAAACTTTTCATATATTGTAATCAAATTATATATTGTATTATAATACAAATCACACATTCTTACACACAATAACATAACTACAAACAAAATAGTAGTTTTCATTACAAGGCTATTAAATATCAATACTGAAAATGATTCTTAGATAATATGCAAAAGGTATTGATTGATAAATATTTTCAATACCAATTGTATTTTTGCAAACCTAATCATAAAATTATCTGTCAGTTTTAAGTTATAAAATAAACTTAAGAATTTTTATTAGTAAATTTTTATTTACAAATTACTGGATTTTCATTTTCAAATGAATGATTAATTTTATTAAGTTGATATGACAATAGAGTATGAAAATCGAGTTGTTTTTTAAAATAATTAAATATAAAAATACTTAAGTTTTTGGAACTTGATTTTATTTGTTTCAAAATTTGAGCTATTGTATTGGTCAATTTCAGTTTTTTCCATTTCATTCAGTTTCTTTAGGTTTTTTTTTCCCACTTTCTACCATATAAGAAGCCAACTCCTTAAGAAAGAAACAAAAAAGAGGATATGTTAAATGGTCTTGTTTATTTAAATTCAGCTATTGAAAATTTAATTATATTGTTGTCATTCTCAATGAAGTTATTTCACCTAAATCAAAAAAAATTGAAGCTAGTAATTTGTGATAAGAATTTATTCATTGAAGTGCATTACATACTCTAATAATAATAGCATTGCTTTTTTTTTTTTCCATTTTAAGGTTTGAAATAATTTTTTTCTAGAAAATCTAGGAAGGAAAAATGTTTATCTAATAAAAATGATGATTATTAGTGAGTATTTAAAAAAAATTTAACGAACTTTGAATTTATACTAAGTCTTGAATCAATTTATATTCATCGATACATTTTTAGATAGTTAATTTAAATATAAAAAGCTCATTCTTTGCAAAAAAGGAAGAAATGCAAATATGTTATTCAACCCTTGCTGTATTATGAATTCTTTTTATAGGACCTACAGTCTTATTTGAATATAGCATTTTGAACTTTAATGGAATAGGTATAAACCAAAAATCTATCACACGTAAAAAGCTTTATTTTGTATAAAATTTCATATACGTAAATTTTCTTTTTAGAAAGCTTATCTATGAACTAAAGTAAAAATGTCTAGATAGAAATTTTCTACAAGTCCTCAGCATTGAGTGTTTCATTTCTAAGTTAAGTTTATTAAATCTCTCTTCAAAAGTATTTAATAGTAATATTCACACAAAATTCTTATTACTAATGAAAATGAACTATTATGGGAATTAAAAAATAATCTTATTCAACAAACAGAATTTAATGTACAGAAATTTATTGTATTTGATTCAAACCACTAATTAATAACACACATATATAAACATGTTTAAAATAATGTGCCAGTTATATAAAATAAATATTTTGAATATTTATTTGGATATTAAATTTTTTTTCAGTATTTAAAACATTTGTATATAATCACCAAATAATTCTTAAATAATTTCAAAATAAGTTAACTTGTTTAGCTGTCTTTAAATAATTTGGCAAAATTCAGCTTTCAATATCATCTGCAAAAGAAAAAAAATTGTTTTAGAAGAACATTCATTGTACATTCCTAGAGTTTAATTTGTTCTCATTGCTTTTCACAGAATGCCTCATTTTTGTTTTATTTTAATATAACGTTACTCTTTAGGCATTTCCTTAGATTAATAAAATGCCAAATTTTAGCTCTCTACCTGTCAACCTCCTTGGGTAAATTTGTAAACATTTTTTCTTAATTGTTCTTAATTTTGGTTTCTTATTAAATTTAATCAAGTAATACTGTGGAACATAATTACTTTTCGCTAAAAAATAAATTGTGTAGGGGTGTTTTGTTATCATAACTATTTGTAATCTATGAGGAAACTAATTTGCCAAATGTTTCAACATACTAAACTAGCCACTAGTTCTTGCTTGCACATCAGTCTACGAACACTCAGTTTTGGAACAGTAGAATTCGTCCATGGGTTCCTCATTTTGAAGCTCTCTAAAATAATCTATAGGCAAAGTTGGATGTGGGGAAATAATAACTGTGCACAGATTTGCAACTCCCTTTCAACTTTTATGGCTCCAAATGAACCTCTACATTCATGAACTTACTACTTTATTACCTCACATTAACCTCATTGGCAGCATTACTCTAAATTCTTGGCATTCAGACTAGCAATACATAGTATTTTAATTGCATAAAAGTTCCCCTAAAATATCAAACAAAGTGCAGTTTGTGCCTAGGTTCTAATCTGAAGACTCTAGGTTTAGATCTCAATATTTGGATCAATAGTGAGCAAATATTTTCTTTAAAAAAATGACACCAAGTTCGCCAAAGTTTGATAAACAGTATGGAGATTATGATGGGAAAAAAAAATTGAAAACAATGCAGAAAATTTAAGAAAGAGAAGGTATCCTAAGCTAATGAATTTATTTTTCTTCTCTAAGATTGTCATGTTGTTTTTGACAGCTTCTTAATACAATGTCACTTCAAAAAGTATTTGAACAATATCTTAAAAATGGTAGAAAAAGAATAATCTCTGTTGAGTATGGATCATCGAAAAATAATAGTTTTTTTGTTTATTTTAAAAATTCATAATAAATTGTAGCAGATGCCAAAGTTCTACAACAATTAAAGTGATAGTGAAATAACAATTAAGGTAAACTTAATTTGTTTAATTTTACCAGCTCTTTAAGTCATGATTATCAGATCTTACACCTTTGTTTATATATATTGGTGATAAAATAATTGTAAAGTAAATTTATTATATCAGATATTAAATTTAAAAGTGCATGGAATCATTTTTTTTTTATCTAAGTTTAATGTTTGTATCTATGTAGTAGATTTTGTATGGAATAATTCAAAAATAAGGAAAAAGTGTAATTTACTAATTATTTTGTTAAAAATTGAAAAAACTCATAAAGGAAAAAATGAGTGACCTTCATGATGAAAAAAGTTCTAGAACACTTCGATTCAGGTTGATTGGTTTCAATGAACAAAAATCACCAAAGTTAACTTTGTTAAATTTTTTCGTGTCTGTAAGTCCAAAGAGATGCAGTTGAAATTTTATGGATATACAGACAGACCCATATTATTTTATCATATGTACAGACAGAAGACATTTTTATTAAAAAGGGAAATAATAGCACGAGGAAACATTATTTGTCACCAAAGGTTTTTATTAAATTATCCTTATTTGAAACAAAATTCACTTACCAAGAGAACCAAGTGTCACTATAGAAGGAGTGTAAACATCTGATCTTGTGCTGTGTGCACTCGAAAGTGGTGAGCCAGCTGATGAACGCCTGGAAGACAGTGAAAATGCAGAACTGGATCTTGAGAAGAGAGAACGAGCACGGGAAGGTAATGGCAGATTAGCCTAGAAATACATGGAATAAGACACATTTTTGCATTTATGGTTGAAATTAATGGCATAAAAATGTAGTGATTCTTGCGCAACCCATCGTGTTTCAGAGATCCGGACAATTTTTGCATGAAGACACTTTAAAAAAATGAATAGTAAGTAACTTGTCATAAAAAAAATCACTTAATGATTCGTACACACATATTACCCAACCATGGCCCTGTTTTTCAGGGCTTTATCTCTTAACAGCCATGGTAGGAACACCATATAGTTTTGATTCTAGACAGATGGCATGAACCAAGATAGCAATTGAGCTAGTATCCTTCTCTCCAAACTTCCACATTGCACTTAGAGTAGTTAATTTACACATAAAAGAGTTCTTATTTAAAATAAACAAATCCCACAAAACAGACAGGTTAAATTTTGATTTGTCTGTCATTTTTTTGCAAATATGATTTTCAAAGAACTATGAAATATGGAAAAGATTTATAGCTGGGAAAGAAAAAGATAAAATGAAAGAATTAAAGTGAAAATGCAAAGCTTCTTTTGACTGTAAAATAAATTCTTAATCGTACGATTGTATTGTGCACGGACCGTCACTACGACTGTATGAACTAAAAGAAGTGTTTCGATGTCCACTTAGAACATATTTCAAGTAAGCATTAAATATCCTTATTAATGCAAAATAATATACATTTCATTCATTTTTTAGACATTTCAAACTAAATGTTAAATATGAGATTAAAATTGATATATCACATTTCATTAGTATTTAAATTTTATAGAGCTGTTAATCAGTGTAAAAAGATAGCTTTAGTTCTTAGGATTACTAGGCGATAAGTTTGAGTCTCTATCTCTGCATCCCTTATTTTTTTTAAAATGCTTTTAAAAAATTTTATTCTAAAGGGAAAAAAGTATTAAATTTAGATCATTATTAAAAGAAAACCAAAATTATACAAGATATAGATCTGATAATAGGATTACTATCCCAGCATAGAAAAAAGAAAGCCTCAAACTGTATACATTGTTAAATGAAATGAGCTTCTGAAAAGAAACTCGATTTTAAGATAGATTCGGTGCCTTTTTTTTAAACCAAAATTTTTTTGGTGATGTTTTTAAGTTTAAATCAATAAAAATATAATTCAATAATATTTATTATTTCTTTTATTTTATCTACTGTGGTATTTTACTTAACAAGAAAGCTCTTCTTTCTAATGAACACCTCAATTGCCTCACTGTGTTTTCATTACTTTTTGGAACTAAAATTAGAATAATATTCTAATTGAATCGATTCATATATGATTATATTAGAGTTCCAAACTTTTAGTTTTAAAATTGTTCTTAAAATGAAAAAAAAAAAAAAAAACTGGAATCAAAATTAGTTCTACCTTGAAATTTTTTTTTTTATAAATATAGCTTAGTAATAATCCCTTGAGATAAAAATTGGGTTTTTAATTTAAGTTACTTGACAATTTTAATTTCAAACGCATCATGAACACACACCAAAATAAAATAGCAAATTTGTAAGTTTTGTTCAAGTGCTGATGAAGGTTGCATTTGATGATTTTTAGCTCGATGTTGTGTTTACAAAATGTTGCTGACATTAACATTAATAAAGACTTAGGTTGCTTAGTTGTTAAAAGCTACTGTTATAAAAAATTTATAGTTGAAAAGAATATTTTAAAATTTATTTTAACAGCTAATTATAACTGATTTAAAAAAAAATCAAGTTACATCACTATAAAGTCACATAGGCATACTAGTAGTTTAAACAAAAGTAGCTTTAGTAAAATAAAATGTTTGGCAATGAATAAAAAATTAGTGCACTTAGGAAGACTAGTAGAAATGAAAGTGATCAACAACAACAAGGGCATTTTGAATAAACATGTTGCCACAAAATGCAAAGAGGCTCACATTTTGAGGCTACACGATTCTACATAAATCACAACACGCAATGAATTCTTAAGAGCAACTGAGAAATATAAGCTAAATTAAAAAAGGTTCTTTAACAATTACTATGTATACTTAAATATTTAGCTATTCACAATAAAGAAAGATTGAAACATCAAGATACAAAAAGATTTCTTAATCGAAAAATCACTTGACAGACTTATTAATTATATTTTTAATGCCAATATTGAATGCATAAGTTATAAAAAAAAGATGATGTTTTGAATAAAACATTTTTTGCAGTACAATTAAAAAGTTAACTTACTTCTTCATAAAGTTCTTTTATCTTGTTTTGAACATCTGGTATGTTCTCGACGGCTGAAAATAATAAATCAGAAACATCCCTTCTTATTTCTCTTAAAAGATGAATTCGAATATCCTAGAATAAAATAGAATATAATAAAGTTGCAAGTCAATATTAATAATACTTATTAACAGAATTCTAAAATTGTCTTTATTAGTTTTTAATATTTTTTTCGATTTCTATATTTAACCCTAAATATTTAAAATTTTTCTCAGTATGCAAGGGATTTATGAAGACTTAATTATAATACACTAATATTTTTTGAATAAATAATCTACAGTGTGCCAAAAAAAAGCAGACCACCCGGAATAACTTTTGATATAATGATCGGATCTTCACTTAATATTCGACTGGTTCAAAATTCCATTTCTCTGGAATTATTCAACCGATTCCACCCAAGCTTTTTATTTTGCTATGCAAAATTAAATACTTTAAAATGGCGCAAATAATAATATACCTTAAAACTCCAAATTTGTTCCACTATTATTTTATAAAATAATAAATATTTACTAAATTTATTTTTTGCATGGAATTACCTTTGGATAAACGAATTTTATAATTGTGTACACAAATTTTTCAATTCGTTTAAAATTTTTTTCGAGATGTGGCGAAATAACCAAAAAGTAAAATTAACATTAAGGGGTTCAAACTTTGGATCATTCTCCTGACCAAACTATGGGGACTAAATTTTCCAGTGTGGCTACCTCCTATATTTTGAGGGTCAAAAAACTGAACCCGTTGGAAAAAAATGTATGTTTATTCAGAGAAAGTACGTTTTTGTGATTAATTGTGATTGGTTTTATTTACGTAAGTCTAGGACTCTGCCTCGAAGAGTAAAGGGCAAGTATTGACACTGTAAATTCTTTATGCAAATCGATGTTCCTCATCCAAATCACAGTTTACGTATGAAATTTGTTTTGGGCAATGAGCTCCCCTTCCAACCTACAATAAAAATAATAAGCAGTAAGCAGTTCTTTTGATAGTGAAAAGTCCCATGGTTCCCAGCAAATCGCAGAAGTCAAGTGAGTCAGTGAGTGGGTGGGTGACAACTTAGATCAGTTAGAGTAGTCACTACTTTATTGTTTAGGAGGCTTTATTGTTTTTCATTCTGTTCTACTGTTAAGTACTTGACTTCTCATTCATTTTGCAAAGGATCAAATTGTGATGGAATGTTTTCAAATCAACCTTAGGAATATTAGGGAGACCATTGCCAATAGCCCATTGTGCAGCTCCAATGCAAGATAAATAAAGCACAGCTAGATACTTTTCTGATAAAATTTTATGATTTATTTCAAGTTGTAAACACAGATTTGATGATATTAAATTTTTAATTCTATATTTAAGATATATTACACAGGGTTCCCACTCAATTTCAGAAAAAAATACCCTGATTTTTCCACGTATACCAGGCAAATTTCCATGAAAATCGAGACCATATTTTCATCAGAAAACTTTCATTCTTTTATTTGTAATGTGAAATATGTATTACATTTTCTGTGTAAAAAATATCATTAAATGAGGATGGAAACACTTCAGTTTGACAAAAATGTGAAAATTTTACAACAAATAATTGTAATAGATGTTAGAATTATTTAATCTCAATAACTGATTACTGTTATGGTCAATTTTCAGACTGGTTATTTTCCAGGTATAATATAGAAATATTCCAGGTTTTTGCAAAAAAATTGCAGATTTCCCTGATTTTTAGAGATAAAGTAAAATTCCCTGACAATTCCAGGTTTTTCCTGTTCTCCCTGACCTGTGGGAACCTTGATTTCATCTGGATAATGTTTTATTTTCTGTATTCTAAGATAGTGCGTATTCTAAAATAAAGGTGATGTAATTCGACAGCAAAGATTTTTTTTTTAAATGGAAAAATGACCAGCTTGAAAAAATTTTGCTGACCACTGATGAAGAAGTTTGGGAACATCATCGATAGATCGAAAAAAATGTATAAGAATTTATATCCCTATCAAAGATTTAGGAACCAGAATAGTGCTTGCTTTCAGTAAGGATATATATCCTTAAAAGTTGATACGTGGATAGGGACAATAACAGCAAGTTGAAATTTTTTTAAAAAAAGAAGAAAATATTGTTTTCTGACTCTTAAAAATTTACATTAATTTAAAAGACTTACCTCTTCTATACCTATCAAAGCTGTTTTAGTTTTAATATCCAGACTTAGACGAGAATTGCATCTTTCTGCTCTTTGAATTTTGGTTTGAAGATCGGAAATTTTTTTAGAAATCTTTTCATTTTCTGACTCTTGATCCCTCAAAGCAATTTGCAGTTCTTTACAATGATCTTGCTCTTGAGTTAGTTTTTCTTTCAATGAACTGATGCTTTCTTCTAAAAATTGACACCCTGATTTATTTGTATGAATTTGGATAGCAAGTTCTCGCAATTCAATTTCGGCATGCCTAAGTTTTTCACTGTCTTCAGCTGGAAAAAATGTTAGAATGATCTTTTTACACTGATTTTCAGTAATAGTTTTTTTTATTAATAATGAAATAACACTACTAATTCTTTTAAAAATTACTGTGATTATAAGAGGCAAGTACAATCAAGAACATATAATTTTAATTTAGTATCATAAAATTTTGAAAATGTCGGAATTTAACGTATTCAAAGTAATTTCCACAAATAATGAAATTTTTTATTTTTAAATTTCATTCATTTAAAACATTATAACTTTAAAAGGCATTTTTCTTAAAAAAATAATTATCTAACAGAAAAAAATTGTAGTTGTTCTTGATGTGAATAACTTAGAAATAACAATTATAATGTATTTTTGTATCTTCCACCAACTCCAATTAATACATTTCGATCTTAAATTATCACTAATTATAATAAATTAAAATAAAATAACATGAGATTAAATCAAGAATTATTGAAGAAAACATTACAAATACAAAATTTAAACTTAAACTGATATAGTCTTTACAACTGAAAAATTAATAGTTAAATTGAAACAGTAATAGTTAAAACAGATTTAAATTAGGGATGTAATAAACAGTGATTTGGTGGAATACCGAAGATTCGGCCAGAAAAAATTGGCCGAATACCAAATATTCAGCATCCAAATAACAACATTTTTTTAATAGAACTAGTTTAGTCATTATTGAAAATTAATCAAAACTTAGCTGTATTATTAGTATGGAGTAAAAGGAAGAAAAACTTTAATAGAAATGTTTAAAGTACCAAGAAATAATTATGATAAAAAAATAACACCTATTAAAAAAAAACTAAAGCTGTAAAGTTGAAAAAAAAAACTTCTTAATTCTTAAAACAAAACTTTAATGCTAAAACTAATATTTTCAGGGAAAAAAATTATCCTTAAAACAATAAAAGATAAATTTTTTTATGAGAAACGCTTTAAAAAATGCAGCATTATGATAAAAACGCCATTAAAAAATAAAGATTATATACAAAAGCAAAACAGAAAAAAATTAAAACCGATCTTAATTTTTGAAAGAAAATTTTAATGCTAAACATTTTGTTTTCCAATTACCTTATTTTCAAGAAAAAATGAAGATTAAAGTAAAGAGACCCTCTTAATTCAAAGTTATAATAAAAACGTCTATAAAAACATTAGTTTTGTGAAAAAGAAAAAGCTAGATAGAAATCAAAACAAAAATCGTTCTTAATCTTTAAAAAATAGATTTAATGCTTAACTTTTTCACAGTGCTGTATTTTTAGAAAAAAGTGACCATAAAAGAGTAATAATGTTCATTAGAATTAGAAAAGTTCTTTAAAAAATGCATTCATAATAAAAACGTTGACAAAAAGAAAAGGTTAATAAAGAAATAAAATAAAAAGAGAAACAGAAAAAAAATTGTTCTTAGTTCAAAAATATAACTTTAATCTGACTGAGAATCACAGTGTTCTATGTAACTAGTTACCTGTTTTACCATACAAGAAAAGAGTGGCAATAAAAGAATAAAGTCTATTTACTTTAGCTAAAACTGAAAAACAAACAAAAATGAAAAAAAAAGTTCTCAATTTTTAAAATATAAAGTATTGAAAAAACGATAAATTGACTTGCTTGAAAGTATTGTAATTAAAAAAAAAAAACAGCATTAAAAATCTTATGGTTCAGTATAAAGTAATCTAGTTTCAATTCTTTAAATTTCACTTTCCCATTTCAGAACATAAATTAACAAATTTTAGAGCTTAACAAATAGGAGTAAAAACTATAACTAATAACGTATAGTAAAAATACGAATTTAGATTATTCTTCATTACATTTATTAAAATTTCCTCCAAAAAAACTTTCTTGAAAAATAATATTCCAAATAATACTTAATAATTATATGAATATTTGGCCAAATATTCCGCAAAAGGGCTGGATACTGAATAGTGACCTAATATTTGTTATATTTCTAATTTAAATAGAGAACAAATATTAGATGCAAGAAAAAAAATTTAACATTTTGACTTACAATTAATACCAGGAGGGTGTATCGCTTGACGAAACTGTTCATTAGCAGCATTAACTATCCAAACAGTATTCTTCAATGCAGAAAGTTCATCTTGAGCTTTTAACACTAGCTTCATTAAATAATCTCGTTTTTGTAACAGATCTCGTTTGTCATTTTCAGCCTGAAAAATATTAAATATGTTAAAATAGAATATTTAAATTCAACTTGAAATAAAGAAAAAGACATTTCTACTCTGTAAGGAAATGTAAGAAAAAGCTTCACTTTATAAAAATTTCAATATTAAAATAGTCAGATGTTACTCAGGACGTATAAAAATATTTTTAAAAAAATAATTCATTTAAATCATATTTCAATGATTTAAATAAAATATAAATGATTAAAGAATAAAAAAAAATTTAAAACAAAGTGATAATAAAATGATGAACAATAATGAACATAAGACTGTTAACAAATTATTAAGTAATGAAATTTTATTTAAACAATATACCATACTTGTATTGTTCGAATTAATGTGCTTCACTCAAAAAATTTGATAAAAAAAAAGTGAATAGCTTGCATATAGCACTTGAGATAGGTTTGGGATCAATTTCACACACACAAAAAAAATGACTGACCAGATTAAAAAATCAAATTTTTTGACGATTCTGTATGAAACTTTAATGCTGTTTTGAAATATATTCCTTACTTAAAATACATACATTTGATTGAATAATTAATATATATTGTTCATTGAAAACTATATACATTATTTTCAAACATAAATTTTTTTGGAAAATTGCATTTTTCAGCAGTCTTGCATATTTAAATAGACAACCAATGACAGTTTTTAATTATATTTTGATTTGTGTATTTTGTTACAATATTATATCACAGCTGTATAATCGGTAATATAGATAAATCTTTTCTGCTTTATGAGTGTTAACCATAGAGTATAATATAAATAAAAAGTGAATATAAATGAAATATAAATAGAGCACCTGCATTACGGTAATTTTTATCGCAAGAATAAAATCACGTGGCTGGAGGGCGAATTGAGAAATTTTCTGTCCTTTGCTTCTCTTTGTTACTTCAATGGAAGAAAGTCGAGTGGCAATTTTAAAGTCAAAAATCTTAAAATATGGTCGTTGGGCCAGGATAGCCTGGTTGGTAGATCGTTGGACTCGGGTTCGTGAGAACGGGAGTTTGAATCCAGCCAGCCAAAGAATCCTTGCGTATTAAATGGTGACTGGTCCATGTTAAATTTGTGGGGGTCAAAAATCCTCCAAGTTCCCATAACAAATCACCTTTGGATATACTGATATACATATAACCTTTGGATATACTGATACAAGAGTTTAAATTCCCTGTATTTTCCTGGTTTACCCAATTCTCCCTGTGGAGTGGCAACCCTGTCTATGGTGCATACCCATGTTTGACTTTGAATAGAAATATTTGAAACATTTTAGGCAAAAAAATAAGTTTTTAACTAACTTAAGTAACTTATGGAGTATTTGTGTTGATTTATTTTGCTCATGTAAGAAAGATTTTTCAACTTAAACAAAAACTGCACAGAACATTGATAACAATCATTATAGAAATGTAGGACAGAAAACTTAAATATTATTCAATTCAAATCATTGCAAATTCATTAATAAAGTGTGCATATTAGGTCATACTTTAATTAACATCTCTGCTTCAGCTCCTTCACCAGGTTCAGAAATTCCCAATGCATCCAAAATAATTTTATACCTGCAATAAAATATGCAAGTAAGATGAGAGCAATAGTAGAAGTACTTATTCACACTTGAGATGCACAATGGGCTATTGGCGACGGTCAGGGAAACATTCCTGAGGATTATCCGAAGACATGCCATCACAATTTTGATCCTCTGCAAAGAGGATGACTCCCCCCCCCCTTTCATAGCCTAACAATCTGACCCAAGTCAAGCACTTTATGGTAGAACATTTAAAGAGGATCAATACTGCACAATCTCGGTTCCTACGTAGATTGATCGAAGCGGTCATCCACCCACTGGCTGAAAAAAGGGCGAATGAGATAAGAATCAAAATTTAGACAAACCAAATGAATACAATAATTTCAGATATGTTTGAAAATGTTCTCACTGGAAACAAAATTTTCTCACATTTATTACTTATTTTAGCAATGTTTCAGAAAATGTATGTAAAAGTGCAAATTATTGTCTTATAGATACTATTTTACACTTTTGCAACAATGTCTTGTATTTGTCCTAAAAATTTTATTCTCAACTTCAGTAGATTTTAAATCAAAAAAAATATCCGATTTTTGTTTATCACACTCTCAGTTGTGGTTAAGCAAAGATGGCTTATTTTCACTTTGTATCTGGCTTTTATTCTTAATTAAATAAAAAATACAGTGATGAGATTAGATGTTTTGAAGCAGTCTGCAGTAGTGAGTTTCATTTAGGTTCTGAAACATTTTAAATAGAAATTTGGAACACGTTTTAGTGTACAAATTTTATACTTTTGAAATAAATGCATACATTATCCCCTAAATAACTAAGCTTATTTCTTGAAGGAAGCCTAGTTCAATATTTATTAAATAACCAATCTAAAGCAGATTTTGCTTGTTTTGTTTTAATTGTTTGAATTAAAGCAGTTTGAAATAAAACTGTACAAAGAGTACGATCACAACACATACACAAGTAAACAATACCAGTTTTGGAAAAGTTTACAACAATTTAGATAGATTATAGGAACTGCGCTAGCAATCAAGTTATAGCAAAATAATTAAAAAAATTTTGCAATTTTAGAATATGCTTAAAAAAGGAGGTTTAAACTAAGCAATAAGAGAAAAAGTGGGCTGTGGTTCAGCTCAGCATTGGTTAAAACTTTCTTCTAATTAGAGATAATTAGTTTAAAATTAGGCTTAATCTTTTTCTTTGGTGTTAAGAAAATATTTTTCTCTCTTTTAGATGAAAAAAGTTGCTTAATTAATGCATGTGTGCTATTTATAGAGCGAAAGCAAAAGATACATAAAGCAAAAAAGAAAAAACACCCAACTTTAACCAGCTAAAGTAGGGATTATTTGGTTAAAGCCTGAAGAATATTCCATCTTCGCACTTTTTTTAACTGGCTAAAATTATGTTTAACAATCTGAGCTAATTAAAACTAGAAGTTCTATTATACATGTAGATTAAATGATTGAGAAATGTATTAGTAGGTAATTTATAGATGACCCTTGACTGTTACTTGCAACAAGTCTTGTAGGATATTGGTACTCACTGTGCTGATATATTTTTAAGGTTAAGCATCATTGCCCTAATATAATGTCTATTGCAGGTATAGTTTCTGGGTTTAATAATTTAGGATTAGTTAAACCCAGTGTTAGTCAGTTCTGGAACAACATTTCCTGTTTTATAAGGTATTCTTTAATGGTTTCAAAAAGCATAACATAAAATACAAATAAAAAGTTTACTTAGACTGGAGTTTCTGTGCCTTGTCATTAGATTCTTGATATTTTCGCTTCAAGATGCTGCACTCGTCTGCTTCTGTTCTGATTTCTGCATCCACAATTTCATTGCATCGCTTCAGCTCTTCAACTCTTTCATTCATCATCTTTGTAAAGCAATAAAATAAAAGCATGTTTTAGAGAAAAATAGAACATTAAATATTTTGATTGCTCCAAATAAATTTATACTCACAGTTTCGAATTCCAGCTTGTTTTTCTGTAGTGAAGCAACAGATCTATTTTTGCCATTTAATAATTTCTGGAACCTTTTCATTTGAAATTTTTCAAGGCATTCTTGGACAAGAATTTCCTGGATATCAATATAAGGATCAGCATTAGTTTAAGCTTTCTCAATGAATTTAAAATATTTTTAGTATAATATATACATATTATAAACTGAAAGCTATTAAAATAAAAATTTTAATTTAAACCCATGAACAATTTAAAAACTCCTTTTGCAAAATTTTAAATAACATTCCAATGCCAGAGTGTCATGCTTAACATCCCCAGATTCGATGAGGTATAGGTTCAAATCCCAATGATATCTGTTCTCTGTCTCACAAAATATCCCCGATGGTAGAATGATCATGGTTTATAATTTTCTTGCCAGGGAACTATAAGTGGGAGATTTTACTTAAAATGTAACATAAATAGGGGTAAATTTCATGAAAAAAATCTGCATGAAGTTGGGTTGGTTGCAGTGCCTGATCACGGAGTTCCATTGTATTTTTCATTTGGCAAAGAATTATAAGGTTACAAAGCTAAACATTGATAGCTGCCAATCTAATGTGGATCCGTTGATCAACAACAATAAAATAAAATAGAATAGAACAACAATAAAAAATTTACTGCAATGAAGTTATAAACTATTGAATACAATTTAAAAACAATTAGATAAACACATAAAATTTTCAAGCTCATTATTTATAAAAACAAATTTTAAATTGTAAAATTTTTAAAATTTCTTTTAAATACATAGGGAAAACAATTTTTTTTTTGTATTCTGCTGCATGAGATTTCTTAAAAGACCTTAAATACTTTGGAATCACTGATTTCAAATCTGCAATTGGTTTCTCTCTTCAAGCTACAGTTTTCTTTAAAATGACATTTTTAGTTTATTTTTTGTCGAAATGTACAAGTTTAAAAGCTTTATAAGCAGGGGGTTCCATAAATGTTGCGACAAACTTCTAAACGAGTTTGGGCACAGCACCAGGATTAAAATGGCTATGGGCGCTTCCCTATTATCAATTGTTTCTTCATGTGCTTCTGAACAGGTCATAATAGGTAAGCACCCCTAGTCATGCATGACACTTCCGGGTATGGGTTCCTATGCAAATTCAATCCTAATGATGTGCCTAAACTCCCCTAGAAGTTTGTCGCAACATTTTTGCCACCCCCTGTTATACATAACATTTTTAAACTTGCACATTTCGATAAAAAACATACTAAAAATGCCATTTAAAAAAATTGTAGCTTTAGGAGCAAAATTAAGTTCAGATTTGAAATACCCACACCCGAGTTAGGCAAGATTAAGTATTTGTATAAATGCAAAAAGAATTTGCTTCCCAGTGTTATTCATTATTTTGTAATTATACACATTTCTAGTAAAGTAGTACCTTGATGCAATTAACACCATTTTCAACTTTCAGCTCAAACAAATAATATAAAATGTTTAAATATATTAAATTACCTGTTTTCTAGAAATGCAGCACTTTAGTGACTTTTGGGAGTTAGAGATATAAAACTCAAAATATTTTATTTTCTCTTTTAACTCAGTGTTCGTTTTCTTGTTGGAATCCAATGCTTTGGAAGACAAAGTCATTTTCTCCTAAAAATGGGAAACAATAGTGTCAAACTATTTGCTAAAATAACGTACGTACACTTACGTTTTAGAAATTTTTTTATGGTTATTACTAGCTGGATACTTATTTCCCACAGGGTAAAAAAAATTAACTATCAATAAATCAGTACTGAACTAAACTATGAAATCATGCATAAAATTGAACGACATGTACAAACATAATCAAAAAGAGCTAAAGTAATTCCATTTTTTAAAAATTATTATTTGTATTTGCAATAATTAGATTAAGCAAAACACATTTTTAGTAGTTCATCCCATCAAAATAATGATTAACTGTATTCTTTATCTTTTGGAAAGAATTATCTTTTGTTTGAAGCCAACAAAGTATGGACAAGATTTACCACAATTAAGTAATTTTTTCCTGGTACTTATCCCTTTCAAATGCCCATGTAATAATTTTTTCCACAAACCTAATCAGGCATCCTGCTAACTAAGCGCTCAAAACACGTAGATCCCTAAATATCATGACTTAACTCATATTTCTTAAACAAGGTATCACCTCTTTGCATTCAGATATTTTAAAGTATTCCCAATCATTGAGTGCTAATTTATCCTCCTCTTTTCAAAAACTGACTAGTTAATAAGCTTACCAATTTTTTTTAAACATACAATACCGCCATAATTTTAAGCTCCTCAGTTAACGTATTCAATGTTTTCTTTTTTTCCTCCAGTGTCGTTAACAATGATGAACGTTGACTCTCCATTCGTTTTCTCTCTTCCTCATTCGTTTCTCCAGCCATCTTCTTCAGTCGCAGTTGTAATTTTTCAATGTGAGACTCCTAAAAAGTTTTAAATATTATTTTAATAAAAATTCAAATATTAGGTATAATTAATTAATAAGAAGGTTAAGACCATAACACAAAAACTGCAATGATAATTTGAAAAATGCAAATGAGTCTGAAATGTAGTAGCTATTATAACAGAAAGGATTTGTGAGGTTTTCTCTCGCTACCTAAGCACTATACGACAGTATTTTTCACACAATCAATGATAAACGGGTAATTACTGAGCAGCTGTCAGTCCATTTATTTTTTTTCTGAAAGAGACATGTAATGCGAGACCATTCTTTGTCAAGATCTAGAAACTAGAAAGTTTGAGTCGATCAATAGCTAGATTTTGAATTATTAACAAAGCTTGGAAAGACAACCAAATCAAAATGTATGAGTAAATTTTCTTGTGGATTCATCTGTTATCTAACAATCCCAGAATGTACGAAGTGAAAGCAGGTAAAAACTTTATCAGAAACTCTAGTGGAATATCATAATTCTAATAGATTAGTAAATTCTAATGGAATTGACATCTGTCCTGTGGTCCAGATCCACCCATATGTTGGATAGAGTCAAAAGAGCACTGCATAGACATTGGTTTCATATGGGAAACGAAATCGAGGTGCGCATTTCCAACTGGTTCAAACAGCAAACAATATTTTTGTTTTGATTTAAGACTAAATGTTATAATGGGACAAACGCCTAGAAAGATGCAGACAATACTCTTCAATTTCCTTAAATTAATAATATAAATAGCTTTTTATTTATAATTCATTGATTTTATCTAATAAAACATCATTATAAAAATATTGATTCATTACAAATTCCTAAACACATCATAACCTAAAGATTCCCAAACTAGGAGCTGTGGTTCCCTAAAGACAATGATTGACATACAAGGAAACAATGAATCATTACAATTGCTTTTTTTCTTTCATTTTTAATGTAAAAGTGCTGTTATTAACAAATGATATAAAGAACGCATTGAGAAAGCAGATATTTTGAGAGAAAAAAAAGTTTATTGCTTAAGTTTACAAGCCTTTACCACAGTATTTTTGGTACTAGGTCTTAGAAAATAAACTAGTCTTCTTATTTCTTTCCACAAGCATTGAAAATTCCCTTTTTAACGCTGCTTTCAAAAGATTAATTATTAATCAATATCAATCAAATGAGAAAAATAGACATTCAATAAAATGCTAAAAGCAAAATTTCATAAAATAGAAATTTTTAATTGCCTATGTAATTTTTTAGAAAATGCATGCTTCATCACAGAATGAGATGGCTCATACAGAACAAATTAAAACTGAGCAGATTTAATTGATTGGATTTGTAACTAATATGGCTTTAGAATCTTTTTAAAACATACTAATTAATTCTGACTATTACTAATTGACATTCACTTAACAATAGACAAACTCATCATATAAAAATAAATTTTTTCTTTAGAATTTACATTTTCTTTTATATCTTAGCTATTAAAAATGAATAATTTCTTTTACGAAATTGTAGTGTTAGTTACTTTGAGATTTGTCATACGATTAAAAAATTTTTTTAAAATTTATTATAAAAAGGTTATATTACTATGATTATTTAATCATAATTTTAATTCATATATTATTATATGCCAAAATTTGATTACGTTATCTCTAAATGAGCAGAATTAATCTAGAGAAATGGTGAAATAGCAAATCTGTGCAGATGACATTTTAAAAATTAAACAAATTTAAGTTTTTAAGTATAAAAAATATACTTACAACATTATACATTTCACTTTCTTGTTTGGTTCTTATTTGATCAAGAGCAATAAGTTTAACATTTAAATTTTTCACTTCTGTTTGCTTGTTCTGTAAAAATATATAAAGGATTAGTATTGTGAAAATACAGTAATATATTAGCCCTATGGTATTCAGGTCATGCAGAAATGAATGACACTGCTATCACAGGACGTAATACAATTTATTGCATAGTACATTAGCTAGATGTAAATCTTGTCCATGTCAATGCTCTCTTATTTTTTAGCCGTAAGATCTCAGAGGACTTAGAGTCTGTTAGACCCTGAAGTGGAGGTATTGGTACACAATATATGGACAATAGCATGCATTTCTGCAGAAAATTGAATTTGTTGGCTCCTGATGACACCTATTATATTACATACATATAATGAATACAAATATATAAGACATCAAGGTTTATCTCGGCTTAGAATCTCGATCAGGGATCACGGCATAGTACCATGCTGGCTGAGGCCTACGTGTGGTCAGCAGTCCCACGAGTTGAGATATGTTGCTCTAGTTATATGTGAACCATTCTGGCATACACTGACGTGATAGTTTTCTTGTATCATTGGTGTTCACACTCTCAATGACTCTCTTACAATAAGAATTATTTATACATTTTGTATAGCTCATGTCTCCTTTTGTCTTTTCCAAAGGTTTTATCTGTCATATTGTTTATATAGGGCGCGTAGCCAGATTTTTTAACGAAAAATAAGCACCTTTTAAGTACTTTTAAGCACTCAAAAAATATTTTTAATCACTTACCAAAAAAAAAACATTACTAGGATCTGTGCATTATTAATAATTATTTTTTTCTATCGTTTAAAGTTCTTAATTGATAAACATAGAATCAATAAAATTCAAAAACTTTAGATAATCATGATAAATTAACTAGGTTTCTGCTAAATAGTGCAGAAAAAATTTGAAAATCATGCATTTTTTATAATTTAGAACAACAATCGACATGGCAAAGAAAAAATCTCTTCTTAAAAGATAGAAAATTAAGCAATTTTTACAGACCCTGAATAAAGAAGCACCTTTAAGGGCTTTTAAAATACGTAAATCAAAAATAAGCACTTTTAAAAAATGCTATGCACTCTGTTTATAGATTTGTTGTGAGAGTCATTGTATCCATAAGTTCTGTATAGTTCAATCATATCTAGAAAAATTCTCGCCATCATAACACTGATTTGGATACATCACTCATTTCCTATCTCAGAAAAAAATTAAATATAATCCCTTAAACATTTTTTGCTATTCGAAATTCCAGAAAAATAAAAAATTAAAAAAGTGTCACAGTAAATCAGCATTCACTTGTCAAGTACATGCTTAAACTCTGAGATCAAAATCTAACAAATTATAACAAAATTATGAAAGCTTTCATTGCACAATTTCAGTTAACCTCTCCTAATTTCTCAGTTGTGGTGGATCAACAGACCTATGCATCAAACTTTATCAAAATTGGAAATTTTGAGATAGGAACCAACGTAAAGTAAATATCAAGAACATTTCCTATACAATACTGAATTGTAATAACTTAATTATAAAAATAAGTCTATTATTTTTGATGAATTTATTTAAACAAATTCTTACTTTGATTTCAGTGTCCAAAAACTTTTCTTTTATCTTTAAATCATTCATTTCATGGTTACAACTTAAAATGGTTTTACAAATATTAGCTATTTCATTTTCCAGTTTTTGATTTTTTGACTTCTCTCTTTGCAAAATAGCATCTAGCTCCTTTGTATAATGATCTGCATCAAAAGTTTCTTTAGCTAAGCTTTCAATGTCATCTTCAAGTTTTTTATTGGTGTCTCTGACCGTAATTATTCTAAAAAGGCAAAATATACTTAATATAACAACTAACAAATTAATCTGCAAGTTAGGAGTATAGTGGACAATTATTAAATAATTTTCTTGCTAGAAACCTATTTTTTGGTCTGTCGACTATATAAGATACCAATAGTACAAAGTTTAAAAATAAATACATGAATAGAATAAATTTATAAAAATGATACAGATATTATTTGAAATACTTTTCAATTAAAAGTTTCTAATGCTAAAAAATTTAAATATAATTTTAATTAAATTTTTTTAAAAATTTGATTATGAATGTTGTATAAAATGATTTCAAAAATATCCATTCATGCAAATCAAAAATAGTAAATAAAATTAAATAATTTTTTATAAAATTTTATGCAAAGATGAAGATAAAAACGTTTCATGTTGTTTAGCTATATTTAAATGCTTTTTTTTTTACATGCTTTCAAAGTTACACAATACATAAAATTGATGCACTTTTCAATGTATTTAGATTTAAATTTTGCATGGTATTCAGCAAATTAAAAAAAAAATTGCAAAAAATGCCTAATTAGATAGCAAATAAGTGATATTCTAAATCAAATTCTAGGAGGATTTACTTTTCAGACTTGCTATCCAATTGCTTTTTAAGTTGTTGCAGGCTATTCTGTGTCGTTTGCTTTTGAAGCAGAATATTGTTCAAAACATTTCTGACAGTTGATAACTAAAAAAAGAAAAGAAATACAAATTATAATTGCTCCAAACAATTTTCTTTGAGCCAGAAATAAACAATATTAATTTATTTTAGCATAAAAATTAGATTTTACTGTAATTATTTTCATAATACAAATTGATATCTGAGTATTCATTTTTAAGTTTATTGCCAAAAATTGCATGCTAATTTTGTTAGCATGCAATTTTTGATTTCTAAATTGTTAGATATTTAAAATATTTATGCATGTATAAATATTTTAAATATCTAACTACATATTTTTGTTAAATAAAGTTGCCAATTTTATTTACATAATCAGTACACTTTTTAAAAATATGCACAATACAATTGGCATTATAAACAGACAAAAACTCCTCCACATGAAATGTTTTGAAAATATATTTAATAATGAATACATGATAAAAGATACATCTATACTATTTTTCTTTTGGGAAAATTTGTGGAAGTATGCGAAACGAATGTAAGTTACAAACAAATGCACATTCTAAAAGCTTTTAAAACATTAAGCAATTACATTTAAATTATTCATCTGGAAGTGAAAAATTATGTCAAACTAAATTTACTATACAAATTAGAACATTTTCTAAGGCTTTCGAAACACTAGGCAATTTCATTGATATGATTATTCATTTGGAAACAAAGAACAATGAGCAATTAAATTGATATGCACGTTTAAACATTTATTAATTCTAAAAACATTAGAAGTAATATTTTTTTTAATTTCAATATATTCAGGAAGATACATATCATGTAAGTTAAACTAAGATTGACAAATAAAATTTGAACTCAGAATGCAACCATAAATCATAAAAGTAAGGTTTAGAAACCTACTTCAGCTTTTAAATCTTCTTCTCTTTCAATAGCAGTTTTCCTATCATTTCGCAATTTAGAGGCTATCACATCTTTTTCTTTAATTTTGCGCTCAATTTCATTGTTATGTGATATTTCAATAGTTAGAAGATCTTTTTGCTCCTTTAATGTATGTTTTAAAGCCACTTGCTCATCTTGCTGATTTTCTATATTCTGAAAAAGAATGTTTTACATGTTATTACTATGATGGTAGAATAAAGAAATTAATTAAAAATGTGTAAACAAATAGACAGAAGTATTATTTAGGAGTTGAACTCCTATATAATGAGAGCCTAGGAGCCAAGACAAATTGCTAGTAAAATCTGGTTGCTCGTAAAGCCCGAGTTAGCTGAAATCATAAAAAATAAAAGCTATAATTTTTATAAAAATCAAACTAAAAATTAAAAAAAAAAAACACATACACACAACTTACTTTAACTTTTTTTATTACACTGATTGAAAAAAAAACGCTTTTTTTTTAGATAATTGAATAAATTTCAATGAATAATTATAAATTAAGTACAACGCCCACAACACAAACTGTATTATCAGAAATTCCTCTTAAGTCTTGCAAAACTTGCAATTTCTTGGCAAACTTAGTGTTTTCAGATGTCAATAGCTGTGGTTTAATTGTTTCATCCCAATCACTGCTTTATTCTACATTTTATAAACCATTTAGTCAAGAACAGGCAATCAGACAAATGAGTAACAGTCTATTCAATGGTTTTTTTTCTTCAGCAATATCTATCATCATTCAAATCAATTTAGTGGAGTTTTTTTGCACTTAATACTTTCTGTTTAATGAAGTAAAATGTATCAATGGATTAAAATTTTATGTCTACAAAAATATAGACAAAAATATATCAAGGCTCGAAAATTATATACCCCAATATGTTGAGGACATGTAAAAATTTCAATTGATATCTATTCTTTATCCTTATATGCTTGATCATGGACATGTAAATATTCAAACGGCGCAGGAAGAACCAATTAGGATATATACTATACTATGGCACCAAAGGGGAAAAAAATAGATTGGACCTAAATACTATTGAATTTAATTGCATCAATCAAGATTTATTAAACAAAATAAACTAATAATTTTTTATTTCCTTAGCCATGCTTATTTTTATTAAAAAAAAGTTTAGCTCAATAGCTGTGTATTAGAAAATAAATAATATAAAAATTTATAGCATCTTTTCAACTGAATTTGAATGAATTTGCTGATAGTACTTAATAATACAGATAATGGCATTTCTTTGTCAATAACAATGCTTTGCAATTCCTCCATTGTGTTTCCTTTTCAATAATACTTAACACTTCAAATTTATATTTAAAATAAAAGTGTTGATCTGATATAGATGTAATGCTTTTAATATTATTTGCTTTTGACAGATTAAAAACAAATACAGTCATATATTTTAATTATTATGCAAATGAAAAAAAAATTAGGTAAGTAAAAATTTCATTCACAATCATATGCAACTTTTCTACTAACTTTCCAGGCAGGGGATGAAGGAATTTAAGATTTTTCAAATCTTGAGCTCTAAATATAACAAATTGCACATAAAACTTTTTAAAATGCTGAAAAAATTCAAGAAATAGAAATTTAAAGTTTAATTCTTGTTATGTTTTTATTTAAATTAGAGAAATCCTACTTCTAGATTATTTTAAAAACTAGGAATTCGAATGTTCATTTAAAATATTTACCGAAACTTACTTTTATCTGTAAGCATTGATAATCTGAATTTGATTGAGTCATAATTGATTGATACCCTTTCCTTGTTGCTTCAAAAGTTAACAACAGAAATTAGTCTGTTTCGAGTTTTGAGAAATTTAAATTTTAAATATGTTGTGTCATTTTTTCTTATAGGCTTGCAAACTATAGACACAGGAAAATGACAAATACAAGTGAACATAAAATATAAAATAACAACTTGAAAATGTATAAAAGTAATAGGCTTGAAATTAATTACTAAAAAATCAGTTCAATTAAAATAATTATGCACATAATCCAAAAATATTTACTATGAAAAAGAAAAATGAATAAACACATATGTGTATTTATTTAAAATACCCAAAATATTTTCTTTTAAAAGGCTTCCTTCTACTGAGTGCATACAATAATTTTTTAACGTTTGTACCAGATTGCTGTTCATTTTCTGTAAGTTCCAATGAATGCTGAAAGTTCCGCATTGCTTCAAAGGTTGTAGTCTTGCCGCAAATGTTGGTACTGGTTGTAGTTTCTTCCTACTGTCTACATTGGTATTACTTTGCATTTTTTAAATTCTTGAATCAACTATACCATAAGCTTCTCAACATTTTCATCAACTGATGCATAAGCATCAAAAGTGCTGTTTTAAACGTTACTCTAAACTGTGATAATGTTCTTCACCATTAGCATCAAGAGTTACTGTTTTACTTTTCAGAATGAAATCACTTCAGTATATTTTTTTAAAACGATTTTAGAATTTCTGAATAATATATGCGGGAATCTGCTACTTACAAAAACGATCCAAAAGGGTATTATTAACATTGTAAAAATAGAATTTGCAATAGAATCATTAAAACAAGACAATACACACAGAAATGAATGATCAAGTTTAAGTGTATTACTCAATATACCAGAACATACTAAAGTTAAAATTTTCTGTTCGCACAGTAAGAAAGAAATGTTTTTAAATGAAAAAAGTGGCTTAAAATTTATTACAAGGTGAAAAGTTAATTTCATCAAAATAAATAATTTAATTAATGCATGAAAATTGCACAATATACAGACTAAGATAAAAATTAATGAGTTGTTGAAATTAAATTGGGCATTTTTCCTTTTATTACCTATATTACAATTATTTTTCCTAAAATGAAGTTATGCATGATTTTAAAATTCGATTGAATATTTGTTTTCAGTAAATTAAAAAAAATTTTTCCCAGCATTCTATGTTTGAATTTCTTTTGACAAAATTGTTTTATCTTATAATAAATACATCTTATTATAAATCCATCTTATAATAATAAATACATAATAATAATGAATATATAATAATAAATATCTTATAATAATGAATATCTTATAATAAATAAATATAGTTAGTATCAAAAAGTACTTTTTTCAAAATATGCTCTATAGGACCATCCTTGTAGGCTAATTTCTTTCATCAAGCATTACATCAAACATTACTCTAAGAATATAATTATATAAAAATAGTAATTTTGTACATTAAAACTTAAACATGCAAGTTTTATAATACTCTCTCCAATGTATTCTAGAAATGTGATATAAAATGAAAGGTTGTTAACTTAAATTTTACAAGTTTACAAGCAGATAGAATAGCTTGATACTTAATGAGATAGAGAAATTAATTTTCTTCTATAAACCTATCAAAAATCAATAATAATTGAAACTTTAAATGAATATGAAAATATTTATTGAAGTAAATATTCATTAATATAAATAATAGCTTGTATTTTACTCAACATTTCATAATAAAATGTTAAAATTTCAATTTTTAACAAGAATATCTCTAAGAATATAATTACATAAAAAGAGTAATTTTGAGCATTGAAACTTAAACATAGAAGTTATATAATATTCTCTCCAATGTATTCTAGAAATGAGATATAAAATAAAAGATTGTAAACTCAAATAATATAATTTTCATTTTTGCTTACTAAATATATTATATATTTTACCCAGACTCAATAGATAAGATTTCAAATACACAAAATAGTTCTTAATAATGCTTTTCTTTATTGAGGCGTTAGAAAGGTAATATGTATTTGTCAACTAATGGCTGTGGAAATATTCTCAAATCTAACAGTTTAGCATTCACTAGAGCATAGTAACACTTAACACTCTACTAGAATAAAGTATTTTACTAGTAAAAATACATTTCCTAAGATAATGTGATTATTTTATGATTACAAAACAAAATTTTATAAATTTCTAAACAAAACTTTAAAAAAAAAACTCTAAAAGAACAGTTTAAATTTAGCTAAAACAATTTAACATTTATAATGCATTAAGACACACTATCAGGATGCATTTTTTACTGAAACAAATAAACCCTAAAATAAGTGTTACTAAACTATCATTATAGGTGATATCACCAATATTATATTTATTATAGGTGATAACTTTCGATATTTTCATGTAGGTTAGATAAAAAAAGATTTTATAAAATGTTTAATTACCTCTGATAATTTATTGATTTCTTTACTTCTCAGCTGAATTTGATTAACTGCTTTTTCCCAGTTGTTGATTAGATTATTTCTTTCATCGTACGCACTTCGAAATTCTTCTTGAATTCGATCTAATTCAGACTACAAATAAATTGATTAAAATAAACATTAAACACACTTTAAAGTTAAAAAACAGATATTGATACATTTTAAAAATCATTTGTTACATACATTTCATTTCAGAAAGTATTTTACGAAAATAAAACAAATTTTAGTCCAATACAGTAACAACACCTTATGTTCAGTGCACATTTCTATAAAATAAAACTGTTCAAAAAATTATAATCTACAATATGAAGTATGGGATTAATAAGGAAATACGAAACAATATATGGTATGCCCAGCATAAAAGTGAACAATGTTTTTCAAAAAAAAAAAAATGTTCCTTTTAAAAAAGCTTGTAATTTGAAGTATTTGATTAAAGTAAAATACGATTTAAGTTTTTCTCCTTCAAACTTTGAAATTTTTTATAAAAATAATGTAAAGCAAGTAATCTTATTTTGAAAAAAAAAATGAATATAATAGGTAATTTTATTTTTTTAAGGAAATTTTTTTTAAACAATTCTTTAAGCTCCTTTTCGTTGAATACAAAGTAATACATAATTAGTATTCTTATTTCGTTTTTAAATTCTGACGAATATTTATTAAGCATGACAGTTTAAAATTGGATGTATGCCTTTTTATACAAATTTTTGAAAAAAGTCCTTGATAACCAAAATTTAAAGTTTTACAACTTCATAAATTTTTTATCAAAATTTAAAAAAAAAGTCAAACTGAATTTATTACTGTAGGTTTAAATTTAGTTATTTGCTTTTTTTATATTTTTATGCAAAAAAAGAGCTTAAAGTATTTTTAAAAATTTTATACGTAATAAAAAAGTAATCAAAAATACTTTTTTTCCTCCAAATAACATAAAATAATTAATTTACAATATTTTAATTGAAAGTACTTAATGTTTTAAAAATGTTAAATGCATTTTTGCTCTTATCAAAAAGAGTTTTTAAAGCACACAAATTAACCTTTATTGAAAAAGTTTATATTATTTTGATTATGAGATTGAAAATTTTTTATAGATCCTTATAGAAACATAATGAAATTAGTTGTATAATTTAATTCACATAAAACATTAAATTTTATAAGCTTGCTTGACACAAAGGCAAAAATTAGCAAGTTTCTACAAATGTTTGATAGAGAAAAATTTTCTAAGGAAAGAAAATAGAATAAAATATTCTAATCAATGACAAAAATTTTCATGGAATGAAATATTACTTATTTTAATTATGATAAAAAATTAATAGCATTTTCAATTAAATAAATAAATAAAAATTAATACATTAAAGTAAAAAACTAATTAAGTAGATTAGAGGATAAACTTTTGTGCAATTTGAAAAATTTAACAACAGGACTTAGAAAAATCAATCTTAAATTAAATTCTAATGAAGGTTACACTTTACAAATAGGATAGATAAAATTGTTATGAGACGTATGAAATTTTGTTCATCTTATATTTCAGATCTTAAAGAATAAATTGATAAATAAACATTTCATTTAATGTCTTAGAGTACTATTACACATTTAGATATTATTAATGTTGGATATCACACTAATAATAATGAAATTTCATTGTTCTAATGGAATTTTATGTCAAGAGAATTAAGTTTAAAATTTTCAACAAATACTTTAAAATTTTAAAATATTTCTTTAATGGTTCAGTTTAAAATTTCTTAAAACATGCAAGGATTATCAAAATGTTTGAAGAAATTTTCATGTAGATATATCAGCAGTATAAAGGAATTTTTACTCTTGTTAAGGAGTAGGGATTTTTCACTCTTATTAGATTCATGAACGTGCAACTGATTGTTTAATTTACCAAACCAATGGGCCCACTCAAGTTCTCTGTAATGGTATAATTCCAAGCACTGGAGTTTGTGTGTTTGTTACAAATTGTCTGTTACTGTCTTTAACAAAAATTAGAAGGCAAAAAAAAGTAGGGTCTGGGCAAAATCCCTTGTTGGGTTGGTTCTACTACATTAAAGTTCAAGTGCGTATTTTTATGTTGTTAATGTTTTGAGATTCTCCGGATTATAAATCTTTGGTTAACAGTTCTTTTTTCTCACACAAACCACATTAATGAATCAGTTTTTATATTCTTCCTATAGTGGCAGAAAAAGCAATGTTTAAGAGATTTTCTAAAATAATGCAAGGATGTGAAGCTGTTGATTTATAAGTAAAGATAAAGAATTATTTCTAACAATTTTGAAGAGCAAAATTATTAAAATTTCCATAAGAAAAATGAATCTCTATTAAATCCGGAATCAAGTTAAGGTTGATATTTACTTAAAATATTTCAATAAAGATTACAGAACATCTGACTAGAAAAATTTTAAAATTAAAATTTACTTGGACAATAAGGACTTCAGTGTTTACATCCTCAAGAGCACATTTCTTTTCATAGGCTTCTTTGCTCAATCTCTCAACAAGCAAACCAAGTTCCTAAAATGTAGACAAACTTTTGTTAACTATTTTTTTTATGAAAAAAATGATGGTTTAATATCAAATGTTGATAATATAAAATAATATAATAATATGAAATTTAAATATTAAATTATATAATATAAAATTTAAATATTAAATTATATAATATAAAATTTAAATATTAAATTATAATGTTGTGATATAATAATGTTACATAATATGTCCATAATATATTTAAATATCTGTCATATGTAATATGTTTAAAAATTTTCAAAAATTGAACAATAACAATCATAGAATACATTTAATTATTAATCTATAGTGTACTTCCTTGAAGTAAAGAAAAAAAAAAACACAAAGTAATTTTAAAGTCTTTTTGAAATGAACCTTGTAATTTTCATGATATTTTAAGAAATATTTCTAAAGAAATACCTTCATCAACAGTTGTTTATTAATTCTGAAAAATTTTCAATTTTTGAGAAAAGTGGCCACATGTTTTAAAAAGTAGCCACTGTTAAAAATTCTACAATTGGCCAATTGCCAGTAGTAAAATTTCCAAATCTTGCCTTATAATATAATAGGTAAACGTTTAACATGGTAAAACGTTTTCTACTGCTTGTGGAAACAGAACAGCATTTTAAAAGCATACTATAATGTACTTAATTTAAAAGAGGAAGAATCAAAGCTAGAAGGTAGTTAAAAATGTAAACTTATGTTACAAAGAAACATACTGTAATTTTACTGTCATCTTCACTAGTGTACTTCATTAACACCATATTATCTTTTTCCATCTCTGCAGATTTTTCCAGATATTGCATTAATTTTTCTTCATCCCACTGAATTGCAGATTTCAATTTTTCTCCTTTTTCTCTTTGCTGAGAAATAGCCATCTAAAAATTGAAACAGCTTCTTCAAATAAAAAAACAATGGGTGAATTTTTAATGCATCTTTTGTTAAAGAACAAAACTAATAAGTCTAATTAACATATTTGACATCAATGTATTGTCAGGATGAGCAAGAAAAATAAATAAATAAAACTTTATACACAATTTAAGACTTAAAAAAGTTAAAACTTAAAAACAATCTGAGAATTAAAATTAATAAGGTAATTTTAGATTCATAACTATTTTTGCAAAACTATCCATAAATAATAAAGATTAAAATAAATGTCAAATTTGCTGCTTTTTCTCTGAATAAAGAAGACAAAATAATCTTCAAAATATTTATTTATAATTTTTTATCGTTAATTAATAAAAAAATTTATAAGTACAACAAATTTACATGTAAGAAATTATTTTCCATAAAGAGTGTACCATATGAACTCTATTGTAGTAGGTATTTATATCTATTCATTTTGTGCCATTAATAAGTTGAAGTTATTTAAAGTAATAAAAGCTAACCTACTTCTCTTTTTTTCTGTCGGCCTCTTAAAGATTTTATTTCATTGTTGACAGCTTTCATTTCTTGCTCTAAGCGACTACACTCACGATCTATGAGTTTTTCAGAATGAATTTCCATTTCTAGCTCATGTTCTCTTGTTTTAAAAAGTTGCTAAATATAATTAACATGGATATCAATAAAATAGAAATTGAATTCAAATGCATGTAATATTTAATAAAATGAATTAAATACAATTGAGTTAAAAAAATAAAAGATACTTTTTCATTTCACCTGTGCAAACAATAAAGTCATCATCACAAAGTCAATAGGTGCAAGTAAATAATTTTTTTNAATGCATGTAATATTTAATAAAATGAATTAAATACAATTGAGTTAAAAAAATAAAAGATACTTTTTCATTTCAACTGAGCAAACAATAAAGTCATCATCACAAAGTCAATAGGTGCAAGTAAATAATTTTTTTTTTTCTTTGTTGAAAAAATGATGACTATTTTTTTAAAAAAAAAATAAACAAATGAAATAGCTGAATTTACTGATGCCAGCGAAATGGGAAAGTATGTATCAAAAATAATATATTTAAACACATATAAGATTCCACGAACATCTTATATTTGTTTAAACTGAGGATATTTCTGTATCGGTGTCTGTTCGTACCAACTACGCCGCCAAGATACCAAAGGGATTTTAAACTTAAATATAAACAGGCAACTTTCAAATTTAAATATGTATATAGATATATTTCTTGAGACTTGTGAGTGGCTACAAGTTTTCCCCTTTTGGGCCTGCTATTTTTTTGGTTAAGGTGCAGAAGAGACACGATGTTTTAACGATAATTTTTCATCATTTTAGCTGAAATCCCATTTCTGGTTACCATGATATTCTTTGCAGACTTTGCTTTCAATGACGTCACCTCTAGGTTAAAAAAAACTTATGTTTACTGTTACATGATTTGTTCTTGGTTTATTTTCATGTATATTTTATTTTCGAATAGCCAAATATAAGAGGGACCGCAATTGTAAACAATTACCTTTTTTCTTTAACTTTACAAAAGTCCCTGCCTGAAAGCCAACAAAACTTTAGCGTTTATTTTGGCCTAGATACCGATAAGGATATTTTATCTATAAACTTTTTAAATAAAAAAATTGTTAAGAATTAAATTTAAGAGAGTTTATAATTTTGCATCGAAATGAAAAATACATACCTGTTTATAGCTAAGAGTTTGATGCAAATCATTTATATGATCCCTCATCTTTTTACCTTTATTAATATTGTTTTCCAAAATAACTTTAAGTTTCTCTACCTCGATTTTCTTCAGTTTTAGCTGAAAAATAAATAAATACTTAATTTAACTTTTGAAAAATAATTTAATTTACAAAAATGACTCACAACAAATAAATACCGATTCTTCAAGTTGTTTATTTTCTTCATTAGCGATAGGAAGTTCTGGCTTAGTTCGCCATAACATATCATATCCAGCTAAATCTACAGTATTTTCAAACATTTTAACAAATTTAATTCGTTTTAAAATGCTGTTTTAATTGCTATTTCAAATCAAAGATCACTTACAAAAGAAAAAAAATTAAAAAGCATTCCTGTTTGCCTCTTTCGTTGTTGTCATGGTAACGAAAAATGATGATTGCCAGAGGGAATATTTCTCTAATTAAACAGTTTGATAGTATGTAAAATAAAAAAATAATTAATACTAGTTAAAAATTCTTTCAGTTTACAATTTGTATTCTAATAAGCAATTTACACTCTTTAGATTAAAAATAAAGATAAAAAGTTAATTCAAAGACTGTTGCTTTTACTTTAAAATTTAAATTAAAAGAAATGGCAGCATTGTGTAATAGCTGTCGTCTGCCGCATGTTTATATTTTTTTATTAAATGCCAAAAATAAACAACCCGAAATTCACAATAAATTAGCTATATTCATATTTTATATTAATCTTTTTTTTTCATGTAAAATCATTTCTGAAATACAATTTTAATTCTGGGTTTTTATTTAATTTATAACATTATAAATATCCAGCTCATAATAAGCAAAGGAATCGTATATAATTTTATCGAATTATTTCAGTAAGCAATTTTTTATCTAAGATTAGATTTATTGATTTGCTTAAAAAGTTTGCTTCCAGATGTGCAAAGTTTTTTTAACTACTACAATTTTATTTACCTATCTTTACTTTTTTTTTGCATTTAATTTGAATACCGAATGTAGTTTTTGTATCTATACTATTCATGAATGATTTAAAACTTCTTTCCTAGATCTCTTCCCTTTAAAAAAAGATATTTTTTTGTTGTTTTAAAATAATTTTTCCCTAATTATCTTTATTGTGATAAGTTAAAGTAATTTATACTTTGTGTTTAAACAATTTTGTATTCTTAATTCTTCATTAAAGTACTGGCTTATTTCGCTGTTTTATTTAGTTTTAATTTTTTTAGGGGATGCATCCTTTTTGCGATCTATCGCCTCAATTACAATCGCCAAAGTGCGTAATGGATTTTAAACTTGCAAACATATTATTAAATTGGAAATGTATATATGTTTTTTTATGTTAAAAAAATAAATGAACGTATCTATTCATTGGAGTCTGTCTAAAATATTCATCAGAAAAGCTCAGTGCTTTCTTCAAAAGGAAATGACTGGATAGTTTAATTTTATTATAAACTTAATTTTTCAATTAAAATTTTGTAGTTAATTTGGATATTCATCTTAATGTAGTGGGGGGGGGGAGTATTTGCTTCTCAACTGCCTTCATATATGATAAACATAATCATCACTAGAATATTATTTTCATTACATGTGTCTCCTTATTTTTTTATTTGATGGCTAACTATTGAAATCAATATTCAATGTTATCTATGAAGTCAAAAGCTATTGTACTTCCAGGGGTCTGTCAAGCCAAATTTACTACCGTTTAGCGGTACCTTCACAAATTCAACTTTAGGAAAAACGGTGGTGCATTTTCTTAAAATTTTATTTTTGTGTTTCGTAAAAAAGATAAATCCATATTTTTACCATATTTTTGTGCTGATATTTTATTATAATTTTTAATTTTCACAAATTATGTTTAAATTTTCACAAAATAGGTACCTCTCAGAAAAACCTAGACAGACCCCTGACTTGATTTCATTTTTATCTAGCCCTGTCTACAAACTGTAGGCAAAAGCAATCTACTGCAGGTATGCATTTTAAATCAAAATTGGTGTTCAGAATAAAGCGAAAAAAAGTTAAATTTGTCTAGTTAATCTTTTAGTCTTTTTGTATTGCTATTTTAACATTAATGTGTACTTGCTTATAATGACAATACCATATGCTATAATTAGAATACCATATGCTATTTTGAATTGTCATTAAAACAGACTTTTGTGTATCTTTTCCATAGGGTTAATGAAAGATTTCTGCATAGAAAGATTTCTGCATGTTTTGAGTTTTACGAATAATTATTTGCAGTTTAGTGAAAAACAAAATGGAGTTTCATGAAAATATTTTTGCCAAAAACTAAGGTCCTATAACTATGAAAGAAATATTTTTTAGAAATGTATAATGTAAAAATTGCATTAATAAAAAAATATACCAACTTTTAAATAATGAAAAATTAAAGGAATAATAAAGTAGTCTTAAAACAAAGGTTTACAAAATTATGTCTTTTGAACAGGCCCGGACTGGCCAGTAGGCAGACCGGGCAAATGCCCGGTGGGCTGGTCTGACCTGAGGGCCGGTTGGACTGAACCAGCAGAGAAATTTTTTTTTTATACATTGCATGAATTTCAAATAATATTGAGCAAATAATAATAATAATATTAAATAACATATATATGATATATGTAGTAATAATATTGTTTTAATGTACAGGGTGATTCAGATCATGCGTGCCACCCATTTTTTTCGTGAATGGAGCAAATAATCGATTTGAAATAAAAAATTCAATAACTAAATCGACCCCAATGAATTCGATAGTGATATTGTTAATTCCCGGTAGTAGCTGGAAGTACCGGAATTTGAACACAGTTTTGATTTTTTAAATGGAAACCTATATCTTATTTGGCATCATTGGAGAGGGAGGGTTTTCGAAAAAAAGTAACTTTTACTTGAAATTTTTTTTATATCTCTTACTGTTCTCAAGATAATAGACACGAAAAAATTCCGATTATTTACTTCAATTTATCATTTTTATCAAAAATAATTCACCTAAATTATCAAAATCGCTTCAATTTTTATAAAACATGGGAAGAAAAGCACAAATGTGTTTTAATGAAGGTAAAAGACATTATGACGGAAATTTTTTTTTTTAGTAAATATGTCAAAATCTATTTCATATGTATTTTTTCTTATCTATTATCTTGAAAATAGTAGGAGATATTAAAAAATATTTCAAGTTAAAATTGCTTCTTTTCAAAAACTCTCTCCAATGATGCCAAATAAGATATAGGTTTTTATTTAAAAAAATATATGAAATATCGTGTATATGAAAGACTTCTCGCTGTTGTAGAGTGCAAATCTTCAACCGGACAGAATGTGTTTTCTTTAGTGGATTCAGTTTTAAAGTCTTGTAATATAGATATAACAAAGTGCATCGGTAATTCAACTGACGGGGCTGAAAATATACAAGGTGAATATAAAGGATTTTCTTCATGACTTTCTAAAGAGTCCCGTGGTCAAATTCATGTTTGGTGTTATGCACATGTCTTGAATTTAGTTTTAGGAGATACCGCGAAGGTACTAATTGAAAGTGCATCGTTTTTCAGCCTACTAAATAGCGTCGCAGTATTTTTCCGTGAATCATACCAACGCATGAACATCTGTGAACAAAGTAACGAGCACGGAAATAAAAAAAGGCTCGCAACTATTGGAGAAACACGTTGGTGGTTCAAAGATTCTGCATTAAAGAAAATTTTTGGTTAATTTTCAAACTCAGATTCAACTATTAAGCCGTTTATATGTCACATTGATTACAAGTTTAGAAACTATACAACAAAATTCAAATTTCAAGCCAGATATCCGTGCAAAGGCAAAAATATTTTTAGAATCATTTTGCAAATATGAAACAGCAATCGCCGCCAAAATATTCTCATGAATATTTGAATTAACTACACCGCTCGCCCAATATTTGCAAACCTCTGGTTTAGACATCTTAAAAGATTTGGAATGGTATCACAAACGTGTTGAGAACTAAAAAAAATAGTGAGAGATTTTGAAGATGTACAAAAAGTTACAGATGATTTCATTACTCGCGCAAATAAGGAACTTGAAGAAACTGAAATTCAAACAAAGTTTCCATAAAAAAGATTGAAGAAAAGAAAATTGATGCCCAGTGAGATAGCGTCGAATGAAACAGTTTTTGATGATGAAGCCACTGCATTTAAGGTAAACGTCCATAACATTATTTTCAGCACAGTTGTAGCGTCAATGGAACGCCGATTTCCAGGAAATAGAAAATTGTATGCCGATTTTTCCTATCTAGATCCGAAACGTTTCCCTGAAAAACGTTTTAACAAGCTTCAATCTGGCGAACTAAATGAGTTAAGCAAACTCTTGCTAAAATTTGACGAAACAGCTATAGGTGAAAATTTGCGGATTGAACTAAGAAATTTAGCTTTATATTGGGAAAAACTGAAAAATTCAGACTTAGAAGATTATAAAATAATCACAGAAGATCATTCAAATGAAAATAATAACGATTTACTTTGGAAACACAAGAAGTAAGTCTAAAATGTGAGACACTAGTGCGTGCAAAAATTGTGTTATTTGTTGCTACAAGATGTTACAGAGATTCAATTTATTGACCAATTCTTACAATTTAATTAGTCTAGCATTAAAATTTTTACAAACATTGTCAAAAAGTCAGGTGGCTTGTGTAAGATCATTCTCCACATTAAAAGTAATTAAAAATCGAATGAGGAGTACTTTATCTTCGGATAATTTGAATGCTCTCATGGTAATGGCAATAGAAAAAGATCCATTAATGGAATTAGATAGCCACGACATAATCGATAAAGTGGCAAAAAATAGTGAGCCTCTTCAAAAGTTAAATTAAAATTTAATTTAATGACTTTTGAAGAAGCAATAAATCTATTTTTGAAAAAATGTTTATATAAATCATTTATGTATGTGCAGTATAATAGATATTTTTATTTACTCTTCATCTTTCACCTTTTTGATTTTATCAACCTATGTTTCCTCATAAGAACCATGTATTTTAAACTCAAATATATTCTATAAAGGATTATTAAGCAATTTATACTTTCTTACTTCGATAAATTACTTATGTTCATGAGAATTTATAAGTAAAAAATGCCTAAAAATGATACACTAGGAGCCGCGTACGCTTCGCGCACGCGGTGTTTATGTGAAGAAGAGGGCCGATATCTCTAAAATGCCTGGGCCGGTTTTAGATCCCAGTCCGGGCCTGCTTTTGAATGTGTTTCCACCAACAATTCATTTTAAAAAAAAAACATATTTTTAAAAAATGAAAGTAGTACTATTATTTCATAAATAAAATTAGAAAACATTCTAAGCATTTTTTGTGTTGTGAAAATACAAACAAAGTATGATATTAATTATTCAATTTAAGAGATTATATATTTCGAATTGTATATTAGATTGAAGTTATAATTTTGTGAAGGGTCCTTTTTCAAAGTTTGTAACTTTGTAAAAGGTACTTTTTAGAGATTTGAATTTTCGTGAAGGATCTCTAATTGGACTAATGATAAATATTTCATTTATTACAGAGAACTGAATCCTGAAGCGTTGCAACTATGCCTCCTAGGAGTAGACAGAGAGGTTCTAATAAGGACAGGGAAAAACCTCGTGATGCCAAACCACCACAAGTCATTTCTTCTTCCTCCATGAATGTGTATGTTATACATTTACTTTATTACTTATTATCAGGGTTGACATTTCGTCAGGCAGAAACCTATTTCTTTCAAGCTGATGGAAAAGAGTCAACAAAATGAAAGAAATTCAGGGGATAGAGCTCTCAATGAGGTGACCTGGGTTCTAATCCCAGTGATGACTGATTGATACCAATTTCGCACTCAGCTTGCACCAATTGACAAAATATATCCTCTGTGGTAGACACATCATACGTTAATCCCCTTGCTGTCAGGTTAACTGTGGGAGATTTTCACGTAACGCAAATAAGGGTTATTTCCATCAAAAAGTGCTCCACGAAAGCCTATTTCTCCTAGTACTTGATCCAGGAGTTCTCTTATCTTCTGGATTGAGCTCAGAATTACAAGGCTATGGAGTTGAACATTGGTAGTCGTAAACTCAAAATTGGGTCGATTGTTCAACGATGGTTGTAAAATTACAAGTATTATAGGAATAGCTTGATTTTAAATAAATGAAATTTAATTTAGTTATGTTTTTTACATCTATCTTTTTGTAAAAGAAAAAGAAATGAAAAAAAGAATTAGTCTTTTTATAAAATTTTATGTGCATCATATTATTTGAGAGTTGATGTAAGTTACATACTTAACAGTATTTGATTAAGAAAATATTATGCTAGTTGTAATTGTAAATTCAACGTGTCTTTTTAGTAGTGTTTATGTTTATTATATAACTAACATATATTTTACTTGCACATGCTTGTTAGCATTTGATTTGCTAATTTAGTAGTATAGTGGAAAGTCCCATATTCGAAATTGGTGGGATTTCGGACTACTGTATTTCGCTTTATGCTGTATTAATAAAATTTGATTATGTTTTTTTTTTTTTTACAGTTCTTTTATGCAATTAAATTATAGGTTTTACTATTCTCATATCCATAAAATATTGAAAACTTGCACTTCTTTTAGTTTCTTAAGAAATTAAAAATTTTTTTTTCCAAATGTTTATTCTAAGCTTTGACTTATTTAAAAAGGATATTATTTAAAAAGGATATTATTTAAACTAGATCGCAGTTTCAAACTGTTTAAAAATCTGTTTTAATGTATGGTATTTATTTTTAGAGAAAAGTGCATTTTCCCCACTCGAATTGAATGAAATCTATTTATTCTAATGAATTTTTTTCGACTGATGAAGAAACTTTTTATCCCTGGTCCTTGTAATAGAGTGATTTAAAGATAACTTCTTTTTTATTTCAGTTTGCCCTCAACTGATTGCACTGATAAAGTATGGACTCCATCAGTTTATTCATCATTCAAGATTCTCTTATCTTTAAGGCTATGTGCTGCAGTTTGGAATAGTATGTTCGATTGTGATGAGGTTTATAATTACTGGGAACCTGTGAGTAATATATTGTTCTGTCGCTTGAAATGTTTTAGATATGATTTTATGTAAAGCTGCATATTATACATCATTCTATCACTTTTAATTTTCTGTGAATGATTTAAGAAATATATTTGGTTTTACTGCAAGTGCTCAGTTTTTGCTATCATAATTGGTAATTTGTAATAATGTGTATTCTGTGTTTTGATCCTCAGTGGTGGCTTAAAGCCAGGATTTGCCAAAAATTTCCTTTGAAATTATATAAGAATTTTATTCCTTACAATTCAAATTTTTTTTTAAACTATTATTAAGTAAAATAATAAAAATTATAAATATTCACTAAAAGTTATTTTTTGCATGGAATTATCTTTGGATGAATAAATTTTATAAATATGTGCAAAATTTTTTCTATTTGTTTAAAACGTTTTCGAGATATACCAAAATAGACAAAAAGTAAAATTAAAATTAGGCGTCCTAACTTTGACTGCTCTGCCACAAAAAAATACTTGCACCATATTTGTGGCTATCCGCTATATTTTGGGGACCAGAAGTCTGAATCCATCAAAAGAAAAAAGAAAAAAAATTCATTCGAAGAAAGTATATTTTTATGTCTAATTTTGATATTTAAAATATCATCTACACTAATTAATTAGCATGTTTGAGATCACTCTCTCGATCCATTAAGATTGAGTCTTAAAACAACGAATATTGTGATCATTATATTAAAAGTTATTCTGGGTAAACCATTTTTTTTTTTTTTTTGCACACTGTACATCTAAAATTAAGGAATTGCTATTATTTAATGTCAAGTAGTTTAATTTATCTACTAAATATAGAGCTGTATGTATTAGGAACAATTGTACCCATAACTTAAAATCTGTGCTGCGAAATTTTTAATGCGAAAATGTGAGAGAAATCAACTATTTTACCTGAGTCAAAATGCTATTTCTGCTCAAATATTTTCATTTTTTACTGCATCCTCCCCTTTAATTGCATTGATTTTTTTTTATATAACTAGTTTTATATTCGCTTTTCATAAAAGATAAACGAATCATAATTAATTAATAAATCAATATAAATCAATTTCTTTCTCTTTTTTTGTTGTCATTTATTATCTTTCTCAAAGACTGATTATTAAATTGGACAAAACATGTTTTTAGGAGTTCAATTCATCAAAAGAAAGATTAACTATACTCAAACTAACTTAAGAGTTTAACTAATATGACACTGATAATAGTGCTATTGATTTGGGGCCACATAATAGTGAAGTTTAAGCAATAAAACAGTTTTTCTGATAAATTTGCATATAAGTGCATATTTTCTTTTTTCTCCAAATATTGTTACCTTTACTAAAATCACTTTCAAATGGCTTATTATGGACCACATAAATTTGCGATTATAGCTAACTTACAAATTTCTAATTTACATGACTTCATCCCTGTTCAACTGTTGATGAATAATTTAACAATAACTTGTTAGAAGAAATCTTTTGTTATTTGTTGCTCTGTAACACATGCGCTCTGAAACTCTTGCTAACTGGAATATTTTGTCTGCTTGTCAGTTGGATTAGCGATTTCATATTGTGTGTTTACCTTAGAATTCAATCGTCGAATTCTTCAAGGTTTTATTTTATTTGTATGCCATGTGCCATTCACATTGATTTTACTTGCACCTATGCACAGATCGCAAGATTCGTTCGCAGTTGTAAAACTGAGGATGAAACCATGAAAAGAAAAAAACTACCGTGGGAGAAATAGGTTTCCTGCAACCCAATTGGAAGAAACTGTTTTTTGAAAAAGAAATATCTATTAAAACAATTTTGGAGCAGTTATAAGTTTCAACTAATTTATTTAATATCAGTATCTTCATGCTACTCAATAAATCATTTTTAAAAAAGTGAAAACTAATAAATAAAAACTAGTAAGGAAAATACTGGTATTGCTTATTTGAGAATTTAACACAACTGTAGAACTTATGTAAAAGAGAAAAATAGGAGGTATAATTTAATTATATAAATAACTGTCAAATTATCAAACTCAAATTCGGAGGTACCTACTGCTATTACAATTTACTTTTAATTATTTTGATTTCATAGTCAAGATTACAATTGAGTAATAAAAACTGTGGGTTTCTTTAGTTCCCCCCATAATCTGTTTAAAATAAGTTATCATTTATAATGAAATATAAAATTTCAATGCCGCATATTTTTTAAAAATTAGTTAAGCTAAGGGTTTGCTTTTTTATTTAATAGTGCATTCATGCATAGTCTTTTAATACTGTGTATCTACATAGAATTAAGTAGCATATACACCTTAAAATTGCTCATTTGAATTCCGTAAACTGTAACTTAATATATTTCTGTGTAATACTTATGATTACTGATAGCCAGTTTTTAATGTTACCACCACTGTAAATTTAGGTTGAAAAATTAGCCCTTATTTTTATTGTTATTTATTTATTGAATAAAAACATATTTTATGATTATAAAGAAAACTAATACTAATATGAAAATGATTTTATTTTGACAGATGCATTATTTGTTACATGGAAAAGGATTTCAGACATGGGAGTATTCACCACAATATGCTATTCGTTCTTATGCTTATTTATGGTTGCATGCAGTTCCTTGTTATCTTTATGGAGTTGTCCTTCAATCCAATAAAGTATGTTAGTTTTTTTATTCCATTCAAATCACCCAACAATTATGTTAAATCAAAAGTGTGAATTTTCTACTGAATGATTATGAATTTTCATTGTTGTTTTCCTTAGTAAATAAATCTTTCCTAATTCAATTCCTCTATACTTATATTTAAGAGAGCTAATATTAAAAATTTGAATGCTTTTTTATTGTATAATATTTAGGTGTCTTAAAATTTTTTAATTAGTTTGTTTTTTTTTACAGTTGATTATTTTACAATTTTAATATTTATCCCAGACTTTTACAGTAGTTTTTTTCTTTTTTCCAAATCTGCGTTTAAGCCTGAAAATTTTACTTTTCTGGCGGATTCATTATTCTCTTAAAGTGTAATAATAAATACTACTCATGATCAATTTTTGAATGCTCTTAGAAAATCTAAAAGTGCAAATTTTCAATTAAGTGCTCATCGATTTTCATTTTTGTGTTTAGCTGTAGTAAATAAGTTTTACAAAATTTCTCTATACTTATATTTCATGTAACTAATAGCTGAAATTCAAATGTTAAAGGTGTTTTATTTAANATATTAATAAATTATCATTTACAGTTTTTTTTATTTACAGTATTTATATTTATTTTTATACAGACTTTTACAGTAATTTTTTATTAACTTATATTTTTGTCTTTCATATCTGAGTTTAAGTTAATAAGTTTTCCTTACCTGACTGAGGCATTATTGTCTTAAAGTGTAATAACAAATACTATCTATGACTAATTTTTGAATGTTCTTGTAAAATTTGATAAAAAGGTACTTACAGTAATATTTTCTAATGGATTAATTAGATTTGATTTGATTTTGAATGTCACTCGAGAAATTCGGATTTACACTCAGCTAATTAAATTCAAATGTTTTCAAACCACTAAGTTCTGGCTTTTTCTGAATTTTAAAGCCCTCTATGCTCACCATCATGGATTTCAGGTTAAAAAAAAAATTTTTTTTTGTATATAACAAACTTTTGATGATATAGTATTATTTGACTGTAATATGAGAAGAATAAAGGGGTTGCTTTATTTAATTATAAGAAATAGCTCTTGATCGGATTTTAGAGCTTCTATTCTAAATTTCATAAAATCTATAGAATTTTCTTCAAAACTGTTAAGCAATAAGTGAATTCAGCTGGTAGTTTTGGATCAGTAATTCAAAACTACACATTTATCAGTTTTCAGATTCTTTAAAATTTAATTTTATAACAATTTAAACCGAGGAAAATCGATTTGGATGATGTTGAAAATTGTTATAGCAAAAATTGCATTAAAACAAAGATATTTCATAATAGTCTAAAAACTGTAACCTACTTACTATTTAGTTTGTTTAAAAAACTGCTGATAGCAAAATGTATTGGTATAATTTTGTCAGAAAAAATTAAAAATGAATCTAAAATACTGCATGCTTTATATCTCAAATTGTGATTGGATGATGGCCTTATGTTTTAAATGCATTGAAAGATACAACCAAATAAAGTAAATATCCACCATCAATTTATTTGCGAAAATTAAATAAAGATGATCAGAAGTATAGTTAGAATTTTCCCTCCCTGTTTTCACCCCTTTAATAATTGAGTTTGATGGGCTCTATTATTGGGTGGTTAAAATATAATACATATTTTTAAAATTATATTGAATTTCGTAAAAAGAAAATTTGAACACTTAAGTACTCTAACTTTATTAGAAATGTTATAAAATTGTGTTATAAAATTTCTCAAGCACAAGTTTTACTCTTTTAGTAATTATTCTTTCTCTTTTCAGTTTGCTGTATTTTACTGTCTGAGATGCTTGTTTGCATTTTGCTGTTCATTGTGTGATATATATTTTTACCAGTATGTATAATGTTTATTTTCCCATTAAATAAACTGAAAGTTTTTTTTATTTTATTAGATTGGCATATATATTTCTCATTTTTCACTTTTCTTTTGTTAAGGACATAATTATTATAAATATAGTTAAAATATGTACAAAATAAATACAACTTTAATTATGATTATAATTTGAAATTTATGTGAAACCAAAAACAAGAATTCACTTTTTTATTGTTAATCTAATAAATTTGATAAAAAGTTTATTTTAAGCTAGGTTTTAAAAGTACAAATGTAAAAATAATAATCTTGATTAAAGTAATTAACTTAAATGATTATTCAACTATTTTTTGCATATGAACATTATTTTAAAAAATATTTTGTGCTATCATCTTTATTAGATTTTAATTTAATAACATTTCCTATGTTTTTCTGTCAGTAATTTCTTCAAATTTTACTATGTTGTTTTCAAAATTCGGACTTTGTGCTAACTTATGATTTAACAACATGTAAGTTAAATCTTTTAACAGTCATAATTTTATGCTTCACTGAATTAAATAATTCATTTTGAAAATTCAATTCCAACAATTTAAGTCATTTTTTTCTGCAGTATAAAGTAAATTGTACATTTTTTAAACATTATTTTTAGGGCTGTTTGTAAGCATTTTGGTAATAACATTGGTAGAATATTAATTTTACTACTGGCTGTCAGTGCAGGAATGTTTAGATCATCCACATCTTTTTTGCCAAGTACTTTTTCAATGTATCTATCAACAGCTGCATTATCATCATGGTTTCTACAGAAATATGAAGTAAGTTTATTATACAATTAAGATTAATTGCAATAATACTTTGAGGACCAAATAAATAGATTGTTGTAGAGGGTTATATTGATCAAGGTCCTACATATTTCGGGAATACAATAAGTTTTTTTTTAAAATTTTAACTCTTTGACTCAGAAGTTTTATTAAAGTTACTTTAGATAATTTTTTTTGTATTAATTTAAGCCAAAATAAGTGAAATGAAGTTTAGGTCAAAATAGATGTCGTGAATGTTCAATATTTTAACAATTTATAGTTAGAAAATACGGCATGAACCACTGGTATCTTTTTTTGTGTTAAAGATAAAATCTTCCAAACACAGCTCACTTTAAAACCTCAAATTTTCAAATGTGCACTTATTTGCAGTATTTAAATCTGTGAGAAACGTTGTTCATCATTGCACTTTCTTTAATTTACAAAATCAATTATTGATAAATTTTTGACTATCCATACAAAAAGTTTTCAAACTACATACTTATAAAATAAAATGTAAAATAACATTTGAAACAGTTCAGGGTCTAAGTTCTCACTTTTGCTTACACACTTTTGACCCATGGACCGTATATTGTGCATTCCTGTTTTATTAAATATTGTTTTTGTTTATGATTGAATTAGTAGAACAGTTAAGAAATTTTTTATTTTAAGTAAATATAATGTCTCAATTCACAATTTAGCTCTTAGAAAGTCAGATGAAGCCTGTTTAACCCCTTCCGTTTTTTATTGCTTTGTAATTCAAAAAATAGATTACTGAATGTACTGAGTATACCTGACTTTTCATAATTTAATCGAATGTAAGTGTTTTTAAATCAGTCATGTGTTAGCTTTATTGAAACATATGCATAGAACCTTATACCTAGAATTTCAGCAGGGGCCAGAGTGGCACCTAAGGAATTTTGGTATGAACCTGATAACCTAAGTTAGGTTTGGGTAGAAGGTGCCTTTTGGTCGATAAAAGTTATCCCAGTTCCATTAAAAAAACAAGAGTATTTCAGCATGTCTATAATTATTATTTATAGAGAAAGGGAATTTTCCATTTTTCTAAGAATCTAATGTATAAGAATTAACTGAAAAATCTGTGTTTTGTTTAATCAAATATTTTCATTAACCAAATTGGAAAAAAACACCATAGGATTCTGATGATCGACCCTCTAATATATTTTTAATAAATTTGTTATGATTATGTTTTAAGATTTTTGATGTCTATACAAAAAAAAAGAAAATAATAATTTGGAAAGGGCCAAACTAGCCTTTTCAGACTTTCTATGTATACAGCAATGTTCAATCTTTCTAGTGATAAATTTTGTTGTTATTTCTTACAATTAATTGTTTTCCTTCCATCATTATCTATTTTAGTTAGCAGTGTTTGCAACTGCAGTTAGTACGTTAGTTGGTTGGCCATTTGCAGCTATTTTAGGGTAAGATAGCTTTTTATATTATGCCTTTCAATTTTTTATTTTACTGTTGTCTTAAGCATAAAAAGTGTTTGCATTTTGACAATATTCAATAATTTAGTATCAATTTTCTAACTGGCTGCAGAAAGTCACTTAAATGCTTACACGATTTTAAATCTTTCAGGTTCAGAATTCTAAAGCATCTGCGACAAAACTTGTTACAGATAACCCACAATTTGGAAATTGAAGGGTTTTTTTTAAAAAAGAAATTTGACACTAAAGAGGGGACAATTTTAATGTACAATTGTGATTTATTGTTTATTTATTGATTTTTTTTTATCAATATACAAATTAAGATAGCTGTCAAGCTTGTTTTGTTTTTACATTATCTTATATCTTTTTATTTTTATCCATGTTTTTTGACATTTTTTAATATAAAATTAGCTATTTTCTTTTTTAAAGATACTACTTCCTGATTTTAAAGTCTAAGCAAATTCTACTTTAGATTCTACCAGCATAACATTTAAGTTGGTACAACTTTTTATGTTTAAAATAGCATTTTCAATTTGTACATTCTGAGAACTATTGCTGTATTTGAAGGGCTTAGGGCAATATAATAAGCCACAATGACATTTTCAAATCGTTCAAGAGAGTGTTTTTACGAGAATTTTGGATTTTTTAAAAAAAATAAAGACTAAGATTTTCATTTAAGCAATAATAGATTTATGTGTATTGTGCTGTTTTTTTTTTAAAAGTCCAGAAACTTGTTAAGTATCTGTCTGGAAACAACGTTAAACAGCAGTTTGATACAAAAAGGTCTTGTTTGGAAAAAGTATGACTTTTTTGAAACATAGAAATGCTTGATACTTGTTTGTCAAATAAATTTCAAGAGAATGAAAAAAAATAGAAGTTGAGTTTAAATGCGTTCTAATGCATGTTAAAGTCGGAGTTGGGGAATTTGTATTAATGTTTGACTCCAAACTTTTTTGTGAATCTGACTCTGACTTATATACCAATAAAAATTTCTATGAATCTTAGGAAAGTATTAATTTAATTACTAAGTAAATGCTAATTTCATTTTATATTTTTATGTACTGTTGGAGCTGAAGGTTTATGTAAAATTCACTTAATGTCAAAAAATCATTGAAGAAGACCTTCTTTACAAATATAACGGTTGTAGGACAAGATCTAGATATTAATATATCATACACGTATTAACGTAGGATAAGGAGAATCTTTAGTGAATATTCATAATGCTGTTGGAAACTATTGCACATAATATATTAAATTCATCTGCATTTTCTTTTCATGAATTTTTTTAACATAATTTTAGTTTTAACAACTATGAATGATTAAACTACTATAGATGATGCATTAAATTTAAGTTTATTTCAATCCTAGAACTATTTCAATTGATACAATAAATTTGTTTGCATTCTTTTAAAATTGATTTTGAAAGTTAGCTAAATAAATTTAATGTGAAATTTATGAGCCACAAGTTAGTTTATTGATAAAACTTACAACTTAATGGTGTATAATTGTATTTTTATATATTTTAATTGCTGAAAAACACATGAATATTTTTGTAAGTTGTATAATCAAGTTATAAATAATTCTCTAAATGATTTTCATATTGTCAAAGTCTTTTTTTCTTCTTCTCTCAACTAAGTGAGCGTCAAGCAAATTTTCTCTGTTTAATAAATTGTCATTGAATCCTCAATTCTGATTGCATTGACATCATTAAAATAATATTGCCTCTATGGAATTGAGTCTCTTTTTTTGTATTAGCTATAATCGGGACTGGGATGATGATGATCTAAAAAATTTTAAAACATGCCCTTAATGGAAAAAAAAAAAAAAAAAAATTACAATTTATCAAAAATGTAAAATAATGTAATAACCATTCTGAGGGTCATAAACTGTAATAAGTAATTCCCATATTATAGATTTAATGCTTTCATAATCTTTCTCTATTTAGTTTACCCATTGCATTTGATATGATTGTTCTGAAGAAAAAACTTCCATTGTTTATGAAGTCGTCTGTCATTTCGTTGTTTCTTATTTTGGTAAGCAAAATTTATTAGAGTGATATATGAAATTACTGTTATTTTTTAATTTGTTTAAAAACATAATTTTTTTTAATTATTTTTTTTTTTTAGGTACCAATGATTCCAATCGACACCAAACATTTTGGAAAACTTGTATTTGCACCCCTAAATATTGTTTTGTATAATGTTTTTACATCTCATGGTGCTAACTTGTATGGTGTGTATTTACTACTTTTAAGTATGAAATGCTTGTTTACTAGTACTATTTTATTTACTTACATAAACATATCAATTTAATATGCATTACCAAGAGTCTACTAATCTAGGATGCTACAGTGTCTAAAAAATAGTAGTTGGCACCTAATGTTTGATAAAACTATTTGTTTTTTAAAAAACTGAAAAATCTGAGTTTATTATTTTTGGAGGTGCTTTGATAGGGCACTTCTTGTCTGCAATTACTAAAACAGTAAGAATGCATCTAAAAGGAATTACTTCTTTTCCCTGTATTCTCCAAGCCTTATTTCAAAAGTGAATAATTTTTAAATATTCTTTTATTTTAATCAAATAAATTACTGTTTTAAGAGGCAAAATTTCTCAATGAATGCTGATTTCTGGTAAAAAAATATTAAAATTAAGAGAGTTTTCATGTACTGGAATTTCAACACCTAATCAATCAGTGGAGGAATCATTAATATTTCATTTCATTATTCATATTTAATCATTAATATTAATCGTATATTATTTAATTTATCAGATCATTTACTTTTTTGAGCTTGATGAGTAATCATCATTATAATGAATTTACTATTACATTATAATGATGATTTATATGAGGATTTATAAAAGCTATAATTACATCATTATAATTTTGTTATGATTATTATCTCTCTCTCTCTCTCTCTCTCTTTTGTGAAGTTTTGAACCCTTGTTATTTATGATAGCATCATCAAACCAATTTTTTTTAAACGTCAGACACTGAACTCTTCTTCATTTTCCTCGGAAGATGCCGGAAATGTTGCTTTTTCACGTTACCTAGTGGGCACCTGTAAACCTTACGGGGATGAGTAACATTATCCACCCTACACTGCCTTAGATACTGCTCATAGGATGTGCCACATTCAGTCAACAGAGGACAACACACAGAGAGAAATATTCATGCCCTGAGCGTGATCCGATAACGTAGCCACTTGGGCTAGCATATCATACCAAAATTAAAATTATAGCAATTACATATTGAAATTATTCTATTTTTAAGTATAAAATAAATTATAAGCTTATCATTTTTTACGCAAGGATTTTTTATGCTTTTTTACATAGTGTTTTTAAAAATAAATTATAAATTTTTTTAATAAAAACTTTCTAGTTTCTAAATAAAGTAAACTAAATAGTTTCTAGTTTCATTTGAATTAATATTTTCTTTCATATTGTAGGTACTGAACCTTGGACATACTATTTCCAAAATGGCATATTAAATTTTAATGTTGTTTTCTTTCTGGCTTTGGGATCTTTACCTCTGTTGGTAAGTATAATTTTTTATTGTTATTATTAGTAGGGTTTGTAGTTGTTATGATTTTCCTGACTCTAAATATTTTGTCCTTATTTGTTCTGTTTTTTAGCTTTTAGTTCTGATGATCTTAATTTTTGTGAATGTTTAGTAATTTCACCAAATTCAAGTGTATGTTTTTAAATAATGGAGTTTACGAATCTAAAGATTTCAATTTTCAGTATAAATTTTTTTTATTCTAATTAATAATACTAGTTAAATCGCAAAATTTTATTGTTTCAGCTGTCAATCTTGATTCAGACTTTTGATATTCTTATGAAAAAGAAGTTTTGCATTTTTGCTGTTGAAATTTTTTTCTTTATGAGTCTGATTTCTAATTGGCATAGTAAATTTTTGAGTTGTTAACTGTTTTTGCTCTTATTCTTCAAATTGTAAGGAAAACATTGTTTTTGTTTTTTATACTTTGCATTTCGTTTATTTCAAAATTGAAATTACTTTTAAATGTCCATTTACTTTAAGAAATGGTTTAATTTCTTTTTTGTTCTCTTTATTTTATAATCTTTGTTTCCAGATTACTATGCATTACAATTACTTCTCATTTATTTTTGTACTTTAATAATTTTTTAATATTTAGGTTACATATGATTTATTTTTGAAATAATTTATTGTTGTTATAAAATAACTATTGTATAATTATCGATTTTTTTAAAACTTACTATGATGCCATTATTGGTATTATTTATTTCCCAGCCTTTAAATTTACTTTATTTCATAAATTTGATCATTCCCAATCCCTTTTTAACAAATAAATCAAGAAATTAATTTGAATTCAATTTTATAATGAGTTAATGCAAATATTTCTATTCTCAATAAATGTAACATCTAATTTCTTATCTCAATGCAAGAGTATTACTAATTAGCATCAAATGTCACGGCAACAAAACATCAAAATCTATTTTTAACCTTCCTTTTTGCGACCACATAAAACATTAGCATATACATTATTAAGTTTACTTTAATTTTCAATGAACATTTTGATCATAAATCTTCAGCCAATTTATTTATATATTAACATGAGATATCGTGAGGTTGGCTAAATTGGCTTTACTTTTGGCAGTGTCCATTTTTGCTAAGGCGCCTATAATGAATCACTTCTGTACTACAAAAGTGGTGATTAAATTGTACTTTTGATTTGGTTTTAAAATACGCAGGTCATGGGGGATTTGATACCCATGGCCTGTTCCATAATGTTCAAAAATTTTGATTTTGCTTGAAATGTCATTTGCATAAGAATAATCTTTTTGTTTTGAACCTCAAGGTCGGCAACAAAATAAAATTTTTATTGTGATTATTATCCTTTTTTTATCACCTGCTTCAAATCTTTCATTAATTTTTTGATTTCTTCCATAATCAACAAAAATTCATTGATTACAGTCTGCACTATTCATTACACTTATTTTTATCTATTTTTGCATTGAGAAATCTATTTCCGAAGTCAAGTGAATTCATTTTACGAAATTTCTCACTGTATGTATGAATCACACCATTTTTTAAATTCATATCTGATCAACTTGTCTCAATCATATTTTTTTATTTGAAAATATTGAGTGTTGCTCATGTTCTTTTTTTAAAAAAAGTTGAAGACTGTTTAAGAAATATGTTGCATAAAAGGAGATTTTCAAAAGTGGGGATTACAATATTCTTTTATAGCTCTTTGTTTTTCTTTCTTAAAAATAGTCTAGTATGTGTGTTGTACCAAAAAATGTCCTAGTTTTTTTGTAAAATTTCGCCCTGATTATTTTGTAAAATGTTGTCCTGATTTTTTTTTTTGAGCCATTATATAGTTTGTATCACATCTCAATCACTTTATAATTTGAAAAAGCTTTATGAAGTCTGATAATTTTTTAAATATTGTAGAATGTAATAAAATGTAAGTTTGTTTTGAATTTAAATTAACTGCTAGAAATTATGTAATTGATTCAAGCAAAACAAATTACTACTTTATTTTACAGTATCTATGGAATGCTTTGAAAGGTGTACAGAAGCCATCTCGGGGACCATCTCTAATCTTATGTCTTGTACCCATGTATTTGTGGATGCTATTTTTCTTTCCACTTGCTCACAAGGTTAGTTCTTGTTTCTAGAGGTATCTATATATTCTAAAAAGCTTTTCATTTTGTGAAATTGCTTAGTTACTCTTGAATGTTCTAATATCACATAATGAGGTAAATGCGTCTCAAGTTTTTTTTTATACCATGAAAAATCTAAATTGGCAATAGATGATCTGTTTCTTAAAACTGTCACTTAAGTGTTTTAACTGTGAATTGAAAATAAAATTATTACACAAAGTTTTTTATTTTTATTTGTGGGATCAATTATCATTACTTTTTGGTTAACACGTGTAAGGAAAGAACATTAGACTATTTTAGTTTTATAGTTTACTTTATATTTCTTTTTGTATAAAACTAAAATAGTATTTTATAACTTTATTGTTAAAAGTTTTTTTTTTAACCACAGTGCATTTGAATGGTAAGGACATGTTTTGAAAATTTTTACTATATGTTCAATACATATACAGCCAAACCCCGCTATAGTGAACCTTCAAGGGACCAAAATTTCCGTTCACTATAACCGGGAGTTCACTATATCCGTACTGCAAACAATTTTAACTAATTTTTCCCAACTGCTCCCTTTTATTACACATTATTTAAATAAATGACCANTAAAATGAAATACAAAAATGACTGAAAAATAATATGTAGTAACAAAAATGTGTTAACTTTTATTTTTATTACTCTTCATCTTGTGTACAAAAAATTTAGGGATGGCCTTCACTTAAGGATTGGAAACTGAGATAGAAGAAGCAAACAAGAAAATATGCTTATGGCTACATTCCATTCAATAGATGGTTTTAAAAATCGGTATATGTATTTTTTGTAGAGATTTCAAAATTACCAAAAAATGAAGGGAAAAAAATCAGTCGAAGATAGAAAAAAGTTCATAATATCCAATTTCCTCTCTTCTTTTTGGTTCACTATACCGCAAAAAATTATATTATATGTGTATAGTAAGGCACAGTAGCAAACATTTCGTTCACTATATCCGGGAGTTCACTATAAACCATTTTCACTATATCCGGGAGTTCACTATATCTGGGAGTTNAAAATGAAGGGAAAAAAATCAGTCGAAGATAGAAAAAAGTTCATAATATCCAATTTTCTCTCTTCTTTTTGGTTCACTATATCCACAAAAAATTATATTATATGTGTATAGTAAGGTACAGTAGCAAACATTTCGTTCACTATATCCGGGAGTTCACTATAAACCATGTTCACTATATCGGGGTTTGACTGTATTTTAAAATTTAATATTTATTTACTGGAAAAAGTATGTTATGTATATATATATATCTGAAGATTATAAAAATATTTAACAAATTAATTAAAAAGTTTATGTATCAGACTTAGTTGAAAACTCTGGTATTTCAGAACTCTTCGTGATGATTTTCTTCTAGGAAGAACGATTTTTGTTCCCCATTTTCCCTATGATCTGTCTTGGTGGAGCTGTTGGTATCGATTCATTACAGGTATGCTTGTGTTTTCTTATTTATTTTCTTACTTCTTTGTATACATGAAAACATATCAATTTCTGTCTGGGCTGCTCATATTACTGGAATGAGTGAAAAAGAATCTCGTAGAAAATTTTTGTTTCTAAGTCCTTTAATAGTTGAAAAAAAGGAAGGCCAAAACAATGATAACTCAATTCCATTGAATCAGATATTAAAGTGATTGGACTAAAAAACTGGCAGTCCAGGTAAAAAAAATAGGTTTTCCTAAAAGAATCTTCAGTAGAAGGCCTTGGCTCACTGTGTGCTGTTGTGCCAAATATGATGAGGATGGTCTATATTTAAATTGCTTAAATTATAAATCTATAACTTAGTGAATTATCATCAATTAATTATTGGAGATACATTGATACTTGGTACATAGATATCAACATTGATTCTTGAGACTCATTATTTAAAGTTAGAATCATAAATATTGATTGAGCGTAGAGCATAATTAAAAAAAAATGTACTTCAAAAAAATTGCTTTTCTTTCTGGTTATACTAGTATTCTTGTACTGGTGGAAGCAAAGTACTCTTATCTCATGCAAACAAAGAAAAATTTTTTGGAGTATACATGATTAATATTTAAATTACTTTTTGTTGTTGTATCTGTGTTGTCCATTAGCTGTTTAAACTAATAAAGTCATCGCTCAATATAATGACCCCTGTGGTTCAAACAAAAGCAGATGTTATAATATGAGGTTACTATATTGTGACTACATAAAATTAGGGCTAATATTTACTTATATTTCATAAATACAGGACTTATTTTGGAGAAAAAAAAACAGGTTACATTTTAAATAGAATTATGAAACTTAATAATGTGTAGTTTTTTATGTCATTAAAGTAAAAATTTTATTTCATCCAAGTAAGGTTAAGAATACATTTACATACTTTTAATATTGCTCATAAACTTTAGCCAGTCATTAAGTGCTTTTTTTAAAAATTTATTTTAAGTTTTACTTCATGAGAATTATGTCATTAAATTAGAACACTTTGTTCTGCAATTAGAATTATATCGCGATCTTTATTTGTTGTAAAAAGTGCTTTGTAAAATGAGCATAACATTGCGTCAGCAAACCGGACTTTCTATAACAGTTATTATAATGGAAGGGTCACACTAATGGGGGGGGGGGCCNGGGGGGGGGGGGTCCTACTATAGAGCGTAGATATTAGTTGTTTTCAAACATTTAAAGTTGATATGAAAATAATTTTATTGCATAAAATGTATTATTTTTTTCTTTTAGAGAATATATCATTATCTCTTTGGTAAGAAGAAAATGTCTGATTATTTGGATTATACTAGCTGGATATCCGTGTCCATCATGATTTTATTTACAATATTATCAACATCAAGAATATTTGCAGTTTATAAAGGTAATAAATTAAACTACAGCTAATTCCTTTTCAAATATTTTGATAAGGTTTTGATTAGATTATTTTATTATGTAACATTAACAAAATATTTACTTGTCTTTTATGTTTTGTTGATAAAATATATATTTTAACATCTGATATTTTATGCTTGAATATTAAACCAACATACAAACTTCAAACTGGAAATTAAAGAAACTAGAAAACAAAGAATTTTACTATTCATTATTTAAAAATATATTGTTTTGTATTTGTTTAATGTCTAATTCTTTTGATATCTAAATATATCGTAGTATTTCAGTTGTTCTGAATAACTGAAAGCAAACCTGATTCATATAATCTGAATAATTGAAGAACAAAGTAATCATTTGATAAAGAAAATTGAGAAACTTGTTTATAACGTATCAATATATTATAATTAATTACTTAAACTGGGTTTTATGTATGTGCATGAGGAAAAGATAGTCCTCTAGCCAATTTATGGAGAGAAAATTGTAACCTAACTTTGAATGAAAACAAATAAATGTTTCTTCTTCTTTCTTAACCCCTTAACTGCCACGGGCGTATATATACGTCGCGGCCAGATGATGCGTTAACTGCGGCAGGCGTATATATACACTTACCCGAAGTACGAGGCTTTCCATTGTGCTGCTATAAATGTAACAACCCCCCTACTTCAGAATGCAGTAAACTGGCCTTGAAAGTGTTTGCTTTGCAAATGTATTACTAATTTCGGAGGAGGGGGGAATGGGTAAAGGATGTTATGGAAAAGTGATATATTATTCATTTGCCTTGTCTCTTTTTGAGTAAGGTCGGGTTTATTCTTTTTTCTCTTTCGTTTCCCGTGTGTATTTGGTGCTTTTTATTCTTTCCATCAACGTCTTCAAATGCATCGCGAAAATGTGCTGTTTGTTCAAGAAAAAAATTCGGCGTGAATCCCGCTATCAGTGCAATTAATGCGATGTTGGCTTATGTGTCCAACCATGTTTCAGTATTTATCATACAACAGCTAAGTTTTAACATCTTTTATATTGTATTTTTATTATTTAATTTAAATTTTGTATTCTCTTTCTTTCCTTTTTCTTGTCTTGTAAAAGTANGAATCCCGCTATCAGTGCAATGAATGCGATGTTAGCTTATGTGTCCAACCATGTTTCAGTATTTATCATACAACAGCTAAGTTTTAACATCTTTTATATTGTATTTTTATTATTTAATTTAAATTTTGTATTCTCTTTCTTTCCTTTTTCTTGCCTTGTAAAAGTAAACTGTTCTAAAATTGCAACGCATGCATCTTCCCCCCCCCCCACTAAAACACCACGTAAGAAAGTACACTTGAGCGAAAAACGGTGGCACTGGGGAGTGAATCGCGTACATTTACTCGACAGTTAAGGGGTTAAGCTGAAGGAAGAAATTAGAGAAATTCTGAGTATTAAATTACATCTTTGCTTTTCCTTAATGCAGGTGTTTGATCAGTCCAAATATAAGTTTTCATTGTTAGTTCTTGTTTTGTATATCGATACATAGAATAACCGCAAATATGAATTTTAATACAGTCGAACCCCGCTATAGTGAACCTGGGATATAGTGAACACTCGGATGTAGTGAACTTTTTTAGCGGTCCCGTCCGTATTCCTATTTAAATAATGTTATTTTTAACGCTTATAGTGAACAGCTTAGAACTTGGAAACTCGGTTATAGTGGACTCAAATTTCATTTCTTTAAATATCTTTTTCAGTCCTCCATCTTTAAACTTGTAGGTGTTGGGACTGAAAATGAATGCATTCCTATAAAATGTGTCATATTACTCTCCTTTATGCTTATCACTTTTAACTATACTGTAATAAATGTCAAACAGATCATTTATCTTATACTCCCCCCTCCCTGACAAGCCTCGCTTTATCTCTTTTCCCCAAGCTTGCTCTACAACTAGTTAACTTGGCCACCTGCTGAATTTTTGGAATTTTCTTATCTGTTCAAACCATATTCTTTACAAATCACCCCTTGACAATCAAGAAGGGGAACAATTTAACTCATTCTACAGCTGCTCTCTTCATATTCTTACATTATCTATTTGAGACAAGATTTTTATTTCAAAAGCAGTGAAAATGGCAAATTCTCCTAAAGAGAAAAGCGTTTTAGATAGAGGACAAAGTTAAAATTGTAAAGCGTATTGATGATGGAATTTTCCTTGTCAAAATCTACAGTTTCAAACATTTGGAAAAATCGAAGTGCAATTCTTGCGGCATACGACAAAAACATGGTTTCATTGAAAAAAACTGCGTGGAGCTGAAAGAGAAAACGTAGAAGATGCTTCGTTAAGATGGTTCGAAATCTTGTTCAAAATGTAAAAATCTTGCATTCTTTGCACATTGCAGATAAGAAAATTGATGAACTTAATTTAAAATCAAATTGTGTTCAATCGAAAATCACAAATTTTTTTCATGAAAAGTGAAAATAAAACTAATATTTAGCGACATAATTACTTTTTCCATAAATTTTTGCTTTATTATCTGTTAAATAGTTAATAATTTTTTAAATAACTTATGCAAAATTGCAAAGCCAATTTTCAATCATTCAACTGTCTTATGCAAAAAATATTCTTCAAAAAATTTGGATATAGTGAACCATCGGTTATAGTGGACACATTACTGAGTCCGCAGACGGTTCACTATAGCGGGGTTCGATTGTAGTTACATTGAAATTCAGAGAATTCCTGTTTTAAAAAGGACTCAGAAATATTTAAGTCCTAGATCCTAAGGACTTTGAGTTTCCAAAGTGTAACAAAGTGATCACTGGAGAAAAAAGGACTTACAAGCAAATAACAACAAAAAGGGAGAAAATATCTTGTTATTTCTTTTTCTTCTGTCTTTAATTATTAATAACGGTTTTCTGCAGATATTTGACTTATAAGCAAATATTTGAAGGGCAGATGTAAAAAGTTCTATATTGAACGTGTTCTATTGAAAACAAATGTAGTATTCAAATATATGACTTAATTGATTATTTAAATATATACAGTATATAAAATCGTTTATGGTTTTGTTTAATCATGCATGATGTGTAATTTTATCTTCTAGGATATCGTGCTCCTAATGAAGTTTTTATGGAACTTGGAACATATCCTTATAATGAAAATCTTCATCCACTTCCTCCTGAATATCCTGTTAATGTATGTGTGGGTAAAGAATGGTACAGATTCCCTTCCCATTTCTTTCTACCTGATAAGTAAGATTACTTTTATATGTTATAAGCTGTAATTCTAATTTTTAATTGTAAAACTAAAATAAATATTAAAAATATATATTTTTTTTTAATTCTATTATATTACAATTATTGTTATATAAAAATATTACAATATGTTTTATTACCATGCACAGTATTGGAATTCATTTTTAATTATTTAATTTTTTAATCAGATAATTGTAAGATTTTGAAATGTGGACAAATGATTTCTCTATTAGTGAGTTAAGGTGTATGTCTTTAAATTTAGTATAGAATTCTATTAATTTTTTTAAAAAAACATTTCAGTGAAATAATATAGATATAGCTGGTAATTTTTGTTAGTTTTCAAGCTTTATGTTATTTTTATGAAGATATATTTGTGGCAGAAGAGGTACGCATAACACCATAATCATACTTAGTGGTCTCCTTATATTTAATCCTCCATTTTAACCTATGTAGATGTATAAGATGGCAGTTGATTTAAGCTAGGTAATTCATAGTTTTTGTTTTATTTCTTTTATTGTAATCTATTAAACAAATTGAACTTAGTACACTTTGAAAAAAAATTTTACTATTTACAAATCTTAACTTTGGTAATTAGATTGAATTTAACATATTTTAATAAGTAATTTGAAAAACAAAATTTTTCAAGTTACCTGTAGTTAAACAAAACTAAAAAGAAATTGTGTTTATATAGGTGGAAGGATTAGCTCTTTTTGAATTGAAGAGTACATTGAAAAGTTACATTTTCTGACTAATCACAGCACATAACTTTAAATTGATTTAATCATCTTTTCTGTATGCTGATAATCTTTTATATATATTAATATAATTGTAAACATTTGGTTTGTGTTATTTTTTGTTTCAGTTGGAATTTGCAGTTTTTGCAGTCTGATTTTAAAGGTCACTTACCCAAGCCATATTCTTCATTACCAAATGCTACAAGAATCATTCCTTCAGATATGAACGATCTCAATCTTGAAGAGCCATCAAGATATGTGAGTTTTATGTCCCCTTTCTTAGCCTTTTATCAGAAATAATTCCTACGCATCAAATGCAATGAATCCTCTCAGGAGCGGTCCCTGTCTTTTCCACAGTAAAATGGTCTTTAATGATTGGTCATTCTTAGGTGTTACTTCCATTGACTTCAAAATGTTATCTAAGATACATGATTTTTCGCAATTGATTTTAATTTTGCTCAGATGAATGATAGAACTATTTTAAATGAATAAACAATTTTGTTTTTGTTTAAGCTTGCATTTTATTTTATATCATAAAAATTAGTTTACTTTGAAAAATGAGAGTTGAGGTGTTTGAGATGCTTTGTTTTTTTCGAAAAAAAGAAACTTTTTTTTCTTCTAATTTAACTTTTAACTCTAAAACTGGATAGCATCGTCTTTAGGGTACTTGACTGTAACATGAGGTTGTCAATCTCTTTCAGCAATCGACAAAATCAGCTGTCTAAATAAGAGCCACTCACAAATATTTTGAATACATTTGAATTTGTTTATTTCTTTTGTTAATTCTCTTTATTTTGATATTTTTTCGTGTTTCCTTATTTTACCTTTTTCGTATTTGGCGTGGAGGTTTGCCCTGTCCCTTGGAGAGGATTTGCTTGTTTCTCCTACAGGTTTTCTTCAAAACAAAGCCTGTAGAAAAATTCTGTGTATTCTATGCTTTCCAAAAGTGGTCGTAAACAAAGGAAGCCGTTACATACAGGTGGTCTTTCCTAAAGGTTTCACTGTATCTGTGTTTAAATACAAAATTGTTGTGATATTTTATGAAAGGGTATGAATAATAAGAACAGGGCTTTAAAAGATGTTAAAAAAATTTTATAGTGTAGTTTGTATGAAAGTCTTAAATGCATCTACTATTTTTTAGGTGAATATAAAAGAGTGTGATTATATTGTGGACTCTGATTTTCCCCACTTTTCAAAACTGGAACCAAGATATTCTAGGGATCCCAACTGGAAAGTGTTATTTTCAGTCCCGTTTCTTGATGCTGCTAGGTTAGTATGAAATCTTGTTTTAAAATAAGTATGTGAGTAAGTACTTCAGTATGTGATCTCATGTATGTGAACAGACTGATCTCAGAAAAGGAACCAGGACGAACATCAAAAAGTTTGGCAATTTAATTTAAACTCCCAAAAAATTACGGAGGAATTAATTTGAGTTTGATGTACATAAAAAATTTTTTCATGTTAATCAGTTCGAATTCAGAAAGATGTAATCTAATATTCAATTTTGATTAACTCTTTATTTACCAAATAATAAAAAAAATAGGTAAAGCTTTTTTACGACATTAAGTACATTTTGTTTTACTCCTTAGCAAATATTTTTTTAATAATCAATATTTTCTAATTTTGCTCATAAAATTTTGTAATTAGTTTTAAGTCCCATCAGGATTTAGTATGTAACTGAAGATAATTTGAGAGCAGAAATTATACCGTAATAACAAAAAGAGTAATATGTTTTTTTTTTAAGTTTCGATTAGAAATATTAAAATGTAAACCACTTTTATTATAAATTATTAAAATTTTTAATTATTATCCAAAATTCCAATAATTTTGTGTGCTTGCAATTATTTATGTATATTTCATATTCAAGTGTGCCAAGATCTCATGTAATTTCAGCCCGTACAATTTTAATTTCCTCAACAGTAAAGTTCAGCTGTTAAGCATCATCATCTTTTTTACATATCGGTATTAAAATAATAAAAAAGTAAATAAAAATAAAATATTGAGTTTACATTAAAAAAAAATACTACTATAACTTAGAGAAGAATCATGCCTAAATATTCTAATGAATGTTGCAAAGCCACTTAAAATAATTCTACACTATTCTCAATACAATTTATAAAATATTGATTGTATGAATATAAAACCTATCAGGATTTTATATGTATGAATATAAAATCCTGATAGGTTTTATATTCATACAATCATCAATATCAGGATTTATATTTATACAATCATTCATCAATATCAGGAGCAACACATTCTGAAATTTTAATTCAAGTTAAGCGTTTAATGCTTTGTTTTTTCATAACTAGTTAAAAATGTTAATGAATCAATGAAAAAATATGTAAGACTTGCTTCTGAAATTGATTGAGATTGAGAATTGGAGAACAAATGATCACAAGCGAGAGAATGATCACAAAATAGTGTCCTCAAATGAAATATTAACTATGAAATACTTCCTTTGGCGATGTTAAACTTCAAATTATCGTATCAATCAATTAGTAATAATAAACAAAAAGTCATATTTCAGAGACAGATAAGTCCTGAAGGTCGTTTTTGTACGATCCTGTTGGTGCATAAAAAAATTAAAGTTTAAAAGTCAGTAAATTAATATCCGTTAAAGTATATTTTTATTCAAATTGAATTTATATTTATTATATCTATGTGGCTGGGTGGAGCAGTTGGTTTGTCATCGGCCTTCTGAGCCCAAGTCTGCGGGTTCGATCCCCGGACCAGACACTGGATTTTCGGGATGCAGAAAATCCTCAGCGGCCATGTCGTATGATTATGCGGCATGTAAAAGATCCCTGGAGTGCCTTATTGGCTCTTGGCATTTCCGGCAAAATTAAATTCCTAGTGCACTTTAGCATCCAAATAGAGTCTCGGTGCTGCCATCTAGTGTGGCAGAAACTTGACGTCCAAATTAACATGACCAACAGTATCTCACCAATTGTGGTGGTCCTGAAAGAGTGGATACCACCTCTGGAGAACGCACTAGGTCTGCTCATTGGCAAGACCAATTGTGCAGCTCATTGGAAATAAAAAAAATAAATTATTATATCTATAAAATTATATACTAATTTTTATCAATTTTAAAAACAAACAATTTTAACAAAAAGTTGATATAACATTTATTAGAAAATATTGCTCTACTGGAATAAAATTTTTTTGTCCACCATATTAGGAAAGTAGTATTTCACTATAGACATTTATGTTAGCTGACAACAAATGTTCCCCTCAGTGATTAAATATTACTCTTATAGTTACCTTTATTTTTTTTCATAAATTATAGCATCATAAAATAAAACTTCTGTTTTGTTCATTATAAACCACTTTACTACTATATTTACCTGAATATTTGCATCTAATATGTTTGTTTAGTTTTATTCTTTCAATTAATTATAAATGTTCCCCACAGTGACTAAAAATCAGTCTTACAATTACCTTCGATCTTTCATAAATAGTAGCAGCATAAAATAATAGGTGTGTGTTATCCATTCTATCACTTTACAACTATCTGCCTAAATATTATGATGTAATATTTGTTTAATTTATTCTAGTTTTTTTTTCTTTGATTTATTTTATGTGTTCGAGAGTATGAGAATTTTAGAAGCACTCTGTATATTTAGAAAGCAATAATGTTGATAAATTTATTTGTGTTGTATTTAATGCTATTCATAATTCCTTTCAGATCTCATCAGTTCTTTAGAGCTTTTTATGTCCCTTATTTAAGTGAACTTTACTGCACATACGTTGATTATAACTTACTTCAAAGAGTGAACATTAAAGATCGAATAGTTAGGAAAAAGAAATGGCACTAACATGATGTCATCTATCATATGAGATGTTTATAAGTACAAATGGAAGAGTTGTGTTACGTGTTACTTAAATGTTTCATTCTGTGTTATGTGATATATGAATGCTGTGTAATTCTGGAATTCCTGTCGAATTTTTTTAAAGAACTTTCGATTTCTTAAAAACAATTTATTTCATCAAAACTTGTTCAGAACAAATAGATTCATGATTTGGAGCTCAGAGTATGTTATCAAATTAAAAATGGAAGCAAAAAAAGTATAATTATAATAATAGTATTGTAAGATTAATTTTTCCACAGAAAGTATTGAAAGCCTTCTATAATATGAAAAAAAGCTTGTGCGCCTCTAAATTAAATGGGTTGCGCATTTTTTTCTGAATTGTAAATTCTGTTTTATATCCAGAGTTCACATTTCTTTGGTTTTGATTTTTAGGTGTATTAAATTGTTTTCCTTTCTTTCTTCTTTTAATCTATCTAAAGTGTTTCTTTAGCGAAACTTCCAAATTTTAATTCTGTTCACCTTTAAAAACAATATTCTAAGTGTAAAAAAAAGCCCGCTTTTGGTGTAAAGTTTATATAAATATTAAGTTTATTAATTATTTTTAACTACATTTATGCTATATATTTTTTTACATAAAATTTCATTAACCTTATTATACTCCATTGAGCAACCAATTTGCAACAAATCTAAAAGAAAATTGTTAGGAAAATATAATTTACAAGATTTTCAGAAATAATGTATCTATATAAACTTTTCAAACATTTATTATAACTTACATTATAAACTTTTGAATCAACTATGCTATAGTTGTACTTAAACTACATAAATTATTATTTTTAAAATTTTTTAACTTGACTAAAATTTTGTTTGCCTGGTTTTGTTTTCTTAATTAGCTAATACTATTAAATTTTTTCTGCTCAATTCATAAACTATGCTATTATAAACTCTATTTAATCCAAATTGTATTTGGCTGGTTCTATTTTTTCTATTACTTAAGCATAAGTTTTCTGTTACTAAATTAAGTTATTTTGTGAAAATCTATGTATGGTATATATATTGCTCATGATAAAATAAACAAACATATACCTACCTACATAATTGATGTGGGTACTTTGAATATATTTCTTTTATGAATCAATCCAACTTGTATTAATAGTTGTATTCGCTTGATATGCTTAGAATTCTTTTAAATTAAGTTTTTAATCTATGAATATTTGATGATATTGTTTAAAAATTTATAAATGGCTTTATATTTATTCATGATATTTCGCACTATTTCTGTTGTAAAACTTATTTTTTCCATACACTTTTCCTAAAGATTGAAAGAATTTGTTTCAAACAATATTTGTTAAAAAGAAAAAATCTTTTGTGAATGTGTTAAAAAAATTACTTAGTTATGCAAGATGTATGCTTTGTCATAGCTATATTTGCAAATTAAATTTTAGCTTTTTTTTCAGTGGGCATTGAAAAAAATACATTTAAAAACCCTATAATGAAAAATACATTTTTTAAGTGTAGTTTATTTTTACTGAAGCTATTTGTAGTAATTTTTAATCAGTTTTTTTCTGAATTAACTCTTTTAAAACTTTGCATTCCAGAAATATAATAAAAGATTTTGACTTGCATTTATAAATTCTTGTGCCAAACATTTATCATCTTTTTTAAATAATGTCGACTCGTCGTATTTTTTATTTTATTGAAATCAACAGCTAACAATGTCCGATTTTTAAAAAAAAATTTACTGCATTAAATTTAAATTAATTACTACTGTGGGAGAAACTTTTCATGGCAAATCTGTTTCACCTTTATTAGTATTTTATTGAAATTAAAACTTTTTTTATTGAAATCAAAAGCTCACCATGTCCAATTTTTAAAAAAAATTTACTTATTGAAATCAAAAGCTCACAATGTCTGATTTTTTTTAAAAAAATTTACTACATTAAATTTAAATTAATCACTACTGTGGGAGAAATTTTTCATGGCAAATCTGTTTCACCTTTATTGGTATTTTAAAGTACAGTAGAGCGCCTGTTATATGAAAGCCAATTTATTAGAGCCGTGGTGATTCAGGAGATAGAGTGCCAAATACAGTGTCCCAGACTTGAATCTGAAGCGGTGGTTGGTTGATACGAATTCTGCTCCCAACTTGAAAGGTCTAGTCTGAGGTAAAATTTTACATATTTATTTTTCGTATTGGTATTGTCACAAACAGAAATGTTTTTTTTTTCTTTCTCTAATTCAAATTCAGATTTCAGATTTTAATTGGTTAAACAGTTTTACTCACAACTGGTATTTACATATTACCTATAAGTATGGTAAATAATATATTAGGAGGAAAGCTTAATGTATTACTCCCTCAAAGGGAAGAGTTTTTTGCGTTTAACTTACCTGTTTTAATACTCTTTGCTAGCTTGCAGACAAGGTGTAGAAAACAAAGAGATTCGTAAAAAAAACAAGAGGAAATGAAAGGACTAAACTGGAACGTCAAAAAATTTGCAATGGGTTAAATATCATCCTTGAATCCAAATCTGAAATTCCATTATGAAAAGCAATACGGCTCATTTAGGGAAAAAAATTAACAGTTTTGAAACTTTATTTGTTTTAACTGTCCCGATTGTAACTATTCTGATCTTAAGAGCCAGGGTGGCTCAGGGGATAGAGTCCTCGCTTCACAATAAGATGACCTGGGATTCAAACCCAGGTCATTGGTTAGAATCACCTTTCCGTCGATCTAATCCTAGGATCTAGGTTGATCTAATCCTTTTGGGAACCACTCATCTAGTTTTTTTTTAACCCTTTTGTGTGTCCAGTTTGCAACTATATAATGCACTGTCTATGGTTACAATTGCAGATGAGCTGCCAACCTAAAATCTCTTATCCGAAATTTCTTTTGCTGGAAAATTTTAATGCAAGATCAAGTTATGTCAATGTTTGGCTAAAGATGATGATATGTTTCATTAAAAAAAGCCTTAATGTAGAAAAATCAAAATAAAATGTTTGAAAGAATGATCAAAAATTCTCTTTCATAAAACTACTAATATTATGTTATAAATGCAGAAACAAATAAATTTTAAAAAAAGTAATTGCAATATTTTTCTTGCCATTATTGTTCTTGTATTGTAGTGTATATTTAAAAAAATATATGATGTAAATGTTTCCTGTAAATGTTTCATTTAAACCCCATAAATAAAACTACCATGTTATTAAGGTGTAAATCTTGTTGATGAAATAAACAGTACACGTACGTTAGTTTATTTATTTCATTTCTAATTTAATGCAAACTATCATCAATAAGAGACAAAATCTTCATTTTAACATTTTTTTTATTACGCTTCTCTACTTAAAATAAAAGCATAATAGTCTAACACAGTTTTTCATTATTGGCAATGCATTCTTATTGGTTGGAAAACGAATGGTAGGACGCAGTTTTCCTACATTAATTTCCATATATTTTTGTTATCATCAGCTTCAAGTCTTTTTTTTCACCTGGTCCTATCATGTTTCTCCCCCCCCCTCCCAACATCGCTCAGCCGATTCTCCCAATAAGGTGACCCAGGTTCAAATCCCTGCGAAGACTGGTGCGATACGAATTCTGCTCCCGGCTCGCACCGACCATAATGCTGACGCAAAATACCCTCAGTGGCTGGTAGATTAGGGCTTGGAACCTTGCCGTCGGACTAACCGTTGGAAATTTTCATGGTTTTCTTTTCGATGTAACGTGTTAGTAAGTCCATCAAAATTCTTTTACAAATGCTGTTTTTTCCAATGCTTGATCACGGAATTCTTTTATCTTCTGCGTAGGGTTCAAAATAACAAGACTATGTTATAAAACAGTGTGTGGGTGTCATACCCTCCAACTTATGAGGATTTTGAAAATAATTCTTTCTAGTGGTAGCGAACCAAAGTAGAAATTTTTAAAGCAAATGGATCTCTCATAAAACTTTTATCAGAACTTAAGAATCTAGCCATATGGCCTACACTTTTATAAGTAATAGTGGACAAGTTACGCTAAAATTAATTTTTTTTAAATATTAAGACATTAATTTTGCTACCGTCTGAAAAGAAGATTTCTGAAACTACGGAAATTCCGTAGCAGTTGGAGGGTATGCATATATATGTCAAAAAATTTGTTTAATTTATGAATACGATTGATTTGTCTTATTTATTTGTATACCACTAAAGATTCAATTCTCAAATATAGATGATAAATTTCTCTCAACTACTTTTAAAATAGAATTTGGGTTCATGCGCACAACCGGTTCACTTTTTAAATAGTCTGCGCGGACTACTTATGAAAAATCGTGTGGAGGCTCTCCAACTTATGAAGATTTTGAAAATAATTCTTTCTAGTGGTAGCGAACCAAAGTAGAAATTTTTAAAGCAAATGGATCTCTCATAAAACTTTTATCAGAACTTAAGAATCTAGCCATATGGCCTGCACTTTTATAAGTAATAGTGGACAAGTTACGCTAAAATTAATTTTTCTTAAATATTAAGATATTAATTTTGCTACCGTCAGAAAAGAAGATTTCTGAAACTACGGAAATTCCGTAGCAGTTGGAGGGTATGGTGGGTGTGAGTGTTATAAAACAGGTTTAGTGGATGACATTCTTCGTTGTTTCTTGTAAAGGTTATCGTTTTAGCTGGCTATGCATCGTATTTGTAAATAAAATCTAATTATTTAGTATAATAGTGGCGGACCTATAACTTGCGGGTCAGACACTGATCTACGAGGGCTTTTTTAAATGACTTACAGTTAATTTTTATAAATCTACATTTTCATTCTAAAAAAAGTAAGAAAAAAAAATTATTTTCAAGTGGCCATCTGATTTTCTATTATGTATCACTGCACCTGTGTATGAACTCATGATAGCTGGTCATAAACTAAGCTGTTGCGTCCATTTTCGAGAGCCATTGTGCTTAAGTCAAAACATGTTTTGACGTCACGTCTTATAAGTGACCATCTACTGTATGATAAAATAATTATTAATGCAAACAAATAAAAAGAAAAACCTTGGAAGGAATAAAATCTGGAAAAAAGTGATGGCAAAATGTTCTTTTAATTAAATTTCCAGAGTAGATTCATAGCACCTAGAATTATTTATTATTAAAAAATTTATGTATAATTTAGGTTTGGATTTTACTAAAATGATTTTAAAATTTAATTAGAAATTAAAATAAACTACATACATCAGATCTTAAATTTGCCATCACTTTTTTTTTTTTGCTGAATTAAGTGTGTTAATACATAGGTTATCAGAAAGTTTAAGAAAATTTAATTTCAATTGAAAAAAAAAGAGAAATTTAAAAAAAAAAATAATTTTAATAAATCTTTGCTCTAAAATTGAATCCAATTTTAACGTTATAAAAACTTTTTTAAGAAAACAATCTACGTTTAAAGCATGAATGTTTTGAATAATTATTGAAAGGTCTTGTCTTTGAGGTAAAATTCTACATATTTATTTTTTCGTGTTGTTTTTGTCCCAAGCAGAAAACAAAAATGTTTTTTTTTATTTAAAAAGAAATTCTGATTTTAAAGGGTTAAGCATTTTTATTCACAAATAGTGTTTACGGTATTACCTGTGGGTATAGTAAATAATATATTACGAGGGAAACTTAAAAGGACACCATACCACGCGAGAAACTTTTTATCGCTACTTCTCTTTCACTTCCAATACAAATTTAAAAAAAGTGAAAAAGTATTTTCAGGTAAACCTAGAATAGGCCATTAAATTTCTGTTACTTAAAAAAAAAATGCAAAGTATCAAAATGCAAACAAATTATTGAAAGAGAACTTCTCTATTCCGAAATCCTAAGTTATCATCTGATAATTTATTTTCATTTTGATATTTTAAAATTTCTTTTCAGTATTTGAAACTTCACGACTTTCTCTAGGTTTGTCTGAATTCACTTTTTCTATACTTTCAATTTTAAATTAGTTATGGAGGTATGAAAGAATTTGCAATGAAAAGTTTCTCCTCTTGGTATGGCGTCCTCTTAATGTACTACTCACTCAAAGTGAAAAGTTTTTTGCTTTTAACTCCTTACCTATTTTAATGCTATTTGCTTTTCTTAAAGAAACTTCTGACGTAAAATATCAGTAGTGGTAGACGGATCTTGGCTTAGAGTTCCCTTTGCCATCCGGCTAACCGTGGGAGGTTTTCCTCTCCATACAACGCAAATGAGGGTTAGTTCCATCAAAAAGTCCCCCACGAAGGCAAAGTTCTCCCTATACTTGAAAATAGGCATGTATCGTTCTTTCTCCTTGGTCTACAAATGTATTTTTGCTATTTGTGGTACTAATCTTAAATTTGGATTTAATGAGCAACCAGATTTAATGAACATTTTTTCCCGTTATCCGAGCTCCTCGTTTAATACTGGTTTTACTGTGTCAATATCTTTATATCAATCTGAACACATTCAATAGTGATGTTTTTTTCTTTATAAAGATAGGTGGTAGTTAACACTATGGTAATAAAGGTGGTAGTTAACACTATGGTAATAAAAGTGGTAGTTAACACTATGGTAATAAAAGTGGTAGTTAACACTATGGTAATAAAGGTGGTAGTTAACACTATAAACTTTTAGCTAACACTTCGTTTAAACATTTTTTCCTGTATTTA